CACCCACATTCCTGCTACTCTCCATTGGGTATAGAACTGCTAGCTACCTTTTAACCATATCCTATTGGTAGCATTGAGTAATAAAGGGTGCAGGTCAACCACTTTAAGATGAAAATTAATGTACTTTTGTCCCTACTTGGCTGATTACCTGCAGATACGAAGCTCTCTTCTATGGTGCACTTTCTCTTGTACTCATGTCGTGGATTATATTTGAGAACACCCTTCTTCAGTTAACTAAGGCGAAGAAAATGTCATCTGCAACAAACATGGATGCCAATACCAAACTTGAAAATGGAGATAGATTCTTGCAGCTTTCTGACATGAGGATCCCATTAACTTTCGTAAGTGCACCTGGAATTTTATTCTGCTTCAACCACTGATTAATTGTTGCTAGTTAGTGAAGTTGATACTTACTGAGATATATTTTCCGAAAAAGATGGTAAATGTAATCTGCTGATTTTTTCCCCCTTGCAGATGGTTTTGTTTAATGTTGCCTTCTTTGGGACGGGGAATTTCGCAAGTATAGCAAGTTTTGAAATTTCATCTGTCTACAGGTTCATCACGGTTTTCAGTGTAAGTAAACATAAAAACCCTATGGGTCCGCTTGTTTGTTTTTGGTGTGAGAATCTTATAACCCCGACTTATGTGATATTCTTTTTATTTGCAGCCGTTTCTTATGGCAGCCCTTCTTATCTTCAAGTTATTTATTCCATTCATGCTCGTCATGTAAGTAAAATCAGAAAGATAAGCATCCCAATCCTACTCTCTTATGGTTTGGATTTGAGTTAAGTTCTTATTGCTAATCTTATTTATCTCACATTCGATGCAGATGTGCATTCAGTGCAATAACAAAGCTACTACGAATACCGAGACTGGGGTGCTATTTTCTGGTCATTTTATGCTCAGACGTGATGACTATCCACTTCTTCTTCCTGGTATGATCCTGCTCTTCTTCTTAAACCGATCCAGTCTATATCAAGTTTTATTGACTTGCTCCAGTGCGTGGGCCTCTATTATATTGAGACGCCTTAATAAATTATGCACTTTCAATTCATCAACTAATATTGTAACAAAAAAAAAAAATCATCAAATGTTGCTGTTGAACACTTCCAACTTATTAAAACCAAATTTGATAATTTCCACAATCCTTAAATGTTGTGGGGAAATGCAGGTCAGAAACACAGGAAGTTGGATGGAGATAGGCAACAGCATCAGCCATTTTGGAATAATGAGCGCCCAAGTAGTTTTCGTGCTATTACTCTTTGCCATCACAAACATCTACACGAGAGGCATCCAGGTCAGAACAGGTCGCCCCTCGTCCCAGAAAGAAGTATAGCTTGCCAAAGCTTGCAAAACTGTTAATGTTAAACCAGTCCTTAATACCCCAGAAATCTGCGTTCAGGCCTCAGAACAGCTTCTTTCTGGGCGTCAATCCCTAGCCAGCGGACTATTTCTGAAAGTTCTTCCGATTCAATTTTGTAGCAGGTGCGACGTGTTTCTTACTAAGGCTTTAGAGTAGTCTTGATTGATTTACAGCACCGTTTCTGTAGACTGTAAACACAATCCCACCATGTATCAGCTTCAGAATTTCAAGTGAGTTTTGAAGCTAACTTCCGGGAAACTCTTTTTGGTCTGACCTCATTTCTTTGTAATTTCAGTCTAAAAGCAGATTGGAATTTAACCAAGTACACATTTTTTTTTCTATGGTGACATTGACATACTGAGGTCGCTGGCTCCCCCATAGTCGTGTTAAAGACTTCATGCATTATGATTGGGAGGAAGGAAGCTTGAAGGCAAGTTACTTGCTATCCATAGAAACATAAGTCTTCCAGTTGTTACATCGGCGGTTAAAAACAACTACCACCTTGTCTTGTTTTTTTATTGTCGCCAATCAAAAGATGCCACGTGGCATCTCTTTCTTGCTAATCACCATCGTCTTCCTCGACAAGCCTGACAAAAGCAATTTCTCATCTCTCAGCTCACCAAACCAAAAAATATAAACAAAATCACCTTGACGAGGAAAGAGATTAAAAAGACATAACATCTACCTAATTTCAAAGTAAAGATGAATTAAACTATTCACAGTTCATTGACCTACTCTCTGCAAGCACCATCTATATGTAAATGCATCCATCCCAACCAAGTGTTAAGGAGGATAGCGCAGCTCCATGGGCAGCTAGATTCCTTCACCAAGATTTTATCCTAAGCAAAGTTGATCATCCAGGCAAAGATGAACCACCAGCCTCCTATGTAAACCTCCCAACTCTCCACTTGCTAGCTAATCATTTCATCATTTGGTCCTTCTCTTCTTATCCTCTGCTTTTCCTTTTTTTGCTTCTGGGTGGTGCTTTATTGCTCTGTTTCCGGTTTGCTTCAGATTCAACAGTGGCGTGGAGCTGGCGAGCTCAGTGGTCGACTCAGAATTACTGTACCAATCATGGAGCTCCATCTGCAACCTGTACACCGAAGTCAACAGCCACCCCCATCAGCAATCTCCTTCTCCTGCAACATTCAAAATCTTCAAGCAACATAACTTAACCATTATAGCTTTCGTCACTTCACCAATCTACACCCCGCAGCATCTGCAACAGCAGGGAGGGCAAGATTTGATGACATCAGCAACCCTCAAAGCTCAAAACTTTCCACACCTAGATTTCCTCTGCTCCAGGGGCAACCCTTCTTTCTCCATCCACTCAGATGCAGTTTCCAGTTTTGTCCGTCTCTTTAATGACATCAAGGCTTCCCCAGTTCAGGTAAAAGTTCCAGCCTTTTTCCATCTTTACATTTCTCCATCTCAAAAAACCCAAATCTGAATTGGAAATGAAATTGCTCTGTTTTGGGTTTGGCTCTGCTCCAGTTTCTTGTTTCGCGAGATGATGAGATAGTTCTGGAATCGCCATTGATAGTGACCGGCCATGCCCTTGGAGGGTCGATAGCTTCATTGTTTACACTATGGCTGCTGGACGGTATGAGTCAGCTTCCGTCCAAGAAGCCATCGAAGAAGCTCCCACTCTGCATCACATTTGGCTCCCCCTTGATTGGTGACTCCGGCCTCCACCGTGGCATTTCCCAGCGATCCACGTGGAAGTCTTCCTTCCTACATGTGGTTTCCAGCCATGATTTTCTCCCGAGGCTATTGATGACGGCTTCAAATTACAAGCCTTTTGGCACATTTATGCTGTGCTCTGAGATGGATTCCACTTGCGTAGAGGACCCAGATGTAGCTTCGATGTTGTTCCGGAAAGGGATCGAATTGGCTCATTTGGGTTCTGGTGAAGGATTGCCTGTTGAGCATTATGGGTTGATGGTGGAGCATCTCAAGCGTAGAGATTTGTGCAAGGGGAGCTCAGATCTTGGTTGGCCAGTTGCGGATTCATTACAGGCTGGGATTATCTTGTTACTTGACTCTATTGGGATTGCCAGAAATCAGGTGAGAAAAACTTCACTGAATGCACTGTCAAGATGACTTAGTACTTTGGACCATTGATTACTGAATTCACTCTGTTGTTTTTTTGGCGTCCAATAACAGCACCAACATCCAAGCGTAACGGACCTGGCATCCCAATTGTACCGAAAAGAGAGGTTATCGGTCCTCAGCAAAAGGAACGCCATGGATCCCAGCAGGAAACTAAACGACATCAAGATCAAGATGGCCTTCTTAGAATGGTACAAGAAGGACTGCAAGAACAAAGGCGTGGGCTACTACGACAGCTACAAGAACCCGAGAGCCACATCGGACATGGACATCGCCAAGCACAAGAAGTACCTCACGAATTACTGGAAAGAAATGGTGGAAGAAGCCGAGAGCCACCCTCAGAAAGAAGGCGCCTACGTCAGGATGACGTGGCTCTACGCTGGGAACACATACCGGAAAATGGTGGAGCCACTAGACATCGCAGAGTACTACAGGAAAACAGAAAACAGAGACTACATGAAAGTGAAACAGGGGAGGTCAAAGCATTACATTCTTTTGGAGAAATGGTGGAAGGAAGATTGCGAAAGCCATCATCCGATGGATTTGTTGTCGAAGAAGAGGAATGTTGATGGTAATTTCACGGAGGATTCGTGCTTCTGGGCTCACGTCGAGGAGGCGCGGTTTTCGTGTGGGTTGATCAAGGATTTTGGGAGGTTTGGTGGTGGGAACGAAGAAGAGAAGAGGTTGTCTGAAGGTTATTTGTTGTGGTTTGAAAGGTATGTGATGGAGCAGATTGGGAACTATGCGTTGAATCCTGAGGTTTTTGTTGCTGAGAGTAGTTTTATGAAGTGGTGGGCAGAGTTTCATGGGATTGTGGGGAGTGGTCACAGATCAGAGTTGGCTGAGTTCATGAGGAAAGGGACGTTCCACAAGTATGGCTCTGATACGGTTACTAACACGCCTCAGAGGGACGAATTGATGTTTAACATGACACCAGGAAATTTTGATGGCAAAAATGTCAGCATGTTTGGTTCGTGTAGTCATCAATGATTGAAGCTAATCATATTGTCAGTCAATACAAAACTTCAAGTCCGATAATTGAGTTTGGTTCGAGGGTATATATAAGGTAACGACATAAGATTCAATCTCCAGCTTCGTTCTTTAAGGAATTAGAGCTATCGAGACGAACTGGTCTCTGATGATCAATTGCTAAGTTGCAGCATCTGCGGGAAGTAATGGATGCTCTTATTCAGTGGATGTGAGCTTACAAATACAATCATGTGTACATATACATTGGTGTAAGTTTTGTACATTTTCTGATGTAACTTAAAGTTTGTAACATCATCACTTAATGTTACTAATAGAAACTTCTTCCCATGAAGTGAGTTTTCAACCAGATTTCTGCTGGATGTATGAAGGAGAAAGCACAAAGGATCCCCTCGTGTTACACATTGATCTGTTCTTCCCAAGCTTCTTCTTTTCTTGGGCCCCCTTTTACTTTCTCTTGGCAAACAAATTGGTCCCTTACTTCAACCACATCAAGTCACAATGGTTCTGATTCCCTCCAGTTCATTGCTCAAGGAACCCCATAGCATAGCATTCAGCTTTCATCCTAAGCGAAGTTAACCATTCCTTCCATTAAAGTACCAAAAATAGAATGAAAAAGTTAACCAACCTATCACTTTTATAAGAGGAAGGAAAAAAGAACAGGTTGTAGCTTATAAACCCATTCTCCCCACATAGTTTGGAGAGACCATGAGCCTCCACCAGCCTCAAATGTATGAGTTACCAAACCAAACCATCTCTTGTTCTTCTTGTACTTGTTCTGCCAACTAAAGTTCTTCCCTGTTTGATGTTGCAGATTTGACAGTGGGCTGGAATTGGCAAATTGTGTGTTGAATTCGGATTTGCTACCTCTATCATGGACCTCTATCTCGAGTCTATACTCAGAAGTGAAGGCAAACTCACCGCAGCAATCTCCACCGTCCCCGTCTCCAAGGTTTCGAATTTACAAGCAAAATGACAACTCAGCAGTGGTTGTTGCATTTGTGACATGGCCGGTTTACTCTTCAGATCATCTTCAACAAGGAGATGGAGGGGCAGAGTTGGTCTCATCAGCAGATCTCAAGCAGCAGGACTTCCCTCACTTTGAATTCCTCTGCTCCAAAGCCAACCCTTCTTTCTCCTTCCTCAATGATGCAATCGCCTGCTTTGCCTCTCTTTTCGAGGACCTCGTTCCTCTCATGTCTGAGGTGCTACTTCTTCTTCTTGGTTCCTTTTCCTAGTATAGTTTTCATATTACTTGCCGTTATGGGTGAGATAGGACTCCAAAATTTGAGCTCCAGGAGTGATCAATACATACGTTGCTGAACCAACTCTATTTTAATTTGCATGGCAGTTGCTTGTCACAAAAGGCAATGAGATAGCCCTGAAATCGCCACTAATAGTGACGGGACATGCCTTAGGAGGTTCAATCGCCTCCCTCTTCACGCTATGGCTGCTGGACAGAATGAGCTCCAAGAAGCCGGCGAAGAGGCTCCCTCTCTGCATAACCTTCGGGTCGCCCCTCGTCGGCGACAAAGGCCTCCACCTGGCCGTCTCACAGCGCTCCACGTGGCCCTCCTGCTTCCTCCATGTCGCTTCGAGCCGTGACCCTCTTCCCTCTGCACTCCTTGCCACAGCGATCCATTCTTCTTCTTCATCATCGATCAGTAATTATGAGCCATTTGGGACGTTTCTGATGTGTGATGAGCAGAGTTGCGATTGCGTTGGAGACCCTGAAATCGTTTCGCGGTTGCTTTCCCACAAAGCGACGGAACAATTGGGATCTCTCGACGTTGATGAGTATGGGAAAATGGTGGAATATCTCAAGTCCAGAGTTATTTGCCAAGGAAGCTCGATACTTGGTCGTCCCATGGCGGATTCAATGCAGGCTGGGATTGCATTACAGCTTCAATCAATCGGCATTTCGCTAGATCAGGTAAACAGAGATCTCCAGGCCTTCCTTTTTACTTTGGCTAATAATAAGTGTACTTAAATGGGTATTACGTAATAATATCAATGCAGCAGAAGCAGAGCACAATCAGCCTAGCTACAGAGCTGGAGAAGAAGCAGAAATTCTCATCTTTCCGCAAACGGAGCGCGCTGGAGCAGAGCAGGAAATTACAAGAGATCAAAATGAAGATGGCGTACTTAGAATGGTATAAAAAGGACAGCAGAAACAAAGGAAAAGGGTACTACGACAGCTACAAAATACAGAGCACCACAGCCGACATAGAAATCGCCAAGCACAAGAAATTCCTGACCAATTACTGGAAGGACCTCGTCCAACAAGCCGAAAGCAAGTCCCAAAAGGAGAGCTTGTTCTTCCGAACCATGTTCCTCTACGGCGGAACGAATTACCGGCGAATGGTGGAGCCACTCGACATAGCAGAGTTCTACCGAGACGGAAACAGAGACTACAAGAAACAGGGGAGGTCGCCGCATTACATCCTGCTGGAGAAATGGCAGAAGGATGACGCTGCGGGGAAGGGCAAGATGAAGAAGAAGGAGAAGAAGTCAGTGGATATGATGACTGAAGATTCCTGCTTCTGGGCGGACGTCGAGGAGGCTCTGTCTGCGGTGAGATTGCTGAAGCAGAAGGGTAGCGGTGGTGGTGGTGAGTCTAGTGAGGCGAAGAGCCGTTTGGTGGAGTTTCAGAGGTATGTGATGGAGCAGATTGAGAACTATGCGGTGGATTCTGAGATTTTCCTGGGGGAGAGCTCGTTCATGGTTTGGTGGAAGGAGTTTCAGGAGGTTGCTGGGATTGTTGGAAGTGGTAGTTCTTCGTTGGTTGAGTATATGAAGAGCGGCAGATACCATAACTATGGTTCTCCTTAGTAATTCATATGTTCTTGCATTGAATTGTACCATTTTCTCTGTAAATGATCCCGATTCATCCTTGTAACTCTGCGTGTGAATATTATGCATTTATACTACTTACAAGTTACAAACCCATTACTCTGTAAATTGAGCTTATGATCCGTTACTAATTGAGTCTGATAAGTATGATAATCTATGGGCTGTGACTGTGAGTTTGAGATGTGATTGAGCATGATACTTAGTATATAACACGGATTGAATAATCAATCATTTGCATTTGTAAGTACTGGATTGGTCATTTATCTACGACCGAAATGTGTTCTAGGAATGTTGTAACTGTTTCTATTGTGCTTAGATCATATAGGTCACTAACTACTCCATATGTCGATTATTTAGCGAAGATTTCCACTCACTGAATACTTCTTAGTATGCACCCCCTCAATGTGTGTCTGATTGAGAAGAAGATTGCTTCCAGATTTAGTCGTGTTAGTAAGTCGTTAGTAAATAGTATGAGATCTGCAATTGACCCTCTGCTAGTAACTTTGAGTTATTGAGACTAAATTATTCATGACATGATATCAGAACATTCAATGATCGAAACATGTTGTATTTGAATCTCGGGGTCTCCCATTTGTAAAGCAATTAATATTTGGACATGGGAAAAATTCAAACTCATGAGTTTATTTTCGTTTTAGAAGCGTGTTAATTAAAAATATAAAATTGTTAATAAAATATCTCTCAACAATTCGAATTATTGTAACTAGATCATTCATCACATAACCTAATAATACCTAACGAGCCTGAAAGGTCGGGTGCCACTATTCTTTAAGTTTGTCCTCTATTCCTTTGGCTCATAATATGTTAGTGTTTCCTAGATTGATATATGACGGGGTTCTTCATGCATGGGTCTGAAATGAAGTTTTTTCATACTCAGTCAGCATTTCGATTTACCTTTATAAGCATTATCTCTTCTGAAAGTTGAATGGTCATGGCCATGGTAGACAGTACCTGAGTGAGTTCGCGAGGAAAGGTATGTATCGCTAATGACTCTTATTTGTGATTTGAAGAATGCATTACGGAGACTACAAAAGAAAAATATGGCAAAATACATTAATTTTCTGGCAATTATATATGTTTATATACGACACAAATATGTTTTTGATACGGAACACACATGTCAATAGTTGGAACACGAAGTTTTAATAATAAATATCATGGGTTGAATCGAATTGGCGGAGTTGGTCGATTTGCGAGGTTTTTTTGTTCATCAAGGGCAACCTATTGATGGTTGAGAGCCACCTAACCAGAGACCCAAAAAGAACTTGAACATGATACAGGTCCATCCGGACATAACCAACATTCTTACCCAAAACGATCAAACTCAATCCCAATCGGTCAACCCATCTACGTAGATTTTAGAAACCCTAAAAAATGCACATGATGCTTCAAATAAAAAGACAACAATATGGTGCCAGCTATACTCCGTGACCGTGAGAGTCCAGCCAGGCAATGACATGCATGATGCAGCCCAGAAATGCGAAAACATGGATGGATTCTCTAATCCCTTTCTTTTCCCCCAAATTAACTCGTTGCTCACACTCGTCTCGATCGTAAGGTAATTGATGAGCTGTTGTATATGGCCCATACGTACAGAGACAGCCGTCGCCATCCATAATTCTCTACTTCGTCGTCGGCGGTCGGCCCCATGCCATGCATTATATATTCCTCCTCGATCGTGTGTTTTCCAGTTGTGAATGAGCTAGCTTTGCCACTCTTGTAGCTCACATTACTTTCACACCCCCCAAAAGTCCCACACCAGCTAGCTACCGCGTTTTGGGAGATCACGATTCCATCGGAAACCACTTTTCAGTTGATCAGAGTTTAATTAGAGTTCTATAAGATTCATAAATACGGCTTTTCAATTGATTCATTACATTTTTTTTTATTTTAATTTCGGATAGCCTTGGAAATAACACAAAACGAGAGGATTGTGCTTGATTTAGATGATCAAGAGCAAATTTGTTCGTCGAGTATTAACTTGCAAAACAAGCAAGAATGCGAGATGTTGTAATTCGGATTCTTTCTCCCGAAAATTTGATGTGGAAAATCGAAAAAATTAAAGGTAGAGCTAGGTAGGAAAGCGTACATCATCCTTTCTAATCTTAATCGTGGGTGTGTTATATTGTTAAGGGGAGTAGAAATATGCTAATTACCGGCTTGAGCAACAAATGACAAACACTTACCCCTAACAGAGCATGCTCTTTGAGCATCGTCGAGTATCGGCATTTATGAAACTCATTCAAATTCTCTTTGTATATGGGATCAAACAAACTCTCTGCTCCATGAGCATCAAAGAAAAGAGTCATAATTTATGGATAATTAGCATAAATGGTCATAAATCTTTGTACTCGCTACAAAAAGATCATAAATTTTTAATTTGTAACAATACAGTAAGAAAAGTTTAAAACTGTATGTACTAGTCACCTCTATTTAATTTGTGACTGGTTTATATTAAAGGTTTGAGACTGTTTTGAGGTCGAATCGTATGTTCGTCCAGTGTATGACACTAACCACTTAAATGACATGAGATGTCGAGTCCTGTGTTCATCTATATATTTGCCGGATAAGAATGCTCTTTGTTTACATTTCAGTTCCAACACCAATAAACTAAGAAAGTAGGCAGAATTTTTTGAAACCCATTTGTGAGACATTGAATTCTCTAATCGCCATCCTTTGTTTTTTTTTTCTTATGACTATTGTCATCCTTTGTTACGATCATATTATTCACACAAATTAACAAAGGCATCATACCTCGACTAGAGCAAGTGCTACAGTGATTGATCTTTCAAACGTTTGAACATTGTACAAAACTATCACCAAAAAAATTAATTTGTAACGATACAATAATAATAGATTGAACTTGTATGAAATAGTTACTATATTTTGTTACTATATCATTACAAATTAAAGATTTGTGACAATTTTGTACTAAGTGCAAAATTTTGTAATTACTTATTGAGTCGCCATTAACATTGTGATCTTCATTAAACTTCTGATCATTAATTCAGCAACAATTATAACCCTCAAATGTTCTCAATTATCGATTAACAAAAGAACCGAGCCAAGATTAGTGGTGGGATGTCCACATTGATACCATTAATTGGATTTTCCCCCACCCCGTTAATCATTTGCCAACCACATTCCACATGAACCAAAAACACAGACGACTATCACAATGCAGAGTGAAACTCCAATCACATTATATAATACAATTACAAATATTTGAAAACTCCATTCCATTGTAGTTTTGATTATGTGCTCTGCAATACGTCTATTTGCATCATTATTAGGGATGGTAATGAGGCGGATTTGTGGCGTGTTTGAATAAACCATCCTCATTCCCGTTTTCAAATATCTATACTCATAATTGTCCCATATTCATGCGGGAAAGGTTTTGCAAATTCATCCTCATACCCATGGGTTTCGGGTACCCATGGGTAATACGCACCCCATACATCCAGCATTATAATACCGAATATTTTACATAGATTTTCTATTATAACATTAAACGCACCTACTATATCATGAAGTCGACAAAGAGACAATAATTTTTAATACGATTCAAAGCATCTTATCCGAAAGCATTCATTAATCCATATAAGAATAGAGTACAATGTCATCCAAAATCATTATTCTCTATTATGATACATCTATTAAGTAATAATTAACTAACATAATTTTCTTAACAAGGGAAAAAGGTGAAAGAGTGAAGGAAAAATTGAGAGAAAGAAATTTGATTTAGGTGGCCACTCAATTGCATTTCTACTATATATATTTTTCTTGAGCTATTATTGATAGGTTACAAATTGATTCACATATTTTTCATATATGAAGAAATATTTTTGGTGGGCCTGGTATGGGTATGAGTATGGGGCGGGAGAAGCTAAAACCATACCCGCATCATACCCATCAAATTTTTTGCGGGTTTTACCCATACCTGGCCCATACCTGGTCAATGCGGGGATTCCCCGCGTTGACTGAATCGGGGGCGGTCGGATACCCGTGGGCATGGGTTCGATTACCATCCCTAATCATTATCAATATCGTATTCTTTTTATGTTGTAACTTCTAGAACATAGGTTATAACATTTTATCTCGAATTTTTCTAAAGGGTTAATACCCTAGTTTGGCCCGAAGTTTAGCGTTAGTGACCGTTCTGGCCTCATTTTTCAAATAAGACATTTATGGCATACTTTTGAAATTATTGAACAAATTTGGCCTATAATTTAAATTGACCGTCAAAATTGACGGTCAACTATTATCTCCGTTAGTAACTCAACATACTGTGCTGACTGGATGTGTACACATCATTATTTTTACCAAAACAAGTCATTATTATTTAATATAAAATAAAAAGCAAAAAAAAAAAAAAAAAAGAGAGGGGGCACGGACCACTCTTCCCCTTCCTCATCTTCTTTCTCCATTATCCTCCCCAAATACACGTAACCCTAAATAATTAGAGACCCACCACCAGCCCCTCCCCAGCCAAATCGCCGCTAACAAAACCCAGTGCCACCGCCCGCCGTCTTCTTCTCCCCTCGCCAAATCGATGCCCTAAACAAATGAACCCAGCGCCGTCGTGCTCTTTCCAAACCCGCCGCCGCCGTGCTCTTGCCAAACCCGCCGCCGCCGATTCGAGACAATCCCCAACGTTGACGCCACCCAGGACGCGTCGGTGCTGTCCAAGCTAGCTCGCCTCTGTCGCCATAATCTCTGGTTGTTTCTTCTTCCCTTGGATCACCTTGCCGCCTAATGGTTCGACAACGAGATCGGCAGATCTGGGACAGGGAGATCCGACAATCCATCCCCTTCCCTCTCTTCTTTCTCTCCATCATCGAACCAAACACGCGCGTTGCACCGTCAGCGCTCCCATCGCCTCCGCGGAAGAGGAACCGTCTTGAGCCCGACGAGGAGAGACATAAGGACAGACAGAGAGCATCGGCTAGTGATTTGTGGACGGGATCTCGAGTGAGCAGCAACAGAAGCGGACGGACAAAAAGAAGGACAGGGAAGATGGAATGGAGGTAGCTAGAGATGGAAATGGTGGCGAGATGGGTAGGGAGGATGGGTGAAGATTTTAGGAAATCCATTGGGTGGGGAGGGTAGTGAATTGGGTCGTGAGGGGAGGGAGTTAGGGTGAAGATTGGATTTTGGTTTTTTTGTTTTATTTTGTTTTAAGATTTTGTTTTTGAATTTTTTCAACCTAAAAAAATGATGTGCCAGTTATCTTGGATCCACCTCAGCATTTTGATGCTCAGTCACTGACGGAAAAATAGTTGACCGTTAATTTTGACGGTCAATTTAAATCATAGGCCAAATTTGTCCAATAATTTCAAAAGTAGGCCATAAATGTCATATTTGAAAAATGGGGCCAGAACGGTCACTAACGCTAAACTTCGGGCCAAACTAGGGTATTAACCCTTTTCTAAATTGTAAAGTACAACAATACAAAAATATTACATACTATTACTTATAAAAGGTTGTTTTCATATCTTTCAAGGAATTGGCTACATATATGACAAACAATTGCATGGCATATGTGCACGACTATGGCAACATAATATTTGAAGAGATAATGGAGGCAATTACAATTTACTTTTTTACAAGAATACCAAAGAATAATCGAGAAATATTGTATATGCTATATGAATATCTAACAATAAGGGTGAGAGGACCATCTCTTGACGTTAAGCCCCAAAGCCTAATGTCGATCATTAATTTCTTGTCCTCTTTATTTAGAAATTATCACATTTATCTCTATAGTTGGAGAATCTATTCAAGTATCAAGGCATACCTAAAAACCTCTTCTAAAAACTAGGGGTGGCTATATGGTCCGGTCCGGTTAAATTGGACCAAATTGATCCGATCTCAGTCCGGTCTTTTCGGGAATATAAGGACCAAAGATTGGATTGGATACACTCCGGTCTTGATCCGGTCCGGTCCCAATTTGATTTTAATTTTAGATTGAGCTTGTGGGGATTTGAGTGTTGGGGTCTCTTATCCGGGTTTTTTTTACCTCAAATCTAAGCCCTAATATGAGATTGGATTGTTTGCTATCCGGTCCCAGTCCGGTCCTGGTCCAGGTTATACGGTCCGGTTTCGGGTAAAACCAAACAGTCCTGGACCAAATTGCCAGCCCTACTAAAAACCTCTTGCACATATGAGATAATCCAGCTTAATCCAAACACTGGTCTAACCACACCCAACCCTCCTTGGTCCATTCTCCAACCATCGATCCACCCCACCAAGTGAGTGCCACTGCCACCCTTCCCCTAACGCTTCTTCTGATGCCTTCTAGTTTGTCCACCTTTGCAGCCGGACATTATGCTAGCTCCAGGCCAACAAATACACCAAACTGGGAATCTAAAAGCCCAATGTTAATTCCGGTTCAATAATATTATCCACAATCTTGACATCTTGTTTCTTCTCATGGCGGTAAATCAATTCGGTCCAACCCTGGTTGGATCCAGACCCCATTTATCCAAACCCCTGAAATCCCGTGATTGGCGGGTTTAAAAAAAAATAACTTAAAAAATCGTTGGCGCGTGTACTTCAATCGCCCACCCCCTTTCCCCCTCTGAGTCTCTCTCCATCTCATCTCTCTTCCCGAGCAGTACTGTAAATTCCAAACCCTTTTTCTTTACTTTCTCTCCCCTCTCTCTCTCTCCTTTTCCCCTTTCCGTTCATCTCAGCTAGCTAGTGGCCACAAACACTTCCCCCATTTTCTCCCTTTCTTCTTCTCCTCCCCCACATTGCCTTCGATCCATTCTCCGTCCGCCGTCTGAGCCCTCTCTTCGCATCAATCGAAACTCCAACCATGGCTACACCACCACCGCGGCCTTCTTCGTCGCTGCTCGTTTTCCTCTCCTCCGTCTTCCTCTACCTAGCAGCAGTCTCCGAATCCAAGCTCTCCTACAGCTACTACGACAAATCCTGCCCCAAATTCGCCCAGATCATCCAGGACACCGTCACCGACAAGCAAATCAAGAGCCCCACCACCGCCGCCGGAACCTTACGCCTCTACTTCCACGACTGCTTCGCCAACGGCTGCGACGGCTCCGCCCTCATCTCGTCCACCGCATTCAACAGGGCCGAGCGCGACGCCGACATCAACCTCTCCCTCCCCGGCGACGCCTTCGACCTCGTCACGCGCGCCAAAGTCGCCCTCGAACTCGCCTGCCCCAACACCGTCTCCTGCTCCGACATCCTCGCCGTCGCCACACGAGATCTCGTCACCATGGTCGGCGGGCCCTTCTACAGCGTCCTCCTGGGCCGCCGCGACTACCGCGTCTCCAAATCCTCCGCCGTCCCGGGGAATCTCCCTTTACCTTCCATGTCCACATCGCAGATGATCGAAATGTTCGCCGCCAGAGGGTTCTCCGCCCAGGAGATGGTGGCCCTCAGTGGCGCCCACACCATTGGATTCTCCCACTGCAAGGAGTTCACCGGGCAGCTCTACAGCAACGGCACGGGATCGGGTGGGTATAATCCTAGATTTGCGCAGGCGCTGCAGAAGGCGTGCGCGAACTACAAGAAGGACCCGTCTATCTCGGTGTTCAACGACATCATGACGCCCAACAAGTTCGACAATTTGTACTACCAGAACTTGCCCAAAGGGTTGGGCCTGCTGGCGTCCGACCACGGGCTCGTCTCCGATAGCCGGACCCGGCCGTTTGTGGAGCTGTACGCCAGGGATCAGAACAAGTTCTTCCAGGATTTCGCCAAGGCGATGCAGAAGCTGAGCGTCTACGGGATCAAGACTGGGAGGAGAGGCGAGATTAGGCACAGGTGTGATGCTGCAAACTGATTGGATTGAATTCTTTTCTTCTTTTTGGAACTCCATTGATTCATATATGGTCGGTCATTCTGTCTGGGATAAAAAATTTGGAGGTTGTTACAATGCTACGATTATATAAATTATAAATGGTTTTTTTTTGGGGGGGGTGTGATCGTTGTTCTTTCCTTTTTGGTTCTACGAGCGTCTCAGAATGGATCGGATTTAGTGTTTTAGATGATTATCTTTGTATACGGGGGATGGAGGAAAGAAAGAAAGCAAAGAACTTTACTCTGTATCAGGCAAGAAAAAAAGGAAAAGGGCCGATTTGAACTTTGTAAAAATTGATACTTTATATTTGATATAGTTTGGTTCTGCTTCGGTTCATCTCCCACTGTATAAATTGAAATTTTTGGCGAGAATGAGTCCCCTGAGGTGAGCCTGACCTAGGGGCCAGCAGGCAGCATGGTTGCTGCTGGTGGCTGTAGTTAATCTGAGAAACTGAAACTAACCAATCAACTCAACAGAGAGTCGGGGGTCAGTTGGAAGGAGAAAGAAGGTAGGAAATGGGGGATTGGAAGAATCCAAAGCTGAGAAGGATTATTAAAATGGTGACGGGAAGTGAGGACCGGGGCAGGGAGCAAGCAATTAAGCATTACCATAATACCGAGGTAGAGGCGCAATCAGCGGTGAGTTTATTTATTATATGGGATTCTGAAATTGGGAGCTTATTAACAATAAATTAAAATTCCTTCAGACTGTCACGACTCTACTCTATGCTGAATTTTGGCATTGGGGACTGGGGTTGTGGTGTGAGAGATTATATTATTAGTTACAGCACAACGTTTTGGTTTTGGACTCATTGCTCATAAGCGTCGGTGACACCTTGTCCCAGAAGAACCAATTCCTTACATGTGCGCAGCCGGCTTTCAAGGCATACTTCCTCGTCATTTCCCACCGGAGACAGTTGCAGTTAACATCTCGACACTGTTGTTCATAAAGAAATGATAAACAGTTGCGGACAGTCTCAGGGTTTCTTCATCAGGACATTTCAAATTCCTACTCGGCAGAGCTACTTGCAGCATTCTTGTTTATAATCACCCGTCACATACTTAAGGTGCGTGCTCCGATTTCTTTGGGGTGGTACCCTCCCTATTGATTCATTTGATTGTGCGAGTACCATCTATTGATATCGTCTTTTTTCAAGTGTTATGGTGTTCAAGGTGCTTTTTTTCGGAAGTTCTACTGTACTACTTATGAAGTCGCGCACAAATTTCTGTTGATGTCTACGTCAAACTCAATGGCGGAGCCACATTTTATCCATGAAGAACTATAGTCTACATTGAAAAATAGACTAATTGGCAAGACTCTTGCTCCCTCTCCGATGACCATGGTCAAATCTCTCAAGTATAAATTTTTTAGCCGCTCGTTCAGATTTCTAACTTCGTCCTTAAATCGAACTGTTGATGTGATTTGAATCTGACTATTAGCCGCTATGACTTGAATTCACGGGACTGGTTGTAATTGCTTTTCCTTAACCATATTGGATTAAGGTTGGACCTAGAAGAAGTACTATAAATACTTCTCATACTCCTCTGTAATCTGTATCTCCTCAAGTGTAGTGAAAAATGGCTATCTCCTGCCCGTTGACTAGCTAACACACATTGTGTTAGTGAAGCACGTAAATTGTGTATGTTCGCTTGCTCGCCAATCCTCATTTCTGTCCCGTGAAGTTCTCTCCTCCTTGTCGCATGCCTCTTCTTTCCTGTCTCATGCTCTTGTGTGTATGCTAGTCCTCTCCGGGAAGATCCTCCTCAATAACTTCTGAAGATAATTTTCGATGATGTTGTCCAAGTTTCTGACTGCTCGTCTGACCTTGTTGTTCGTGACTCGGACGGGCATGTGCTTATGGCCTTGGGTGTCCAGCATCAGTGGATCTTATGACTCGGATCTTGGAGAACTCCTTGCAGCCAGGGATGCAGTCTCTCTTGCAGCTTCTAGGAGTTTGCCTCGTGTCATCCTCGAGTCGATGCATAAGCTATCATACTTTTATATTGCCGTCTGTTTCTCAAGTCTTTTTTTCAATGTATAGATTTTAGTGCAGTTCCGCGGACTGCCAACTAGGTTGCGAGCAAGAGTGGCACGTAAAGCCCTGTTGTTGTCTTGGTTAGAGTTAGCTTCTTTTGATTTTGTTAGTTGATTTGTTAGTGGGATCGGGAGGGATTGTGGGTAGTAATTCTTTCTAACTATTGTCTTGACCTTACTCGGGGGGGGGGGGGGGGGGGGGGGGGGAACCACGTAAATCGTGTATTATGTATGTACGCTTTCATTTTCTTGCATTGTTGAATCCTTCTATTTTCGATCCGCAGAAAAAAGTCGTGTCGTAAATAATTTTATAGCAAATTATCCTGTTTTTGCATTTAGGACAGTAATCTACCGCCAAAATCTCAGATGACAAACTATCCCTCAAAGTCGTGTGTTTAATCAAGTACGTAGGCATTATCATACAACGATGCCAAGCCAGCTGTCTGCGGCCCGGCCCACCTGGAAAGGCTCAAAATTGTCGGCCCAGATAAAAGGTTTGCATGAGGAGTTGGCCCGCTCGCCTATGATGGGCACCTAACGCTCTCATTTTACCTACCAGGCTACCACCACCAATGTGATGAAAAGTTTCGAGAACAAACAAATAATGATCAAGGAGAAAAGCCAAAGCCCAAAATGGCCTTTCTTTACATTATCACCATTGGAGAAAACACTAATTATTACGAGGCCGCAGACCTGAGAATGAGGTTGTGATTGTTAGAGGGAGGGCGGGTATACGGTCCGGTCCGGTTAAATTGAACTAAATTGATTCGGTTTCAGTCAGGTCTTTTTGGAATATAAGGACCAAAGATTGGATTGGATACAATCTGGTCTTGATCCGGTCCGGTCCCAATTTGATCTTAATTTTAGGTGTTGGGGGTCTCTTATTTGGTCTTTATCCGAGTTTTTTTACCTCAAATTTAAGCCCGAATATGAGATTGAATTGTTTGCTATCCAGTCCCACTCCAGTCCCGGTCTGGGTTATACGGTCCGGTTTCGGGTAAAACCAAACAGTTCGGACCAAATAGCTAGCCCTAGTTAGAGGCACCAGTTTGAATTTAAATGATTTAGATTGAAGTTTTGACGTTATTCTAGTGTTTTTTTTAATGATAGTCATTGACAATAAAACTATCATACTCGTCTAATCCACTCATCTGAGCTCGTCGATGTTCATAAAGGTCGAAATTTACTGCAAATGACGAATTTATTTTCCATAACGAAAAACAAAATTATATGATTGTACAACGCTTGAAAACTAATGAATATATATATATATATAAAAAAATTACATCCTTTCCCATGTTCGACGAAACCCATGTTCATCTTTCGTCTCCTATACAAAATCAAAGCACATCTCAAATTCTCAATCATGGAGCATAAAATAATTAATAACTCAATTAATTACAAGGATTCCTAAACTTCATGTACGCGTTGACAAAATACAAGATTTAGCAGCCATGATGACAATGTGACCGGATGCTTACTCGGTGTATGATGCAGCCATGACGACCATATGATGTGCCGTGGCAGTTGAAGGTTCTCGTTCAATGTACGTATATAAATATAGATCATCACAAATGGACAAAACCTTGTTCAGTTCACTAGCCATCGTGCGACCTTAAATCAACAATTCAACCCCTCTTTCTCAATCCCTATATATGATGAAACCATAAAGCAGGTGAAACCCATATTATCATTCATCAATCATCCCTCCAATTCCCACAAGAAAAAGATCAAACTCTCTAAAAGCTAGACTCGATCGAGATGGTTCAGAAGCACCACGTGGTCGTGTTCTCGTCTCCTGGAATGGGCCACCTCATCCCGCTCGTCGAGCTCTCCAAGAAGCTCGTCACGGCCCACGACCTGTCCATCACCCTTATCATCCCGTCCTTGGGGCCACCTCCCAAAGCTCAAGCTCACGTGCTCGAGTCGCTCCCACCCGGTTCGATCAACCACCTCCTCCTCCCTCCGTCCGATCCGTCCAAGTTCCCGACCGGTTCCCGAATCGAGACCCTGATCTGTCTCACCGTCGCCCACGCGATTCCCGCGCTTCGTGATTCGCTCAGGTCACTGGTCGAGAGGGTTGGAAGGCCGGTAGCTCTGATTGCTGACTTCTTCTGCACCGACACGTTCGACGTTGCCAGGAAATTCGGGGTGCCGAGTTACCTGTTCATCCTCATGAATGCTACGGTATTGTCGATGTTACTTCATCTCCCGAGGCTCAACCAGGAGGTGTCTGGTGAGTACGGGGACATGGATCGCCCTATCCGGCTCCCCGGTTGCAGGGTCGATCTCCCCGGTCCGGATCTGCCCGACCCACTTCTCGACCGGAAGGACGACGCCTACAAATGGTTCATGCACAACGCCAAACGTTTAAATCTGGTGGATGGATTCCTGGTAAACAGCTTCACGGAATTGGAAGGAGAGACCATTCGGTATTTGCAAGAGAATCCCGGACCCGAGAAGAAACCGGTCTACCCGGTTGGACCCATCATCCAATCCGGCCAATCCAACGGTTCGACCGATCCGAGCGGGTGTTTGGAATGGCTGGATGATCAGCCAACCGGTTCGGTGGTGTTCATTTCGTTCGGCAGCGGCGGGACTCTGTCTTCGAAACAGCTGAAAGAGCTGGCATTGGGTCTGGAGATGAGCGAGCAACGTTTCCTCTTGGTGGTGAGAAGCCCCAACGACGCGGCCACCGACGCCTCGTATTTCAGCGCGAAGAGCGCTTCGAACCCGCTCGATTTCCTGCCCGATGGGTTCGTGGAGCGAACCAGAGGCAGAGGCATGGTGGTTCCGTCGTGGGCGCCGCAAATCCAAGTGCTTGGCCACCGGGCCACGGGCGGTTTTGTGAGTCACTGCGGGTGGAACTCGACGCTGGAGAGCATTGTGAATGGGGTGCCGCTGATTGCCTGGCCGTTGTACGCGGAGCAGAGGATGAACGCCGTGCTGCTGGAGAAGGATATGGAGATCGCGTTACGGCCGGAAGCAGGGGAGGACGGGGTGATCGGGAGGGAAGAGATCGCGAGGGTCGTGAAGGGTCTGATGCAAGGGGAAGAAGGTGCGGCGGTTCGTGAGAGAATGGCGAAGCTGAAGGTGGCGGCGGCGGAGGCAATGAAGGAAGGAGGTTCTTCCACCAAGTCGTTGGGTGAATTGGTTTCTAAGTGGGGAGAAGTGTCATTAGAATAGACTATTGACCAAAATAATAATTAGTTGATTTTGTTTTCATTGTCATGAATTGTATTCTCTTTGTGCAGCTGTGCTCTCCATTATTTGTTTTCAAGGTCCATTTAATAATTGACTTGAGCTTTTATTTTTTGTTGGTGGTAGTTAGCAACTTAGCATTATTAGCGTTGTCGTTAATAACAGTTCCTTGTATCCAATACGAAGCCCTCTGCCTCTCAAACAGGTTTCTTGCCGACTGTCCATCTTACCTCGGTACATTCATAGGTTCTTCACTGACAGTTTTGGAGGTGTGTTGTTCATAGCATTTCAGTTTGATGCTGTTGTTTGAAACTTCTTAGTTGGTGATGATGTTATCCGAAATATTATGATAGCTATGTTGTTGTGAATTTGGAGATTTGTATAGTTTTGTGCTTTAGTTTCGTGATAAGTATTGTACGGAGTATTCCTAATTTTTTTTAAAAGATAAAACTACTTTGACAAGACATCTTGTCACTTCTCTTTCTTCTCCATTAATGTTCTGCAAGGAAATGCCTTCTTTGACAGTGATGTATTTTGGGATTAGTAGTTGATGAGTATTTTATACAGTTGCTTTGTATGATTTTTAAATTGTTGGTAAGTAATTAACATCAATTTTTTTAGGGGTCATTTGGTTTGGATGATAGTTTGCTTGAGATAGTTACAAAGTATGCATTGTCCATAATAGTTTTTTTATTTATTTTTTGCACAAACAATACATGCATTATTTGTTTGATGTGACACAAACTATCACTCAAAATGATTAAATTAGTGATAGTTAAATATCAAATTTTGGATAAGATAGTTTGGTAGATATTGTTGGTTTTTTTTTTTCAACTATGTCCCTACCATTTTATGTGTGTTGCTTTTTTTAATATTACAAAAGGGTAAAAGTGACATTTCACACAAAAGTAATATAACTTAACTATACATTTCCTAACTATCATATAAACCAAACGACTGACTAATGTCATGACACGAGTACTATTATGTAATTTGTTATAGAATTATTATTTTTTTATAGTTCTAGAAGTTATATATTTTCCTAAACTTTTTTAAATAGAAAATGGACTAATTATAAGTGGTCAATTTATAGAACCCAAGACGGCTCAATATTTGGTATGAACCCAATAGATGAAAACTAGATACTAACATAGTCATGAGTTTTATGACAACTTTAGCTAAACCCAATATATATGAACTTAGATATACCCGATATTGGAGTGGCGGAATTGCGGAATTGCTGCTTTGTAATTTGTATATTATCAAGTATAATGAAAATGGTGTCTCATTGCAGATTAACTAACATAAATTGTATTAGCGAATTATGTAAATCTGTGTATATCTATCTACTTACATTTTCAATTTCGCGATATGTCACAACACTAACATTTTCTCTAAGTGTCAACTCTTGATCATATTGCCTTCTTTGTTAATGCCATTCACCATTCATTCAAAGGAGTTATAGTAAGATCCTCGGTATAATTAGCAGCTAGCTATAGCCAACCAGTAGAGTGTCACCAATCACATGCATGCATCCACTTTTACAAGTAGAGATCACAAAATCAAAATTGCTTTCCTTCTCTTCAGATTCCTCTGGCACCTGTGACAATGGCAAAAGCATCTCAATCATGGGACATACAACATAGTAGTATGTCTCAGCAATGACGACGATATGATGTGCCCATCGCTCCATCGCACTTGCAAGGAAGCATCGCTTATCAATTTTCTATATATAGTCTTCCCAAATGCACTGAACCTTGTTGACTAACTGTCGTATGAACTTACATCATCACTTCTCTCTCTTAATTCCCTATATATAAGCCAAATTAGGCAGTTGAAATCCATCATCAATCATCTCATTATCCCCACGTCCTTCCTAACACTAGCTACCTTAGCTCTCAGCTTTCTGCGTTAAAAAACCAAGCAGAAAACACAAGAACCATAAAACTAACCCGCACCAATGGCCAGAAAGCCCAATGTAGTCATTTTCCCTTCACCGGGAATGGGCCACCTCATCCCTCTAGTCGAGCTCTCCAAGAAGCTGGTCCTGGCCCACGACTTATCCATCACCCTCATCGTCCCATCGTTGGGCCCACCCTCGAAGGCCCAGACCCAAGTCCTCGAGTCTCTCTCGCCCGGTTCGATCAACCACATCCTTCTCCCCCCGACCAACCCATCAGACTTTCCAGCTGGTACTCGAGCTGAAACCCTGATCTGCCTCACTGTTGCCCAGGCAGTTCCTGCGCTTCGAGACGAGCTCAAATTGCTCATCGAGACGAGTGGAAAACCGGTTGCTCTTGTCGCCGACTTCTTCTGCACTGACACTTTCGATGTGGCCAGAGAGTTTGGTGTGCCGAGTTATTTGGCTGTCCTCACGAATGCCATGACACTGTCGATGTTACTTGATCTCCCGAGGCTCGATGAGGAGGTCTCTGGTGAGTACGGGGACATGGATAGCCCAATTCGCTTCCCTGGATGTAGGGTCGATGTTCTCGGTTCGGACTTGCCTGACCCGGCTCTTGACCGGAAGGACGAGGCGTACAAATGGTTCATACACAACCTGAGACGCACCAATTTAGCGGAGGGATTCATAGTAAACAGCTTCACGGAGTTGGAAGGTGAGACCATTCAGTTTTTGCAGGAGAACGTCGTGTCCGGGAATCAACCAATCTACCCAATCGGACCCATCTTCCAATCCGGCAGCTCGAACGATTCGGCCGATCCGAGTGGATGTTTGAAATGGCTAGACACTAAACCAACCGGTTCCGTTGTGTTCGTTTCTTTCGGTAGCGGTGGGACCCTGTCTTCAGAACAATTAAAGGAGCTGGCACTCGGTCTGGAGACGAGCCAACAAAATTTCCTCTGGGTAGTGAGAAGCCCGAACGACGCGGCGGCCAACGCATCTTACTTCAACTCGAGAAGCGGTTCGAACCCACTCGATTTCCTGCCTGAAGGGTTCGTAGAGCGAACCAGAGGGCGGGGCCTGGTGGTCCCATCGTGGGCCCCACAGATGCAAGTGCTTAGCCACGTGGCGACGGGTGGGTTCGTGAGTCACTGCGGGTGGAACTCGACGGTGGAGAGCATTGTGAATGGGGTGCCGCTGATTGCATGGCCGTTGTACGCCGAGCAGAGGATGAATGCCGTGCTTCTAGAGAAGGATTTCGAGATTGTGTTAAGGCCAAAAGCAGGGGAAAATGGGGTGATCGGAAGGGAAGAGATTGCCAGGGTCGTGAAGGGTCTGATGCAAGGGGAAGAAGGTGCGGCGGTTCGTGAGAGAATGGCGAAGTTGAAGGTGGCGGCCGCCGAGGCAGTGACGGAGGAAGGTTCTTCCACCAAGTCGTTGGGTGAACTGGTATCTAAGTGGAAGAAGGGACATTAGATCAACGATGCATGATTTTCTAATTGATGTGTTTCATTTTATGTTTATTATTATATCAGTGTGGGGTATTTGTACCTTAAAATTAAAGTGTGGGCATTAGTGTTCTAGTTTCCCTTGTGCTCTATTAGACTATCACCTTGTTCAGTTGTCCGGTGGGCTGATAATTTACGTGAGGTTTTGTTCTTTCTAGCTAAAATACATGTGAAATGGTGATTTGAGGTTGTGATTGATCAAATGTGTCTGTCTGGTACAAGTTACGAATTTTATTGGCTTATTTCGTTCAATAAAATCAATAGTTAGAAAAGTCGAAAAGACCTTTTTAGTATACTATGGATTGATGTGCGGAAGGACATGGTTTAAAAATATATATAAAAACCAAAAAAAGGAAAGAATTCTTTTATATCGACTTAATGATGTAACCAAATGGGTTCGTGATCAATCAACCCTATCATGTATTAGTTTGAGGCCATTAGTAGGCTAATAAAGTGAGAGGCATCGCTGGTAGAAGTTGAAGTTCATCCATCATCCCTAGAAAATCAGAAAGATTGCTAGCGAGATGAGCATGTATTTACTTTTAGTATCATCTATAAATTATGATACTAAACTTCTTATCTAGCCCTCCTTCTCCTTTTTTTTAATAGTAACTTAGTTACCCATGATCATCAATTTTTATCTACTTTGTTCTTTATCACCTTATGATTTAAATTCAATGCATATTTTCTAACTAATTATTGTACGACTACTTTTTTATTGAAATATGTTGTTACAAAGTGGTGCTACTAGGAAGGGAAGGAAAAGTACCGAAACTAGGAATCAAACACACAAGTTCGAAGAGTGAATTGCGTCGATCCACCAACCAGGCTGATTCTCATTCTTTATTTTATGACCACTAAAGATGAACATTTCGTGACTTTGTTATTAATTTTGCCCTAAAAATTAAAAGAGACTCACCAATATACAAAGCAATGGTTAAATACAAAAAAAAAAAAAACTTTATTTACCTTTTTTTTTTTGTCCCACTCCATAGGGAAAATTTCCAAATCATCTTTTCCTGTTTTCCTCTTTCTTTTTAGGAATAGAGGAAACTAGAAAAGAAAAAACAAATTGTTTGGGTACCCCAAGAAAATAAAACAATGGGGACAAGAAGGCAAAAAGCCCACAGCCAAAACCCAATCGCCCACCCAATAGCCCAATACACTCACCCCGCAGTCCAAACACAAAAAGGAAAAAACAGATTTACATTTACACCCACAAAACAAAAAGGTAATTCAACGAAAAAAAAAACAAAAAGGTAAAAAGGAAAGTTAAAAAACCTGTAACAAAGTCATTCCGAGTCCCCGTCACGACTCAACTCGCTGATCACCGAGTCTTGCCGGAGAAGTCCCACCGAGTTTCCATTTCCAGCAACTCCCCCCAATCCACCTCCTCCACCGCCGTGTCTTCCTCCGCCTTCCTCCGTAGCATCTCCAACACCATCTTCGCCTTCTCCCTCGTCCCTTCTCTCCGCCCCCTTTCCGCGCCCGTCGCCAGCACCTCCTCCGCTCCCGCCGCCTTCGCTAGCCCCTTAAACCTCAACCCGCCCTGACACAGTCCGCACAACACCGTCACACAGCTCTCCTCAATCGACTCATCCAATTCCGATTCCGATTCCGATTCCAACTCGCCCCTCAACCGACTCACCAAACACTCCACCCCGCCGCCGTCCAGCATCGCTGCACGCCCGTCTGCGCAGAACGCCAAATTTCCCAGTATCAACAGAACTCGACCCGCCATATGACCCGACTTCAAAATCCCCAACAGAACACCCACCGACCCGATGCGCACCATCTTACTCCGATTGCTCTGAATCAGCGACAGGTGGTACAGAGCCAGAGCCGAGTCATCCCGAGTCCGCTCGCTCCCGGACCGGAGCAAATTCAAGAGCGGCGGCAACGCCCCCAAAACGCCGATTGCCGTCTTGTTGTGATCGTCGAGCGCCAAGCTGAAAATCGCCCCGGCTGCGTGGTCCTGCGCCTCGGGAAACCCACCCTTCAACACATCAATCAACGGCGGGAGGAGCCCCGACCGTACAATCTTCACCTTGTTCTGCTTCTGCAATGATAAATTGACTAGAGAAGCGACGGCGTTCACCTGAACGTTCGTGTACTTGGACGAAATTAGGGTTCGCAAGGCCGAGAGAACCGTCGGAGTGCAGAGATTGACGGAATTCTCTTCTTTCGTCCGGGTCATGTTCCGGAGAGAAATTAATGCCTCTTCGATTTCGAACACTTGTGCGCTCTTCAGCTTGGCGAGGAGCGCTTCCTCCACGGGGTCGAGTACGGTTTCGTCGGGCTCCGATGAGGACGAAGCGGAGCGGGAGGAGTAGCATACGGGTCGGGTCGGTATTCGCAGCGGGAGCGACGAATCGGACGACCCAGGGGAGCTACCAATCGATTCCTCCGAGCTCGTTGAGACACGAGTTTTTTGGGCTGCTTCCCCTGTTTCAATTGCTCTGTTCACCAAATCGGGATTCCCCTGTTCTGCAAATTGGGTTTCCCCTGTTTCAGTTACTCCTCTGTTTTTCCCCAAATTGGTGCTCCCCTGTTTCTTCAAATGCTTCATTTTGGCCCTGACGATGGTCTCCGCCATTGAGTAATCGAGGGGTTTCGGAGGGATTATGGAGTGGCTATTGCACCAGTTGAGGATGGCGGATTTGAGAGCGAGATTAGGGATTGCGACGTTGGAGAAATCAGGGACGAAGGAGCTGTTGTCATCGACGCCGCCGGTGAGAACAGGGGAGAAGCCAAGTGAGTGGCAGGCTTGAAGGCATACTCGGTCGAAGGTGTGACCGGAGGAGACGATGACCGGGTCGGTCATCAGTGACCCGGAAATGGGGCAGAGAAACTCCGTTGGAAGGACAACGGCGACGGGGGAGGTTTGGGGGCGAATTGAGTTGGAGTTGGAGGATGGTGATGCGGTCCACGAGAGTGACCGGCGGGAGGAGAAGATGCTCCATCGCTGCTTGTGGACAGTGAGCTTCTGCTTTGCTCTCTGCTCGTCGTCGATCATGGATGAGTGAGTGGAAAACTAGGGAGAGAGAAAGAGAGCCTCTGGTGAAGGAATTTGTTTAGATTCCCTACATGTGGAGAATCATCTTCGCTAAAATGCTCAATGGAGCCATGGAGAAGGCAAGTTGGACACTTTTTTGAATTAGGGTTTCATATTTTAGCGCTGCTCTTTAATTTATCTTTTGATCCACCAGTAATTAACTGCATGATGCATGTGGCCACTCGTGCAAGTTATATTAAACTTAACGTGGGTAGAAAAAATTTCAATTTTGAGAACTCCCTTATTTTTGCATGGGCTATATTTCAGACTACGTACAGAAATTATATTAAGTCTCTTATTGTATCCCTTTAAATTTTCTTGTATAGAGAATTGAATATATATTGCGAGTAAAATCCAAATCCTCCATGAATACCCAATAAGCTCATAGAAGCAATTAAAATGAGTACATAACTTTATTATTGCATATATGGATACTAGTCCTTGAAAAGAATTACCTACAAATACTAATTATCCAATCAGATCTTTTAAATTTAGTCCTCACTTTTACCATCCCTAACATCCTTTGGTGCTTAGATGTTTCTCCGTTATCGTCTTACAGATAACATGTAAAGTTTATGAATGAGTTGAATTTAATACGTTTGGAAGAGTTCACAATGTTATAGGTCACTATTATATAAATAAATAAAAATGACTTCCAATAATACATGGAGTATTTTTGTTGAATTAGGACAACAATGTATAATCTTTTTTAATTTACATTATAAAATGGGTAAAGAATAGACCGTAGGGACATCTAAATTAGGGATGGCAACAAAACCCGAACCCATGGGTACCCACCCGATCCAACCCGGTCAACGCGGGTAAAATCGGTGTTGACGGGGTTTTGGGCCAGGTTTGGGTTTAAACCTGTTCACTATTCACCGGGTTGGGTTGGGTTTGGATTTAGGTAAACCCGACCCATGGGTACCCGCCCACACCCATATAATTAATTTTCTCAGCATATTTAATATTCTAAACAACTAATCTTATTTATGTTTGTGGAGACAAGTCTAATTTTTTCTTTCTAGTTATGTACAATGAAGTTGATGTTATTGAGTGGAGAGTGAAAACTTAATTGAAAGGAAGAAGCTTTCGATTAATCATGTTATTTATGGATAATTTGTGATTTGTTTCAATTTTCTTGAGTTTTCTAGATTGGTGTTGAACAATTTGTGTAGTTAATTTGTGATTTGCTTGAATTTTCTAGAATGTTGTTTTATATAAGGATAATTTGTATCGAGAGATTGATATTTGACTTTAATTTTGATAGGAATTTGTTATTGTGAATTTTTTTACGACAAAAACCCGTGGGTACCCATGAACCCGCGGATACCCAGCGGGTTGGGATGGGTTTGAGTTTTTCAAACCCAGTGGGTTTTACCCCGAATTTTTTTCACGGATAAACCCATGGGTTTGGGTTTGGCAAAATCCGACCCAACTCGACCCATTGCCATCCTAATCTAAATGAGATTAAGCAAGACGGGTAAAAAAGAAAGCAAAAGGAAGACAGACAAAGAGGGCAGAGAAATATATGGATGCAATAATAATTTATTTGATTGGATTCCACAGACAAAAAGGCTCGCGACAACACAAAACAATCCACTTTTGCTCTGTATATGGAGGAATTATTGTATACGCGGTTGTCAAAGACCAAGAAATAATTAAAGGGAAAGCTTAATTGAGACTTCACTCTTAATTAATTCTAGGATTAGCTAAACTAAACTTTGCTTTATTGATGACCATAGTGACTTTTAAGCAACAGCTTCTCCCTCACCACTACTGCAGCTATTAGCTAATCCCTTCATCACCATCATCAGAAACTTTAGCATTTGGTTTGCTTATTATAATCTCTTGCGCGCATTACAGCCAATCTCCTCTAGCTGCTGTAACCCTTTTCCCCAATTTACCAAAAGCTGAGGTGACACTTGAATGAAAGTTAGGGGGAAAAAACAACAGTAGGCATGATAAATGTTGAAACCTGAAACCTCCATAGAGAAAAAGTTCCAGGTAATGGTCAAATAACAGACAAAAACATAAAGCTCAAATCATTCACTATAGACCATACCTGGGACCTTTTTTCAACTGAACTGTGAATTTCAGCTTTACTTTTGAGACTTTTGCTTTGTTAGTGTCAATGTCTCGCCTTTCCTTCTGTTATGATCCTGCTAGTAATTTATCAGTAAATTATTAGCACGTAAACTTCATATATCCCCCCCCCCCCCTATTTTTATGATAAATTGTTTCGCACAATGATGTTATCTTTTTATTTAATTTTGGTATCAACATTATGATTTTTATCCACAATAGGCATTCGCGAGAAACAAAAAAAGTAAAATGAGCATAGAGATAATTTATTTAATTACATATTTCACTAATTCGATACATGTTATATAGCCCAGAGGCAAAACAAATAAGTTTTACTATTTGGAAGGTGCAAGAGATTAGAAGGTCTTTGTGGTTGTGGATACTTTCTCCAAACATTAACAAACGACTCCCAGCAGTTGTCATCTAAATAAGCATATTGAAGTTATATTAACAAATGCTTTTAAATATAGTATAATACATAAATTGTGCATTATGTGGTGCCTATATATTTTAAACTCATGTATTCTAGGGTACGAAATGAGTCTTACCTACAAAATAAATAATATCTTAGAGATCTACATGTGAAGAAAAATGACATTCTAATTACCCTTCTGAAAAAAATGAAACAAACAATTGAGACTTTAGAGAGATGGTGGCGGCCCTTTTCATGGATAGTCGCTAACTATTATTGAACCCTCCCCACCCACTTCCCTTTCATAATATTATAATTGGCCCCCTCCCTCCCTTAATCACTAAGCTTTTCTAAATCCCCTTTTCTCTTCTTTATCATTCCTTTTCTCCCTTTTTCACTAAAATATAATAACTCGCATAATATGTATTATTAAAAAACCAATCTCTTCTTTTCTTCCTTTTCCTCCCTGAATGAATTCCGGATTCTGGGTTCGTTTCAGGTTTTCTGCTTGGAGCACAGATCGTACAGGGCTCACGCATGCCCGAAATCCGATCACAACAGCCGTAAAGTCGTGGTGTGCGAAATCTGCTCGACCTCCATCGAGACTACGGGTCATGGGGAGTTGGCCGAAAAGGCGTTGCTGGAGAGGCACGAGAAGTCAGGGCAATGCGACCCCAGGAAGAAGAAGAAGCCCACATGTGGCGTGCGTCGGTGCAAGGAGATACTGACCTTTTCCAATACCTGCGTCTGCAAAACCTGCCAGATGAAGGTTTGCTTGAGCCACAGGTTTCCTGCGGATCATCAGTGTAAGAAGGATTTGGCTCCTGCTCCAGCTGCAGCCGCTACAAATGGTGTGAGCAGGTTCCTGCTTGCTTTTGCTTCGAGGAATGCCAAAGATTGTGACAAGAATGATAACCAACGGTCTTCTTCTAGTTCGAGGTCACCGTCTATTAGATCACATTGAGAGGCTTTAGGGATGGTATGTGTTGTTACCTGATTGTTTGTTTGTTGCCAGCCAGAAGTTTGCAAACAAATGGAGGAATGAATGAGAAACAATATGTTAATTTCATGAACACTTGATCAAGTTCGTAGTGCGCCATATACATTTGTATTTGATATTCATTTCGTTACACGTCAATCTTCCACCCCCTTTTCAGTGATCATATGATCTACAATCTCTCCACCGTCTAAAGGGATCTGTTAATACAATTACAACCTTCAAAAACAAAACAAGGAGCACCTTCGTCGTGTGACCTTTGTGAGAGGAGGCAGCACATTGACAAAATCATGAAGCCCGCTTTTTTGGAGGAGGCAGTAGAGCAAGAAGGATCTTCTTTCTTGGACCCTGCAAAAGAACCCGAGAACCATAGTTTTCAGTTAGACAAATGGAAAACGTCAATGTTTTGAACTGGCTGGGTCAAGCAACAATAACAGCATTCTTGTACGTACGATGGTAATCTGGATAAGGATTTTTTTAAATAAGTAAAGACTATGCAAAAACTACCACCATGGAATCCTATTCTTAACTATTTTCTCGTAAATTGGCAACAGTTGATAGAAGATGATTGTCCTCAACCAGTTGGTTCGGTCACATTAACAAAGTCAGCAACACAAGAGTTAAAACTTGTTGAGCATATTGATCTGAAACTGTAATACAGCCTATAGTGAGAGAAAAGCATTACCATCGGTATGCCCATATCTTTAAGATCTTTCTCCCCCATCTGCTTCAGTACAGCCATGTCCACCTGTTAGACAATGCAATTACCAAAGTATCAGGAGAAAATCCACATAATCAATAACACCCGGGAAAAAAAAACAGAAAGAAAAAAAAGGAAGAATCATGTCCAGACACAGAATTATACTACAAGATATACCATAGGATTATTTTGTGGCAGCATATGTGGGTCAAAGATTACTGATAGCGAACAACCCAAACAACCTAAAAGGCGAGCCCAGTATCCGACAGAAACTCTAAGCAACAAAAAATTAAGTAATGACACTTACTTCTTCTGCCTGAAAGCTGATGCAATATTTCCCCAGTCCAAGTGAATGCAACAAATCCGCCACAGTAACATGTTCATGAATTGCATAAAGGCACTAATTATAAACCAAGATAGTGGATCAAACCTTAAGGTCGAAGATCTGTAATATGTAACTTATACATATTATAAATATGTAATTACCTTATGAGAGATATGTTCCATAGTTCCTAATGTCTGTGCAACTCGTGGAACAGCAGCACCGCTTGTTTGAGGAACATGTTTCATTGTTATAAGAGGTGAAGATCCTGTTAACCATGACCTAGGCGGTGGCGCATTCTGAACACCAGCATTATGGATCAAACTTTCGCTGCTTGATAAATCACCTGCCCTAAGTGGCGCCATTCGTTGTGCCTGACTGGAAATTCTGCAATGCAGTCAAAATGCGCTTTAAAACTTAAAAGCTTACGCTTTTACCTTTTTAGGTCACTAAAACGCTTCTATGTAGAATCGTGATTTCCCTTACAAATGTAGCCAAAATCTACGCTTTAAAGCTTAAAAGCTTACGGTTTTACGCTTCTAGATCACCCAAGCGCTTCTAGATAGAACCGCGCTTTTGACTGCATTGAAATTCTGGGTGGGGAGAGCTCACGAGTAGGTCTGGATATTCTATCGGGGTACCTTGCTCTTCTTGATCCTCCCACAGCAAACTGAGAAGAGTAGGTTATCCCATTCTCACTAGCATATTCTTCAGGATAAGTTGGCGGCCTCAAATCGCTATATTGACTACTGGAAGAAGGCCTGCTCTGAGTTCTATTACTCATAGGGGCTTCATTGGATCTTGATGATGTTGGATGTACTGCAATTTTTTGGGAGTATTTCACAACATTGTGAGATCTCTTCAATTGCCTTTTATGAATGAGCTTCAAGCGGAGATCATTACTAGCGATTCGAGATCCTTCATGCATTTCAGCCCGCTAGAGTAAGTAAGTGAACAAGAACAAGCATAAATGAATCAATGCATATTAGCGCATAGAAAGCTTTGAATGTTACCTTTCTCACCAGAGAGACCAGGACTCCATTTCATGCAATCTCCTCGATGCCTAGAGAATAAGTTCAAGCTATGATTCTTGGACAATGCTAAACTTCGTATTGAGCAACGGAAACAACTAATGCTCAAACTATGAAAGTGTTATGACAGGATCAATGTTCCAACTAACTCTGCATTCATAGAGTTCAGATTTCTTGTCCCCAGGAAGGCAATCAAGACGCTATATAACACTTTCTCTATCCAGCATCGCACTAAAACGAAGTACCCTATAGAGCCCTTTGGCTCTTCTTGCTCGAAACTAATCCAAAGTTACCGAGTAATTGACGAAGACAAAAGGGCCACACAAGTTACAAGCTACGAGAAGGGAGGATCCAAATTGTAGAGAGAGAGAGAGAGAGTGACAGACCGTTTGCTGGAAGACATCCATGACCCTTCCCCTGGAGGCCGTTTACCTTCCTTAGTCACCACCTGAAACAAAACAAAACAAAAATATATCAGAACACCCCACTTGAACACCAAACACGAGATTACTCAAATGAAGCTATTATAGTGTGTACAAAGCAGAATTGCAGAAACCCAATTGCATAGAGAGAGGGAAGAAGCAATATAGGTTACAAAACGAAGAAGAAGCAGGGGGGCCGAAGAGAAAAGGAGGTTGGTTACCTGACCAGAGCGGCCGAGAGTGATGGTGACCCTTGGGTTGGAGGACATAACTTTTAGGTCCCTCTCTCCCGGCGAAAGTCGAAGAAGATCAAATCAAGCTAGGAAGTGACGAAGATACACAAATCGCAGTGCCTCTCTGCGTCGATGGATAGAACTGCAGCGCAGAGAAGAGACTGGTGGAAGAAGGAAGGAGGGAGAGCTGAAAATGGAGCAAATTATATAGCGGGGCTCCGATGTCGGATTTGTCTTCCGTTCGTCGCGACGCAAGGGCATAACCAGAGAGGCGAAGCGTAAGTTCTACTTTGTTTGTCTGTATGCAAGTCGAGCGTGGGCTGGGCCCTGAGCCTTGTTTGCTAATGCTATTCCATTGGTAGATAATATATTCTTTAAGGGCCAAATTGATTTCAAGAGAACAGGGTCCAGCCCGTAGCAATGTGTTTAGACCGGCCTTTTCACATATGTATAAGTATCATGGTTAGTGGTTACCAGGTATTGAAAACCAAACCGGAGATCATATCATATTAGTTTATGATAGGGTATTTTGTGGTACGATCGTGATTCAATTGTTTCATATCAATAAGTTTTTTATATAAAATAATATATGTAGGATAAAATGCTCTACCGATCATAATATGTTATCATATTGGACAAATGCCCGAATTAATAGCAATGAGCCAAATACTAACTAACCGAATATGAGAAACCAAAGCACAAAAGACATAGAGAAAAATTCACAACTTCACCAATTAATATTAAAATCTAACTAAATCAAATTACAAAGTGCAAACATTACCTTTTATCACAGTTTCTGAATCTCTTATCCCTAAATCACATAGAGACGCAATCTTATGCATATAACGAGCAAGAAAACATTTCTCCCCCAACTCAACACATCTCTTTTGTCCCTTCGCAAACCACAACAATACAAACAAATCTCCTACATTGTTGTTTGTCTCTTAATTATTAAGAAAAAATCATGTAAAATTATAAAACGTTATTACATAAATTTTTCATAATGTGTGGTCTAATAGTATAATCAAGTTATAGTAAGTAACATTGACGAATTTTTAATTTCTATAACTTTTATTGAATGTTGTGACATAAATATTTCAAAATATGTGGTCTAATAATAACTGCTTATTAATATAGACTTATGGTAGAAGTGGTTGTAGAGAATAAAACTCATATGAATAATATTGCAGAAAAGGAGAAAAAAGGGCTTATGGTAATATTGAGTTATATTGGATAAAACCCTATCGTGAACAGTACCCCGTGGAGAAAAATAGCCTATTTTTTTTAATGAACCGTGAAAAGGGCTTGTACTTTTAATAATATAATATAATAATATGGATTATGGTATTGAAATGAATCTATATATGTATATATACATTTACATTTTTATTAGTGGTCAGTAGTAGCTGTTGATGAGTCACAACGAGAGAAAGTCATGTTCACTCAATAAATAATAAGTGTAGGGTTGTGCAGTGTCATGCATAACAAAGTTATACACGGTATCCGCTCCCCATACATTTGCTACAAACAAAATCTATTACAAGGGAAGTGGATCCAACAAAAAGCGTTTGATATGATTCTTCAAGGAGATTTGATCGATGTTACAGATAATGGGTTCGGTAAAATTTGAGTTGAGTTTTAGAAAAGCAAACAAAATCCAATCTGTACGTGGGCACCAGCTGGGCCGCCCACGGGCTAGCACGACACGTTTAGAGCACGGGCACGAAATAAATGGGCCAGCCCGACACGAGCACGAATAATTTATGGGCAGTGCCAGACCTAAACTTCATGGGCACGGGCACGGCACGATATATAAGTGGGTCGTATTGGGCTTAATATTTTTGAGATTTTATTAAGTATAAGAACGGTTATGGCACAAAAATAACATTTATTTCATAGAAAATAAATATAGAAAGAATTATAGGTTCAAATATTACAAAATACAAGTAGAAAAATAATTATTTGTTGTTGTTAGGAGTGTCATAAAGATATATACGTAATTACTATCATAAGTAAAAATAGACGAAAATTAAACAAAGTCAAATAACACCCGCTATACTTCCAATTTTCTATTCCCCCATATTTGTTACTTTTCTCAAACATTCTCGGTTAATACTATATTTTTTCGTCCATTTTTTCACCTTCTTTTTCATTCTCTCTTTTATTTTCTTCCTTTTCATTAGACACGAATATGAGCACGACACGAGCACGAATATGCACGACACGACCTTTATTGATAAACGGTAGTTTAGTTCGGTGATTGTTTGGTTGAGATAGTTACAATCAATGTAGTCAAAATTACGCTTTAAAACTTAAAATCTTACGATTTTACGTTTTTAGGTCACTAAACGCTTCCACACAAAATCTCAGTTTTTATAACTTATGTTGGTTAAAAACTCTGCTTTAAAACTTAAAAACTTACTATTTTACGCTTCTAGATCACCAAAACGTTTCTACATAGAAACTCGCTTTTGACTACATTGACTTACAATGCATGTATTGTCCATTATGCACTGTATTTTTTAATTTTATGCACAAATTATACATGCATTGTTTGCTTAATGTGATCGAAACTATCACTCATAATGAGTGATAGTAATATCTCAAGTTTTAGGTGAGATTGTTTGTTTGGGATTGTTGAAGTGTTTTCTACTTCCAACTACGTCCCTATCTTTTGATGTGTTTTGCTTTTTTATATTAAAAACAAAGGGTAAAAGTGACATTTCATCCAAAAAGCAATATATCTTATCTAAATACTAGAACAACTATCACAGAAACCAAACGATATAAACTACAATACATCAATTTTCTTATATACATGTATATTATTATGCATGCATCGATAATAACGCTTCCATTTAACTATCACCAAAACCAAACTACCTAAGATACGTATCCGCTGCCTGTATCATTCAATGTTTACCTAAGAAAATAATCATGTGTCAATCTCATTATTTTCTGAGCATAGTTAGTTCAGACAATAATATATGAAGGCCAGCAAACATCAAAGAAAGAAAAAGGATATACTTTTCAGAATGATTGTTAATTATTATATCACGAGTTTCTATTATTGACTAGTGTGCATATTCACTCCAAACCACCCAAGATATTATTGAAAAAACGAAAGACAGTTATATAGGAATGGGTTCCACCAAAGTGCTGGTGATCACTTCTTTCATGAAGGTCTTGGCATTTGTAAAAGTGTCTTCGTCTTTATACAACAAGTCCATGATTCGCACCAGGTTGACTATAACCGTAAGAACTGGCATCGGAGCCTTCAAAAGGCCGCAACATATCTTCATTCACGTATTTCCACAAAATTTCTACCAAGTTGTTCAAGCCCTCATGTGCCTCTTGTTTCGACACACCATATTGTTTCATGTAACACTCTACGGACGAAGCAACACGACCCCTCTCTTGCTCGAACTGTCCAAGATACGACAATAGCGGAATAATAGTCAATATAAATGTCAAATATGCTGGAAATTCAATGGGCTCGATAGGTCAGTTATATATGCGTACCTCGTGAGAGACTATGTCGTCCATGAGCCTGACAATGCTAGAACCGGCCACAACAATATTAGGGTTTGGTTGATTGAACAACCATTGGAAGACCTCTTTCTGAAGCGGCTTCCCCCATGCCACAACAAAGAATTGTCATACCTAGGGGATAACCGACGCTCACATAACCATTAGGCACATACTCTTCCATTGTGGGTATGTAACCTTTGTTGTACCACCTTGCTTCCTTGATGTATGTTCTCACCAACTCTTTCACCTGTAATTCATATACTTATTAGTAGTTTTTTTTTGTGTGTGGGTAAATTGGTGCCTTTTTGTAGTGAATTGATTAAGCAAATAGCAATTACCCCTCTCCTTGCATACACCATGCAGAAGGACCTGCCTTCCTTTGATACATGAGCTTCTATGTCAGCAAACAGGTCAAGCAATGTGTTGAACCAAAACTTGAAATAGTTCGGCACCACATCTTCGTCACTGATCCCCCACCTGATGATCAAGCATTCATTTAACAATATAAAAAGATTACTGTATTGTAAGGGAATACAAATGGTAATAAAGGATGTATGTAGTAACGAATTATCAACCTCTCAATGACATTGGCGATGCACTCGAGTTCATCTCAGCGAGTCAATCTCTCGAGAGCGCCTAGTGTTTATGAAAGACGTGTATTTTCCGACGTCCATCACCAACAACAACAACGAAAGGGAGCCTCGAGGAGATTCGTGTTCGACAAGAATGCAATAGCCACGCTGAGAACCATGTCATGGACCCAACTCGTCTCGAAGCTCTGTCTGCTTTCATTTGGGAATCCGCACTCAAGGTAGTTGCTGCTGATCAGCGGCCGCAACAACAACTGCAGTGTTTCACACAGGCTGTTAATATAAGGACATTGATGAGCCCACGATTGTCTAGATATATTCGGTTTCCAACTAATTAAAATTCTTCGACATAGCGAGCAATCCGTAAAAACATTATCTAGTACAAATTCCATATTTACAAAATCTTGCACAACTCCATCTTCAGAAATTGTCAAACGACTGAAATCTATTCATTATCCCCCATCACACGCTCGATCAACCTACACATAATTGTTCACATGAATGGATGTTGATTAATATTTTTCACGACCCACCAAATTATGAGTGAGTAAATTTTGAGGCTTCCCAATTAAATCCAAAGACAGCTATGACATAATAGCACGTAGCTATTGCGAACTAGACCGGTTGTAACTGAAGGTTGAATATTGATATCATATACTTAAATGAGCTGGATTAAAATATCAGTTGGCCTGGTCCGCAGCCGGTAGAGGAGCCGCCTTAAGGAAAAAGATATAGCACAAAATTATTTTTAATATATAATAAAAATAATAGCATCGACTAATAAGTAAAGAGAAGGCTCAAAACAAATTAGAGCATTATTAGAGCTGCCAGCAATTTTTCCCCCTCCATAACTTGAATTGTTTTATAAACCTTATACCATTTTTTTCCCACTAGTTTTTCAACAACAACAAAAATTCAAATTTATGGGATTGACATTTTGACAATATATAGCATACCATGTGCTTAAATCAACAATTAGTATATGGGCTTGTTAGGAATTGAACACAAGACCTTATGGTCAAACAAACTCTGATACAATGTAATAGACCAACTAATTTCAATAACTAGAATTGTTTAAAAATACTCATACATGAATCTTTCCCCATTTCCTTACATGTAGAACCACTTCAAAGAAATTTAGGGTTATTGGACTGAACAACCATTGAAAGACCTCCTCGGAAGCAATCTCCCTTTTAGATTCAAAACCAGTTTCATTTTAATAAATCATTACACATTCTAATACCGCTTTAAAAGTCAGTTAATCTCAATAACCGAAGTTACGACGAAAAAACCAATAATAAATCATATACAATTTACTTAAATCCCATCCGAGCAATAGTCAACCGTAAAAATTCACTTGTCCATTTTCCACTTTCGCAAAATTTTCTATTTCAATAGTCAAATGAAAAGCTTCACTCATTGAATTGAGATAGGAGGGACGAACCCGTATTTTTAAGTTATTCGTAGAGTGGCACCCCACGCCTCTACCTGGCTGCAAGAGAATCCTTTGACCAACCTATCAAAACTACAAAATAGTACGTACCAACTGATTAAACCTCTCTATATATATAAGTAACCACCCTGCAATCCTCGAATCCAAAAGTAATATCCCTAACCTTCAGAGCTTGGAGTTTATTTCATCCTCTCAAAAGCAAAGGATCGGCATCATGATCAGTACTAATGGAGGAGGAGACGGGAAAGTCGCGGTCTGCGTGACAGGAGCTTCAGGTTTCGTAGCTTCATGGCTGGTCAAGCTTTTGCTACAACGTGGCTACACCGTCAATGCCACTGTTCGTGACCCAAGTCAGACTCCCTCTCTCACTCTCACTCTGTACTTTTTTTCTTTCTTTCGTTCTTTCTTTTCCTCTGAGTTTGACTCCTCTATTTTTTCGGACAAAACAAAAGGTGACGAAAAGAAGACAACCCATTTGCTAGGATTGGATGGAGCCAAGGAAAGGCTGCATCTTTTCAAAGCAAACCTGCTGGAAGAAGGTTCTTTCGATTCCGCCATTGAAGGGTGCGTCGGAGTTTTCCATACAGCTTCCCCCGTTGCCTTATCCACCGCTGATCCACAGGTCTTGTTTCTTTTATTGCACAGTATTTACAGAGGTTTTTGTCATGCATTTCTTCTTCTTTATTTCAACACATGACTTTGTTTTCTTCCGCCAGGCGGAGATGATTGATCCTGCGGTCAAAGGAACCCTCAACGTGCTCAAGTCCTGCGCCAAGTATTCTTCAGTGAAGAGAATGGTCCTAACCTCCTCTGTCGCATCAGTTGTCTACACAGGAAAACCAGTTGACCAAGACTCAGTGGCTGATGAGACTTGGTTCTCCGATCCAGCATTCTGCAAGGAACATAAGGTGGGTTGTAAGAAATCATGGCGTACGTAATTTTCAGTTTACGAGGATACAATGAACTAAAGTTGGATTCTTTTCTTCCAGCTCTGGTACCCACTTGGGAAGACCTTGGCCGAGATGGCTGCCTGGGACTTCGCAAAGGAAAATGGAATCGACATGGTGACAATACATCCTGGCTTCGTAATTGGTCCCTTCTTACACCCAGCTCTCTGCACTTCAGTGGGCATGATTCTCAGTCTGGTTAATGGTAAGGAACGTAATAACGGTTATTCCCAACACTTCTATTAACAAAGCAAAAACCACTTCCCTTTTGCTCTTCAAAGTAATAGTGATTAATAAATAAGTAACTTCTGGGTGCAGGAAACAAGACTTACCCAAAATTTCATTGCTGGTCGGTTGATGTTAGAGATGTTGCAGAAGCCCATATTAAAGCCCTTGATCATGAGAACCAAGTATCAGCTTGTGGAAGATACTGCTTGGTTGGAAGTAGTGTGCCATTCTCACAAGTTTTGGGGATTCTTCATAAGCTCTACCCAACGTTGCCTCTAGCTGACCAGTACGTATACCTTACTATAGGAATTTTCATTTTAGTATTTTTCTATTTTCATTTGTTCTTGGTTCAAAAGAACGCAAAAAGGGGCAGGGAAAGAAAGTTGAACGTCCAATTTGGTTTGATTGTGTGTGTTTGTAACAGGTGTGAAGAAGTGAATAGTCTGAAGCTACCGGAGTTCGAGGCATCCAGGGAGAAGGCAGAAGATGGCTTGGGGATCAAGTTCATGCCACTAGAGGAGTCTCTCAAGGACACAATTGAATGCTTAAAGGAGAAAGGATACCTTCAATTCTGATCTAGATCAAGACTGTGCTTAACTAATCGGTTCAAAATGAAAACGACGTTATTGTTGTAATATTTGTACCCCATGCAATCATCTTTTGTGTATGCTTATTGCTTTCGATATATTGAAAACGGAGTATTTTAGTAGCTATAAAATCTGTCATAGAATAGAGTAAATAAAGTCGAGTTAATTTCGCAAATGTTTATTGAATTGGTGATTACTAGATTTCAATAAAGAAACTAAGCAATCATTCTGATAGAAAGCGAGCATTATAAGGTAATGAATAGTATTCATTTTCCAGAGCTAAGTACGAATTACACGGCACGTGATAGTTACTTAGTACGTATCATGCATGCATGAGTTTTCGTATCATCGTGCACAGACAGGGGCGGCTTGCATAGTTAACTACGTTAGGTTTCTGTATTCCTTAACTAGTGTTTATGTGATTAGTTGACTCGGTCAAAATTTTTCTATTTGAAGCAATTATATTTTTTATTGAATGAGTAAATTTACATCGAAATGAGAAGCAAACAAGAAGAAATAAATAAGGAGAAAAAGGTACAACAAAACAACAATTGAAACCATAACCGAATAGGTAGTATCATAGAAAATTTGTCCATAACAATTAATCATAACCATATATAAAGAAGACTCATGCTGCATTGAACAGTAAGTCTTGAGAGATGATTTTTTGGACAAAGTTCTAGTTGTAATTTTTTTTTTGAAGTATTCTAGTGACTAGTAGTGACATAATACCAATCAGTCATATCTGAAAACAGTTGCATTGCGTTCGAACCATATTCTCCAGAAGATAGCATGAGGAAGAGACGTCAAGCATTTTGAGAAGTTAATGTTGCTTGAGAGAAGTGGTCATTCGATTGTCACTGTCCAACAACTGTATGAGATTGGCCCAATAATACATAGTCTAGTGAGTAGTGAAGAGGTAGTCTCATATTCATATTTGACACAAGAAGTGACAATGAAGAAATTTTATCTTATAAATATATATAGGGATGGTTTGGAAGTTCCGATTGTTAAATAGATGTATTGTTGAGAATGCATGTATAATATTATATATGTATTGTCGAATTTGATGCATTGTAGAATACAACGTTTGGTATGTGTGATTGTGTATGTTTCATCAGCTAAAAACTGAGACAAAGCAATATCAACTCAACTATCTCAACAATCACAACTAAAAGTTGAGATATAACAATCACTCAAAATGAGTGATAGTTTCTGTCACATTACAGAAACAATCCATGTATTGTTTCTGCTAAAAAAACAAAAAAACGATACATTGTAAACAATACATGCATAATGACAATCTCAACAAAACTATCGCAACTTCCAAACGATCCCATAATGTTCAAAAGGATACATCGAGCTTGCCTCCATGAATTTTTACATTCTAATTATTTTTGAAGGCCAATTTCATAAATAGTATGATAATATTCATGACAACTTAGTCAAATTATCAAAAATCGTTCTATTTTCATTTCTAGTAAAGTATATAAAAAGAAAATGTGGGGCCGACAAAAAAAAAGACTTATTTATTTACTTTGTGATGTTACTTATCTTTCTGTCTTGAGATACTCTTCTTCTCATCATAGCAATTGATTGATTTTTTGCTTTGCGACGTTATTGATGTTCCTCTCTTTTCAATTTCATGTCAATAAACAATGGATAAACAATTCGATGTCCTCGGTTAGGAATTCAAACACATAACATCTAATACCTATAACAATAATCAATTGATAATAATAACTCAAATTATTAAGAGAAATTGAATAATAATCCATTCTCAAACCTCCCATCACATCAGCTCTTATTTATACGTTAGGCAACAATGAATTAGTTCAGGAGTTTGACCACACTGAAAAACCGACCCCAGTCTTTGCCGTCTTGAACAGCGGAAGTTCAATTAAACTGACCTTGCGTACCTTCTTTCTTTGACACCGCCAAAAAAGTCAAGTCAAACGGTAACGGTCTCCCTTTCTCCTATTCCGAAATAAAAAGTCAAGTCAAACAGCAATTCATAAACCATGCAGTGTGTCATTCCATTCAAAGTTCTAACGACTTGAACTCAATATCAAATGTCAAATTGAAAGCTTCGCTCATTGAAGTTAGAAGGGAGATGCGCGAATCCCATGTTAAAATTTGTTGTTCAAACTTCAAAGTTAGCTGTATGCCTGTATCATAAAAAAAAACAATACTAAAAAAGTCAACTGTCGTTACCAATTATTTAAGGTACTACATTTTCCATGCTAGCCGCCGACGGCCAGCAGCCAGCCGCCACCATATGACTATTCATCGCGCATGTTTATAAAAGGTTACTCGTCGGAAGGACGCTTAAAATCAAGCAAGTTCCAACAATACTGTTATACATAGCTAAGGTAAATGCATTTTCATGTCCTTTCTGTCTTTCTAATGCAGTTTCCATCCATTATATATGTGGTGTGTTTAACTGAGCAAGTGTTGAACTTGTGCAGGAAGGAAAGAAACGTTAACCTTAAGAGTTCAAAAATGCAAGTGTCGGTGATATCGACGGAAAGCATCAGACCATGGTCATCATCAGCAGGAAGAGACAACGAATTCAAACCATTCAAGCTATGCCTACTCGATCAGCTCATGTTCTCCACTCACGCTCCAGTCGTCCTCTTCTACCCCATGAAGGAGGCCCATCATCCTGACGAGAAAATGGTTGCTAGGTGGCTGAAAGAGTCCTTGTCCAAGACCTTGAATCCCTTCTATCCTGTAGCCGGGAGAGTGAAAGACAACCTCGTCATCCACGACTTCGAAAAGGGCGTCCCCTTCACCGAAGCCCGAGTGAAGGGACACAGTCTGTCTGATGTCCTGACCTCACCACGTGGGGGCGGTGGACCCAAGTTGGAGTTCCTCAACAACTTGCTCCCATTCGAGCCATTCTGTCAGGGACACGAGAATGTTGCATCGGGTTCCCACGCACAAGTATCTGTGCAACTCAACACATTTGACTGTGGTGGGATCGCGATTGGGATCAACCTGTACCACAAGCTCATGGACGGGGCAACCACCAGCGCGTTCCTCCACACCTGGGGAGCCAACTGCAGCAATGATCCTCAGCTGAAGAAGCAACCCGAGCTACACAAAGCATCCTCGGTTTTCCCTCCCAGCTACTCGATCCCTATCGAGTCCCAGACATTCTCGGACAGGATGTTGTTCGAGGATGTGGGAGGACGACGACGACGACAGGGTGCCTCGAGGAGATTCGTGTTCGATGAGAAGGCTATTGCGATACTAAGAACCAAGGCGGGGCTCAGCGTCCTTCATCCGACTCGTCTTGAAGCTCTGTCCGCTTTCATTTGGGAATCGGCCCTTAGGGCAACGGCTGCTGCGGGTGATGCGCAACAGCTGATGTTTCTCATGCAGGGTGTTAACATGAGGCAACTAATGAGCCCGCGCTTGTCCAAGCACTCCCTAGGAAACCTCGTGGCCACGGCGATGGCGTCTTGCGTGGATAGCTCCAACAGATCGATGGAGGAGCTGGTGAGGCTTATAAGAGATGGGAATCTAAGGGTGGATGAGAACTACCTCAACGTTATCTCCGGCGACCAAGGTTTCCCGGCCATGATGCAAGGGCAGAAGTTTTTGCAAGAGATAACAAGAGGGTTTTCACGAAAAACCCTAGCTTGTTCGAGTTGGGTTGGGTTTGGTTTCAATAATTTTGACTTCGGTTGGGGGAAGCCTATCTGGTCCGGTTTGTTTGGAGACCCTAGTGGAGAACATCCTTTTATGAACAATACCATAATTTTCAAGGAGGTGGCGGCTCGAGGGCATGGAAGCTCGAAAGCCATAGAGGCATGGATAAGGCTAGATGAAGATGTCATGGCTCGTCTTGAACACGATCCTCACTTCACCCAATATGCTTCCCCAAATCCACCCATCATTCTTGATTGATCATAAACTACCTATACCATTCTCCATGCGAGAAATTCCGAATTTGACCTTGTACGTACTCGTAATCTTTGAACCTATCTTCTTTTCGCTTTCGTTATTACCAAAACTATATGGGGGGAAATTTTGATCAATCATCAGACAGCTAGCTGATGTGATGATCACTACATAAATGTAATCATTTAATGGTTTATCTTGAATAATGGATGCCGCCTTTGTATTAGCCACCTCTAATCACAACTGCCATCATTGCATTGAGAAAAGGAGAGGGCCAAGCAAGTTTTCTGCTCAAATACACCTATTGTCTAAACATTATTATTGTATTCAAGTTGGAACTTATGATTTCATTTTATGTTTGTGATTATTAACTCACTGTAAAAATAATTAATTTTATGTGTTTTCATTATTAACGAATATTATTTTTATTATTATCATTGCACGTTTAATTACCAGCTTGGCTTGTTGAAATATTTGACGCTCCATTTGTGTTCATTATTAAGCTAAATTGATTCTCATTTTCTTCAGTACCATCAATGTATTATGTATGTAAGCTAAACTTCATTGAGATCTCCCAATAGAAGAAGAAAAAAAAGTCTTCTCTGAGAAAAATAAAAGCTCATGTCTCTCTCTAACGTTGGAATTCTAGAGAGGAAAGTGTTGTGAAAATTGAAAAGGAAAGTTTAAAAAAGTGTTATAATTACCGCCGAACGTAATTTAATAACACAATTTAAGGCGTGAGTTTCGGTATAAAAATCTGGCCTGCAAAATTCGATTGTATCATCGTGTATCATCATATCACGATAATACAATCATATTTTGTAGGGTTTTGCATGCAGGGTTTTTCTATCCTAGCTGCTCCCATATTTTAATTAAAAATTAAGAAATAAAAAGCGCCTAATGGTATAAGGGGTCCAGTGGGGAGTGGGCCGGTATACCGTACGCTTCCTGTAGACCATGCGGATCACCGTCCGCATACTTGCTGGGACGCGATCCCGACCGTTGAATCCTCGCCTCTCGATGCGTCTATTCATCTTTTCCATCTTTTCTCCTACCTAGGCCGAGTTCCACTCTCTTTTCCACCCACCGACCCCATCAATCAGTTTTGCCTCTCCGTCGATTCCCTGGAGGCTGGCCAAGTTGGAGCTATGGCCGGAGATGGATAGCCAGAGAACCGAAGTCAGAACGCCAATCCCTTACCGAATCTCCTGATTACCTTTAAGTGCTTCCCCGCCAATTAATACCACAAATTAAATCCCAAGACCTTCATTAGTTTAATCCCAACTTGTGATCTCAAGGGGAACTGCATTGATTACCCAGATCCACAAATGAGAGATACTGTCTACATGATAATAAGAACTGAAGCTTCGTCCATTGATGAACTGTACGTACCATTTTTTATGTTTTCCTCTAGCTAGAAAACAATCATTATATATACCGTACGTATACAATACATATCCTGTTTGTAAAGCATAAAGTACTGGACGTGCATTTTCATGCTATTGAAAGTTTCCCAAGTCCCCAAAAGCACAGCTAATCAATTCAGATTTAAGCTATCTTCCACGACTTTCATTAAGAATATAGCTCAGCAAGTTGCATGCATGTGAGGTTGTGGGTATAAATTAAATGAGATCGATCAGCAGCTGGTAGATAGATGGCTATATATATAGACACAGTACTTCATATTGGTTGTGGATCAGTCAATAGACTAAAAATTGTTCATAATAAAAGATGGTGTGCTTTCAAAATAAACTAAAAATTGTTCATAATAAGATTGATGAATAATGTCAATTGATTGGCAGCTGACAGCTAGATGGCAATATATACACAGTACTACATCTTGATTGTGGATTAGTTAATAGAGATACAATTGCAGGTTAGGAAGTAACGAAGCTGTAACTAAGCTCTGCGTAATATATATAAGGTAAATCCCAGATGGAGGGTTATACGCTCTTCATACTTAGCAATAGGGAGTATATGTTGAATGGTAATTTGTAATCAATTCTATCATCGCTAAACATTACACATGGTAGACATCATTGTAATCAAATCAATGAATTTTGAACAACAATAAATATTGCATTATGCAATCAAAATAATGGATGAATTATGGAGATTAGATTGCACAGTCAAAAAAGTTTGATAAGAGAAGCCAACTACTGCACTTATGCATGGGCCATGAGACAAGTACATGCATATGCTATTGTCGTGTGGGAGTTGATTGGAAGGAAAAGAAGACAGCTTTTATTATAGGGTCAAAATTGCAGTATCAACTTGTCTCATCTGTGTGATGTGTAATAGAAACATTATTAGTTTACTTCTTCCATTAAAATTATATATACTCATGGAAGGATTGAAGTGTGCCAGCCCAAAAATAAAAGGAAGAAAGGAAGAAAGAACATGTCTGCCTGTGTGTTCTCTCAATTGGGAGTTCATAATGTTAGCAATTGCTTAGGTTTTGGTTAATTGCTTTATTTATTTGTTATGTATTAATTATATATATGCTTATTTGATTAACATAGAAAGTAACATGCAATATGCAGGCTAGGCGGGAAAACGGTCGGAAATGGAAGTATCAGTGATATCAACGGAGAACATCAAACCATGGTCATTAGCAGGAAGTGATCGGCATGAGTTCAAACCATTCAAGCTGTGCTTACTTGACCAGCTCATGGTCTCCATTCACTCTCCTCTCGTCCTCTTCTACACCATGAAGGATGATCATGATAAGAAATCATCGGTTGGCACACGGTTGAAAGCGTCGTTGTCCAAGACCTTGAATCCCTTCTACCCTGTAGCCGGGAGAGTGAAAGACAACCTCGTCATCCACGACTTCGAACGAGGCGTCCCGTTCACTGAAACACGAGTGGAGGGACACCGTCTGCCCGACGTCCTGGCAGCCTCGCCACGTGGGGGACCCAGGCTGGAATTCCTAAACAACTTGCTCCCGTTTGAGCCACATTGTTACCAGGAGGATGAAGCTGCTTCTGCACAGCTATCGGTGCAGCTAAACACGTTTGACTGCGGTGGGATCGCACTCGGGCTGAACATGTACCACAAGCTCATGGACGGGGCCACCACAAGCGCGTTCCTCCAAACCTGGGCGGCCAACTGCAGCGGTGATCACCGGATGAAGAAACAACCCGAACTACGCAAAGCAGCCCAAGTTTTCCCTCCTCGGGACTCCATCCCAACCGAGGTCCAATCGTTTTCAAACAGGATGTTCTTCGAGGACGTGGGAGGACGACGACGGAGGATGGGCGCGGCTGGGAGATTCGTGTTCGATGAAAAGGCTGTAGCGGCACTAAGAGCGAAGGCGGGGCTCAGCATCACGAACCCGACTCGTCTTGAAGCTTTGTCTTCTTTCGTTTGGGAATCGGCCCTCAAAGCAGCTGCCGCTGCCGACGAGGAGCAGCGACAGCCGACGTGCCTGATGCAGGGCGTTAATATGAGGCCACTGATGAGCCCACGGTTGTCCAAACACTCCCTCGGGAATCTCGTGACCACCGCTATGGCGTGCTGCGCGGACAACCCCGACAACAAGTCAATGAGGGAGCTGGTGAGTCTCATACGAGATGGAAACATGAGAGTTGACGAGAACTACCTCAACGGCATCTCTGGCGAACAAGGGTTGACGGCCATGGTCGAGGGGCAGAAGGTGTTGCATGAGATTATGACTGGAGGGTTTGGCCGGACAATTATGAGTTGCTCAAGCTGGATGGGGTTCGGTTTCAATAATTTCGACTTCGGTTGGGGGCAGCCCATCTGGACCGGTTTGTCTGGAGACCCTAGCGGAGATCATCCTTGTCTCAACAAGTGTGCTTTTTTCAAGGAAGTGGCTGCCCGAGGGCGTGGAAACTCGAAGGCCATAGAGGCATGGATAAGGCTAGATGAAGATGTCATGGCTCTTCTTGAACATGATCCTCTCTTCCTTCAATATGCTTCCCCTAATCCGCCTATCATCCTCAACTAGCTAGCTCACTAGCTGCATCATCACATGTACTTATGACTTCTCTAATGAATTAATCACCAGACAACATGTGATTAGTTAATGAAGCCTCCCCTTTCATCACCTTCTGCTATACTAGTTGCTATCATATACCAGGATGGTATGGGGTGATATATGTTGGACTTGGATCGAGGAGACAATGGCTTTGGGCTGTGCCTTGTGTGTTATGAAGTTGAGTCAATAACAAGTCCGGATAGGATTGAGTTAGTAGAAAGTGAGTTACATGTGTTGCTAGTTTTAACGATTGTGGTTGTAACTGTTAAGCAGGTCCTTGTTTTACGTTTGATAGGCTGAGTGATAGCTTGTTTTAGCTCACAATAATTGAGCTAGATGTATTTAATATGTTTCTTTGTTATGTGAATAAGATTATCTAGTGTTTGCCCTCTATTGTGTATAACAATATATTTGGTCATGAAAAAATTGTCCCTAAAAAATTTGTAGATCTAATAAATAATGACGAACTCATTTTTTCTGAACAAATTTTTTAAAATTCGAATTATAAATGAAGGTTGTTCTAGGAGTACTGGTAACGAGTGGTATGAGTGTGACGAAAAGTCTTGTCTTTATGTATATTAAAAATTGATATTATTTTGTAGATTACGATAAACTCATTTGCTCTGTGCAAAATATTAAATTTAAAATCAAAATTAAAACAAAGAAAACAAAAACTAATTAGGAAAAAGTAAGGAAATAAAAAGTCATTTAATCTCATTTCTTAATCTAGACCAGTTAAAATCAAAATGACCTCTAGTTATTCACCCCAAATTCAATTCAGCATACCAACTGGATCTGCATTAATTGGCCAGGATTCGCGACATGTTGCATGGCACATGGGCCAGATCCGAATCCGTAATGTTTACCCAAAATAGCAATCATGGCATTATTGATATATTACGAGAACAGCACCATAATTAGCCAGCATTTAATTATATACGTTGACTTCTCATCCAAGCCACCCAAATACAGATAATGGTGAGCTTTATTTCTTCGGCTGTCACTAAATAAACATATATAGGTCTGATTACGATTATTGCATCCAATGAATTATTCTGATGGGAAACTTGCATGCACGTAGGAATGGCAATGGGCAGGTCCGGGAGGGTTTCTTGGTACCCAGATCCGTCCCGTGGCAGGTCGGGTCCAAGTCGGGTAATTGATTACGGGTCGCGGGTCGGGGCAGGTCGACCCAATGGGTATGCAATTTATATTAAAAACATTGTAAATATTCATTATTTTTATTATAAGACTAAGAAAACAAACAATATTATGACAATTGCAGTTAAATTATTGGAGAAATTGAGGTTTTTACTAATTTACAACTTTCTTATAGCTAAAATATGATGCAATAAAAGGAAAATACTAAGTAATTTGACTAAGATTACATGTAAATTAGACAAGAACGGGTCGAGAATGGGGCGGGTTAGGACAGGTCGGGTCGATGAGACTACCCATGCCCGCCCCGCCTACGGGGCGGGTCGGACCCGCCCCGAAACAGGTCAAACAGGTCGGATAACACGGGTCAGGTCGAAATTGCCATCCCTACATGCATGCGAGGTTATGGCTGTACATTAAGAGGGAAAATGTGTAATGTAGTGTAGGGCTATACATATATATATATATATACAGTACTGCACATTTGGTTGTGGATCAGTTAACAGAGAGAGATATTGTTCCATAAAGAGGGAAAATGGATGTATCGGTGATATCAATAGAGAACATCAAACCATGGTCAGTAGAGCATGAATTCAAACCATTCAAGCTCTGCCTGCTGGACCAACTCATGGCCTCCACTTATTCTCCTCTCGTCCTCTTCTACCCCATGAACAGTAGTAGTACTGATCGCCATGAGAAAGAGGTGGTTGCTAGGCGGCTGAAGGCATCTCTGTCCAAGACACTGAATCCCTTCTATCCTGTATCCGGGAGAGTGAAAGACAACCTCATCATCCACGACTTCCAACAGGGCGTCCCCTTCACCAAAGCACGCGTGAAGGGGAACCGTCTGTTCGATTTTTTGGCCTCGCCACCCAACTTGGGATTCCTACACAACTTGCTCCCGTCCGAGCCATTTTGCCTGGCGCCACATCGTCATCATCATCATCCACTACTTGCGGTACAACTCAACACATTTGACTGCGGTGGGATCGCACTCGGGCTGAACATGTACCACAAGCTCATGGACGGGGCAACCACCAGTGCGTTCCTCCGCACTTGGGCGGCCAACTGCAACGTCGGTGATCCCGCGGGATCATCGACAACATTGCTGAAAAACCAACCAGAGTTACGCAAACCATCCTCAGTTTTCCATCCTCGCGACCCTGTCCTTGTCGATCAGTGCCAGAAGGCCATGGAGAGCATGATTTTCCCAGATGTCCATCCGGGAGGACAAAAGGCTACCACCAGGAGGTTCGTGTTTGATAAAAACGCGATAACGAGCCTGAGAGCCAGGGCAAGGAGCAGCAACGTTACGAATCCGACTCGTCTTGAAGCCCTGTCTGCTTTCTTTTGGGAAGCCGCCCTCAAGGCATCTACAACTACTACACCCGGCGAGCGACAACAGAAGCTACAGTGTTTCATGCAATCTGTCAACCTAAGGTCGCTAATGAGCCCACGCCTGTCCAACAACTCCGTCGGGAATCTTGTCACCACCGCATTGGCGTCCTGCAAGGATATTGGCAACAACGTGACAATGAAGGAGTTGGTGGGTCTCTTGAGAGAGGGAATGGCGGGGATCGTTGATGAGAAGTATATCAACGCCATCTCCGATGCTGAACATGGGTTTGAAGCCATGCTTGAGGGCGGTAAGTTATTGGGAGAATGTGGCAGCGGGGAGATTATGACTTGCTCAAGCTGGATCGGATTTGGTACCAACAATTATGACTTCGGTTGGGGAAAGCCTCTCTGGACTGGTTTATACGGGGACCCGACGGGGGATCATCCTTATGCCAACAATTTCCTTGTTTTCAAGGAATTAGGTGCTCGAGTGCGTGAAAATTCGAATGCCGCCATAGAAGCATGGATAAGGCTGGACGAAGACGTCATGGCTGTTCTTGAACATGATCCTCACTTCATCCAATATGTTTCCCCCAATCCTCCTATCATTCTCAACTGATTATGATGTTATATATCAAACAGCTGATGATTAGCTAATGGACAGTTAATCACTATTAATTACCTCAATGTATGTTTCATGGTTTATTTTATATTATCTTGAATAATGAATGAATGTCTTGGAGATTTGGCATATGGTTTAAGTACTGATATACAAAAAAAAAAAAAAGGGACTTCATGTATAGACACACACAAAAGAGCTAGACATGAATGGAATTCATAATGTTTACACATTATTTTATTCTTTGATGTAATCTAATCAAACTTAATAAACATTCTATCCATTTTCTCACACCAATTTGTTATTGAGCATTGTACAACAAAATAAACCCTTTATTTAAAAAAAAAATTCTATTTATTAGATCATAAAAAAAAATTCCAGCCGCACTCACAAAGATGAACATAGAAGTTTTCAGTTCAAACAATAAATTTTGATTTCTCAAATCACATAATCGTCCGAATTTAGTTCTCATATCGTCATTCGTTTAAGGTACGGAATGGAAAAGAGAGTTAATGTGTAGGTCAACAACCATAAAAGAAACAAAACTCTTTCACAATTATGGTCAATTCTTATAACTTAAGTTTTTATCGCTGATTTCACTTTTTCCTATAATACGGGAATGGATGTTGTGCATAACTTACCTATTAATTACTATGCATAAACCTATACTTAATATTTAATATTTACTAGTTTTTTTGGCCCGCGCTTCACAGCGGCGAGATTTATGTAATATATTTGCTTAACTAAAATATATGAAATAACTACCCTCCATTTTACGTAATATATTTATAATTTAGTTTATGTAATGTGTGGTCTAATAATAAAAATTAAATTAGAAAAGTTATCATATCTATTATGTAAAATTAACTTAACTTATGGAAAAATATCAAATTAGAAAAGGTATCATATTCTACTAATATATTATGTAAAAGTTAATTTACCTTATGGAACCTTTTTGTAATGCAAATTGATGAGATATTTAATATCGTAGTTAATAATAAAGAAATTTTAATAAATAATTAGAAAATTAAATTAAGAAGAGTATCACATTTGATTAAACTATTATGCAAAATATAACTAAGCTTATAAAACTTTTGTGTAATGAAAATTGATGAGATGATCAACTTAAAATATCATTACAATTTATATTATAAAATGACTTGCATAATAATTTTTAATTGATACATAAGAAACGATTATCCCTCGATAAGTTTTATGCAATGACTTAATCATTATAAAAGTCATTCCCTATTGTGTTTTTCTTAATTGGTACATAAGAAATAACTATCTCTCCATAAGCTGTACGTAATGTCTTAATCCCTACAAAATTCACACCCTATTATGTTTTGTTTAATTCATACATAAAAAAAATTAATGCTTAAAAAATGTCTCTCTCTCCCCGTATGTTTTATATAAGTCTTAATCATTACGAAAGTCACACCATATTATGTTTTGTTTAAGTTGATACATTAAAAATAACTATTACTCTATAAGTTTGATATGATATAATATACGTGACTTTTTATATCGCGGTGTTATGTAAATATTTCCTAATGTGCGGTCTAATAATAAAATCAAATTATAAAAAGTATCACATTTTGTTAAACCATTACGTAGAAGGCACATTTATGTGTAATTTCTTCATATGTTACATAACTTTTTATAGCACGGTGTTACGTAAATATTTCTTAATGTGCGGTCTAATAATAAAATCAAATTATAAAAAGTGTCTCATTTTTTAGACCACTACGTAAAAGACACCTTTATGTGTAATTCCTCATATGTTACGTGACTTTTTATAGTACGGTGTTATGTAAATATTTCGTAATGTGAGGTCTAATAATAGTATCAAATTATAAAAAGTATCACATTTTAGTAGACCACTACGTAGAAGTTCCCTTTATGTGTAACTCTTCATATGCTACGTGACTTTTTATAGCACGGTGTTACGTAAATATTTCATAATGTGCGGTCTAATAATAAAATCAAATTATAAAAGTATCACCTTTTGTTAGACCACTACGTAGAAGACACCTTTATGTGTAATTCCTCATATGTTACGTGTCTTTTTATAGCACGGTGTTACGTAAATATTTTGTAATGTGCGTCTAATAATAAAATCAAATTATAAAAAGTATCACATTTTGTTAGACCACTGCATATAAGACCCCTTTATGTGTAATTTTTCATATGTTACGTGAATTTTTATAGCACGGTGATACGTAAATATTTTGTAATGTGCGGTCTAATAATAAAATGAAATTATAAAAAGTATAGCATTTTGTTAGACCACTACGTAGAAGACCCCTTTATGTGTAATTCCTCATATGTTTGTGCATGCTACCACCTGTAGCTAATGATTTAAATTAGAAAACTACAATAAATGTAATGAACATTGTTTGCGAAAGAATTGGGGGTGGGAGTTTTTTTCGTAAGGAACAGTAACATTGACTTGTGCTTTTAATTAATTGATGAAAGGCAACAAAAAATTTTCCAAATTAATTTTAATGAGTTATCTCTTTCATTTTGTGTCGTAATTGAAAAAAACTCATAGAAAAATCAAATTAAGTTCGCTCTTCAAAATGACATCGATTTTGATATATTTTGAAACAAAAAAAAATTGTGACATGTATTACGATTTCATACCATGGTGGTAATTTTTGGTAGTAAATAAGATTATACTAAATGCTATATAAGTGTATCATGGTGGTATTAACATATCATATTGTAAAATAGTTATATATAGGATAGTAATAATATATTAATTGTCATTTACTACCTTTCATCACCATCTACCACTAGTTAACACAACATACCATTACCAAGGTGGTATAGGATGGTATATATGGTCTTGAAAAAAAATTCCCCGGATATTTGAAAAACGAAGGTGGTACATAGTGGGTTATCAAGGTGGTAACGTGTGGTATTGCTAGTGCGGAAAAAAAAAATTCTCGAAATATATTGAAAATGGATATAAATTTTAAGTTCACAACGAACTCACTCCATCGATGCAAATTTTTGTGAAATCCAAGTTAAAACAAAGAAGATAAAACCAATTTAAAAAGTAGGAAAATGAAAACGCTTAATAATATCCATAAGTTGATCGCGATGTAATAGTTTAGACAATGTTATATTGATGTTGACATATTTATTTGACAATGCTTAATTGATGGACCCTGAGTCCAGAACACAAAAGTAACACAAAGATATACTAAAATACACACTCCACGCAGTGAACTGCCCAAAGATCGATCTTATCGGCAATAAGAATAGTTGGGTTATATAGGCACAGGATCCACGAGAATGTTGGTGAGCAATTCTTTCATGAAGGTCTTGGCATGCGTGTAAGTGTCTTCATCCTTATACAACAGGTCCATGACTCGCACCATATTTACTATGGTCATCAGAATCGGTAATGGAGCTTTCAAAGGCAGCATCAGATCTTCGTTCATATCTTTCCACATTTTCTCCACCAAATTGTTCAACCCCACGTACGCCTCTTGCTTTGACACGCAGTATTGCTTCATGTAGCATTCTACGGACGAAGCCACATGTCCCCTTTCTTGCTCAAACTATACCCAATCGAAATATATATTATCAATTTAGGTTCATCTATATAAAATTAGCATTCAACGGGCATGTCATGTACGTTAGACATTTAAAAGGTGGGATAGAGCTAGGCCAGCCATATATATACCTCGTGGGAGACTATGTCATCCATGAGCCTGGCGATGCTAGAACCAGCAGCAAGGATTTTAGGGTTGGGTTGACTGAACAGCCATTGGAAGACCTCTTTGGAAGCAATTTCTCCCATTCCACAATAAACCACTGTAATAGCCAGTGGATACCCAATGCTCACATAACCATTAGGCAAATGTTCCTCCATTGTTGCTACATAACCTTTGTTGTACCATCTGGCTTCCTTGATGAAAGCTCTCACTATATGTTTCACCTGTAATTCATATGTTTTTTACAATTAGTGACTTAGAAAATCATTACATCGTGAGAATATTAAGGACTGATGAGTTAATCAAGTGCAATTAATTTCATTAATTACGTACTGCTTCCCTTGCATACTCCATACAAAAGGACCTGCCTTCCTTGGACACATGAGCTTCAATTTCAGCAAACACCTCAAGCAATGTCTTGAACCAGAACTTGAAATAGCTAGGGAGCACGTCTTCATCTGTAATTTCCCACCTAATAGAAAAAATTTACCAAATTAATAAAATTTGATGAGAATACTTAAGTGACTAACAAAAATTACCAACCTCTTGATGACTTTGGTAATGCTCTCAAGTTCATCGATGGTGCCATGGACATCGAAAATGTCATCTAAGGTGGAGACAAGTGCGGTAATTTTCGTGACAAAAATTCTTCCAGTGGTATAATCAGGCCTCACAAATCCACCCAACGGCCACATGTAGCACTCTATCACCCTGTCCCGCGCAAATGGTAGTGTAGTTGGCGTGTCCAAATCCATCCACCACCTTTTATTTACCAATTACGGAAAGAAAAAAAAGGAAAATCAGATGGCCATCCAAAATCCAATCATAGAGTCAAATAAGGTGGCGGTAGTGGTAGTTGTCTGGTTGTTGATAATTCAGTGAGACAGGACATTGCGACCCATCCTTATCAAAACCTTGTAGCTAGGGCACAATACAAAAACAAAAAGCAGCACAATATGGCAATAGTCTTGTCCACTAATAAACCAGCTTTCTCTTTTTTTGGTGGAAGAAACCAGCTTTTTCGATACCACCTGTCAAAAGGATAAAGAATGATTACTTGGTGAGAATGTTAAGCTCGTGCTGATGCAACTTCTGGACCAAGTTGAAATCCAGCTTCCCTAGCTTCAGAATGGCTTCGTTGTGCCTTTCGTCTTGTTGGTATATCGACATGAAGTGCCTCGACTCTCTTATGGGAAGCCCTTTGAGTATGGGCCATTTCAACGAGTGTCTCACTTGGCTAGCCCAAGGCGAGTCCTCTAGCTGGGTAATGGGCTCAAGGTGAGTTCTTGCGAACACGAGTGCTTCATCCAGTACTTGTTCCTCGTTGACTCTGTAGTAAGCAGCTTCGTACAAGCTCAGCAGTCCTTTCACGTCACCGGTCACATCTTTCTTGAAATAACCCTTCTCGTCTTTGAATTTCGCCAACGCGACTGAATGGTATGAAGTCGAACAACAAACGTAATGTCACAATATTATATGTTAGTAGTCGTTTCCCAACAAGATGCAAGTATGCATGCATAGAATAATTATGTAAGAGAGATATATAAAATACATGATTAAATTTCTTCCAACAACACGATTTATTGAAATCAACTGGTTAATGATCACGCGCTATTAAAATGATTTGGTCAAATATTGTGTGTTTGGATTTCCACGATCTCGATATTAACATGGGATTTAAGCACAATGTATCGTGAGTCTGTACAAATTAACTTCAAATTTATTATTTGATTTTCGTTTAAGGGGAGATAGAAAAAGGTCTTATAAGATCTATAATTAACTTGTTGGTTCCAACAAGTTGAATTATTAACTCGACACCAACTTATTTATGACAAATACTAAATGAAATAACTCACGCGTGGGATTGACGTGGTAGCCCTGCTGCCTGAGAAGCCGGAATCGGAGGGTAACAGCGTACAAGTCACCGTCGGCGTCGACATACCCATCGGCGGCGGCACCGGAGATTCGAAGCAGAGCTGCTTCGATCTCTTCTTCGAAATGATAAGCGATGCCGAGCCTTTGGACGGCGTCAATCATCTCCAGCGTTTCCAGAATCGTAGCCTTCTTCTCATCATCGTTAGTAACAGCTCCCCTGAGCATATCCCTGACTTCTTCCGTCAGTTTCTGAGCTTCCTCCAAATTCTGTTATAATATATATGAAGTCCCAAAAAATGGAAAAATAAAGTTCGAGTCTACCCTGTCAAAGTGTCAATCCATGGTTTATCGTAAAAGTTACCATGCAGTATATATACATAAAAAAGGGGGAAATGGAAGAAAAGAAAAGGTGGTAAAAGTGAGAGATCGAGATCCTTTTAGAGTTACCTGAGAATCAGCAGCGTTGGTGGAGATGTTAGAGCGAGCAAAGAAGTCGTTCCAAACGGAAGGATGAAACTCCACCCTCTTCCTGCGCAACTCTGCCGCCGGTTCATCAATACCCACCGCCATAATCTCGGGGTTTTGCTAATGTACAGTAGCTAGCTTGGATCAGAGCAGTGTGCTTTGAGGGAGTGTATATGTCTAGACTACACATCTATATAATGCGATAAATAATTTATTTTTAATCTTTTATGAACAGTATTATCATCCTTCAGAAGAGGTATATCGAAAAGACTAGTAGTCTATCCAGTATCCACTCATACTTCTTCATCCCATCTACATTCCATATGGGTAGGGTTGCTTACAAGGCAAGTTGATAATACAGCTCGAGTTTGTGCTCAGCTTGAATTAAAGTAATCTAACTTGGCTTAGTTGAGCTAGGTAAATGCTCATTACCAGAGTTTGTCAAGACGTGAGCAAGCTCTCTCAATATATGAAATCGGTTTGAAATCATTGATGTTGAAAAATATGTAAACATAAGAATTTAAATTATAAAAACAGTACTAGAAACTAAAAATATTACTAACTTCCATACGCATCCTTATTAACAAGATAGTGTTCATGTTCAGAAGAATAATTAATTCTTTCACAAGCTCTAAACAAATCAGCTCGCGAGATTAGCTCAACAAGTCATAGTGTCTGGCTAGCTCATGAGTTTATCAAACTGAACATGATATAGCTCAAGTAAACGAGTCGGCTCATAAATTAGCTTATTAAATTTAAATAATAAATCAAGTATAGAACAAATTTTTTCCACTTGCAAATGGCTTAACTTATTTGCAGCCCTACATATTGGGCCATGGTGTGACTTATGAGCCTGCCTGTTGGCTTCGCGGGCGGCCCACAAACTCCAAATATCACTCCACCAAACATAAAATAATCGAATTAGTAGAGCAAGTGGTAGTCAGGTAGAGGCGGCTGCCGGCTGGGGATACTGTTATTAACTTATTACTAGTTTGGTACTCGGTTCGTTGGCCGGGTAAATTTTGTTTGAAATACGTACTTTGGTATTTTTTTTTCTCATAAGGTGTCTATTTTGTTCAGTCTGTCATTGTCCTCTCTCATTCCAAATCGTGTATACCTTTGAGTCCGACTAGTTGGCCGCTAAATGATTTTTTTAAGGTAAATTAGTTTGTACCGCACGACAATATTTTAGCACCCATGAAATTGTTGTGCATTATTATTATGATATTACAAAATTAAACATTGATATAATTTAGTAACTCAGTAGAATAAGCAATTTGTTCTGCGATCTATGTTAGTATATACTTTATGGCGGTACAATCGAATGATATTGATATAGTTTCGCAACTATCGAATAGGAACATGCCTTGTAAATATATGACTGTGGCTATGTTTAAAAAAACATATATCAAAATGGGTATCCTTGTGTAGATCACATAAAATCTGATTTTTTTGCGCAATAATATTTAAATTCGGAGTTGAAGCGAAATAAATATGAATCAATTAAGAATAGTAGGGGATATTGAAAAAGAAGAGAGAGAGAGAGAGTTACGTGGCACATCCTAATTGGGGTATAGAAAAACTTAAAAGAAAAAAAAGGAGTTAAGAAAAAATCCGATTGGTCGGAAGGGTGCTGACGTGGATGCATAGGAGGGCTGGAATTTTGAAATGGTGAAGATAGTTTTTGGAAAAGCCTTTATATATTTTATAGATATAATAGCTGTCGAGAAAGACTACTGATTAGGAGTTCTCTATTTGGTCCAGATTTTTTGGTTTTATCCGAAACTGGATCGTATAATCCGGAGCGAAATTGGATAGCAAACAATTCAATTTCATTTTTGGGCTTAGATTTGAGATAAAAAATCGTTTGACATCGGATCGAAAATCGGATAAAGACCGGATAGAATCCATCACCCAAAACTTAACCAACTCCTCACCCTTTGAGGCCTCAGACCACTCAAATCCTCACAAACTCAATCTAAAATAAAAATCAAATTGGAATCGGACTGGATCAAGACCAGACCATACCGAATCAAGACCGTAGTACTATATCCAATTCAATCTTTACTCCTTACATTCTCAAACCGGACCAAAACTAAATCAATTCGCATCAATTTAACCGGACTGTATTATATAGCCACTCCTAATACTCATTAGCAACTTCTTGGAAGTTAAAAGGAGGAGATGAAGAAATTGGCGCCGGTTTCTATTATTCTATTTATTATTTATTGGGTTCTGTATTTTCTATTATTTTTGGTGGACCAAACTGATCCATGCTTCCTCAGTTCCTTGTCATTTTCCAAGATTATAATTAATTGTAATGTGCAGACATCCAGATAAGATTCATGATTTTCCCCCACAGGATCTGAACTTTGGTCGAGTTATGTGGCATATTTTGGTCTCGCTACTTATTATTAAAATATTCACAGACTGATCCATGCTTCCTTGTCATTTTCCCAGGCTAAATAATTGTAGTTTGTACTTCGTAAGATATTTTATTTCCACTTGTGGCTATTACTTTACACACACGTCCAGATAAGATTCATCGCAATTTCCCTCATAAGATATGAACCTTATTGAAGTGTATACTAAGAATGCATCCCTTTATTTCATTAAACATTACTTGCTTGCACATATAATTCTACAAAAATCCTATACCTGCTTTGAAGTCGAGAGTAGTATTCGACGTTACAATGACCCTAACTCGAGACATTCATCTTGTAGAGGCTTATGTTGTTATATATACCAACTCAGGTTAAGTGATAGCAAATTCCTTTGTTTGAGAAATATCATTTTTGCTATCATGTTATAATGAAGTCACTTTGACTTGATATATTTTTGTTTGGGGGGGGGGATTTTGAATTGAGTAATTTGATATCATGTTATAATGATGGTAAAAAATATATGCTACTATTTTCATTTATAAAAGATATCATTTACACAAGTTTACTCTTACTTCCTCGTAATATAACGTATTTATCACATTTTTCAACAACTTTTTCCTCATTTCCCTCCTAACAACATTTTCCTCCCCTTCAAATTTTACCTCTCCTTCAAACTTTCCATCTCCACCTTATTTTTCTTCCTCTCTTAGAAAACAAAGTGTAACCAATCTTAATCTTGTCTACAAATCATTTCTAATTTGACCGCTAACAAACCTCATTTAACACCTAATCTTACTACCTCTAGTGGAGAGACATGATAGTCTGGCCCATCCTTATCAAAACTCTGTAACTAAGGAAAAAATACTACACAAAAAACATAGCAATATGACATATTTTGTCGAATAAACTAGTCTTTTCTTTTCCTTCGGAATATCAATAAGGAAAGGAGAAATAAAGTTCAAACGATATAGGAAAAATGTACAAGAATGAAAAATAAAACAGCCTTGCAAGGTCATTTTCTTTTTATATTTCCCAAATAGCAAGTAGTACACTTTCTGCACTCTTAGTTATGCATTAATGGATCATATGTCGTTGGAATCAAGCACAAATTGTGTTTTCTTCTTACTGACGCTCCGAAACGTTCATTCATATCTAAATCTTCATGATTCATTTTGGCTGGAAGCTTCCAGTCAAAATGATACAACAAATTCGCCAGCATGAGTTTCACAACAGCCATTCCAAATGTTAGTCCAGGACAGCTCCTCCTTCCAGAACCAAATGGGATAAACTTTAAATCCGACCCTTTGTAATCGGTTGAGAAGTCGTCAAGAAACCTTTCAGGATAGAATTTATCCGGTTCTTTCCAATGACGAGAATCCCTTCCAATAGCCCAAGCATTAATGATGACTTTAGTTCTCGCGGGGATATCGTAGCCATCGATTTCTGCCCTCACTATCCCTTCTCGTGGAAGAAGTAATGGAAGTGGCGGGTGCAATCTTAAACTTTCCTTGATGACCGCATCTAAATACTTCAATTCCTGAAGCCCGTCTTCACTAATGGGGTTGTCTTTATCACGAAACTTCTGCCGCACTTCTTCCTGCACTTGTTGCATCACTTTTGGATTTTTGATCAATTCTGACATGGTCCACTCTAGTGTCGTTGTTGATGTCTCAGTACCATCCAAGAATATTTCCTAAGAGATCCGAAATGAAATGATTAACTGATGTCCATGAGCTAGACCAATATAAGTACTTGAGTGAAATTATAATCAACTAGCTTACCAAAATGACAGCTTTGGTTGCCTCCATTGTCAAGGGGATTTCCGGCAATTGGGGATTTTCCAAGAGATTCAGAAGAACATCGACCAAATCGATATGGGTTTCATCAGAACGGTTGATAGCTTGCATTTTTGAAGCTAATCTTTTGGCTTGATGTTCATGGATGATATCATCAAGCATCGTATCAGTAGCAAAATGCATCCTGGTGAGTTGAGCTCTAAACCCAGTCAGACTTGGAAGGAATTTTAGGGAAGGGAATAGATCGGAGACTCTGAATCCACCCGCAGCATCCGAAATATCAGCGACAAGTTTCGAGAATGTCGCCTCATCCAAATCCTGTTTGATAGTACAAGAAATCAACATATATTTTCGAAAGTGTCACATAGTTTATAAAATACATTTTGAGTAAGTTGGGTATAAAATAAATATTAGTATTTTAATTTATCTCTAAATGAATGGTACATCTACTAGTATTTCATATTGTCATAAAATGTATCAAATCTAATATTTCAAAAATAAATAAATGTATAAATTATATTAAAATTATCAATTCAATTCCTTAAATACAAATATTAAATGAATTTTATATGTGTTTAGTAAAATTATGAAAATAGACAGAGAAAATTGAAACTGCTTGGTAATAATTAATATGAAAACGGAAAAAACAAATAAACGCATAAAATACGTATGTTTGTATGAAACGGATTGATTATTACTCAAAAATTGAATCTAGTGAATGAGTATTGAATTTTCAGCACCTTCACCATGCCGAACGCCGTCCTGAAAGTGAAGCTGCTGGACGCCGACGCCAGCAGCCTGGTAACATCGATCCCTCCTCCGGCGGCACTCCGGGAGCGGACAAGACCGACGAGCTTGGAGGCCTCGGATTCCCTGATGGGACGGAAAGAAAGAACTCTCTTGGGGCTGAGAAGCTCCGCCACGCAGATCTTGCGCATATGCCTCCAGTGGTCGCCGGTGGGGGTGAAGCCGATTCCTTTGGTGCCGTAGAACAAGATGTCGCCGGCGAGGAGGTACGGCCTCGACGAAAAAGCGTGGTCGTGGAGTTTGAGGACTTGTCTCGCGGCCTCGGGGCTGGAGATGACGATATTGGAGAGCTCCCCAAGCTGGAGGTGCATGATGTGGCGGCCGTGCTTCTCTGCCAGCTCTCTCAGGCGGCGGTGAGGAAGATCTTCCCCGACGATCAGATGGTGGAGGTTCCCGATCACCGGTAGCTTCCATGGGCCCGGGGGTAATTTCTTGGCGGAGGCTGATGACCATGACCGGTTGTGCCTGGTTGTCAGTAAGGTGACAAGAGTAATGATGATGATGATGATGGTAATGGATGTAATGAATAACGGGAGGAATGGGAAATCGTCGAGGGAAGCCATTAATTGAATATTGAGATCTTCAGAACTTCAGCTAGCTTCTGTACTTTACTCTGCTTGTGTTTGTGGTGATACGTCCCATCTTATCATTGCATTAAAGTTCTGATATTTTGCAGTCGCAACGCAATCTTGTCTTTTCTTTTATTGTAATGCATAGCAGACAAGGTGGGTCCTCTGTACAGTCGGCTCGGCTGGAGGAGGAATATTGTAGACATGATCATGTGATGCCTCGTCAAAACTGTAAACTTGGGAGGGAGAGTATTAGGCCCCAACTCCAAATTTGTGGATTAAGAAGAAGTATGTTCTAGGCTTTGGCCAATAATATCAACTCAAAACACTAAACAAGGGACAATCATCTCAACTGAGATACTTGTCTAAATTTCTCTAACACTAATTTGGAGGAACATAAAGAGATGATGGCTATCGACTTGCCTAGTAATCTCGTTAAGCAAATGCCTTGCCGGTCAGGACTTGACTCAAACAAGTGATTTGCGGATGTGCCAAAAGGTTTCCTGGCGGTGTATGTTACGTTGGAGAGACACAGAAGAAGTGATTTGCAGTTCCAGTGTCCTACTTAAGTCGGCCTTCATTTCAAGTATTGAATATGGCTGAAGAAGAGTTTGGCTTTCATCATCCAATGGGTTGGCTGGCTGGCTTGCCAATCCCCTGCGGCAAAGAGGCATTTCCTCATGTTACTTACCTCTTGCTGCTTGAGCTGGTCATAAGAAAAAGAGAGCAGTTAAAAGACAATTTTGAATGGGAACTAGGAAGGATACTTCTAATTGCAACATGTAGATCCATCCTCACCTCCAGAGCTGATATAGATTTATGAGATGAATGACAGAAGTTTACCTGTATATTTGTATTGAACAGAACGGCGTTGGTTTCTCATCACATAATGAGTTTCCTGTTTCTTCTGTACTCCTTCACTTCCTCTGCTTATCTGTGGAAATGAGTTCCAATTTGTAACGAAAACATTGAACTTGCTTAGTTATTCAGACACCCAGATTATAGTTTTGATAAAACAAAAGTCACCTCACTGTGACTGATAAGGAGTGCATTTTCAAGAACCGCCCAAAAGCTGTACAAAAACCAAATGTAAGGGGGGAATGTTAGCTTGAATCTAAACGTAACCATGCAGATCTTTAACACTTTTGTGAACCAACATCCTATATTCTGGTAGTGCTACCTCACCTATTGAGCAGTACCATTCTAGTCACTGCATACAGCAAAATTGCACTTACATACTTTACCCAAATCCAATATTTGTCCTTCCCAAGATACCAGTCTCAATCTGTTATTTGGAGAGAGAGAAAAAAATAACTCTTATCCATTTTTACCTTCTGAAACCTTTGCTTACAATTTAATGGCATACAGATATAAGCATTTGCTCAGGGCTAACCCAGTGCATGATACCAATAGAGGGAAGCAAGAGACCTAGAGAATAAACCAGGGTAACATATTACCAGCAACAAGAAACTCCATTGCATGGAACACGTCATGATATTTTCTTTCAAGATTTGGTGATAGCACACTTCTTGGTGACCCACTCGCATAAATACTACCATTAACTTGAAACTCGGAATGAATTCTACACGGAGATGTTAATGTAATATGTTTTCACCTTTAGCCATTCCTTCTCTGCTACGCTGGATGCCACAACCGCCAGGTCTTGCCTCATGTTCCATCCGCCTTCTAAGAACTGAAATCACTTCAAAACAAAACTTCATTACATGCATCTAACCTTGTCGCTTACAGTTATGGACAACTAGATGAACCATAACAACTTCATTATTAATAATATGAAAGTCCTATATCAAGTGTTCTATTCTGATCGTTCACCGGCCTATCCATCAAACTGAAGGACATGCATTCAGTCCCTACAATTTGTGATCTGATTGGAAGACAGGCTCATGTGACAGCTCAACCTTCATTTTCTTATATGTAAATCCTATTATTAAGGATGAGTGATCATCCAGTAGCCTACCCCTCAAACTTGTAGGGTACGCACCATCTCAGGCCCTTAAAATTGTTCCCACAGGAAGACAAGGCCATGTGACGACTCATGAGCTATTGCCCAACTGGGTTTCAGGCCTACTCTCCAAACTGCGGAGGATAAGCAAGAACCCCTCTATCTATATATAGATCATCATGAACAAACTTCGGAACCAACAGAAAAACAAGTTCTCAGTTTCTTATCTTAAAAAATCCTTTCAATTCAACACCAAATTTAGTTAAAAGAATAACATCATGGCCATTGGCTTACCAGGAAATCTTGCTAAGCAAATTCTTCGCCGGTCAGGATCTGGTTCAAACAAAGCGACTTCAAGGTTTCCAGATGTGCCTAAAGGTTTCCTAGCAGTGTATGTTGGGGAGACACAGAAGAAGCGGTTTATAGTTCCAGTATCCTACTTGAGCCAGCCTATGTTTCAGGATTTGTTGAGCATGGCTGAAGAGGAATTCGGTTTTGATCATCCAATGGGTGGCTTGACAATCCCCTGCAGTGAAGATACATTTACTTACGTTACCTCCAGCTTGAGCAGATCATAAGAGAGGAAATAAGGACAATTTTGTATAGGAATTTAGAAGTGCAGGGAGTAATTGCTCCATGTAGATGATATCTCTACTCTCTTTAAAGCTGATAAAGCATTATGAGACGAATGGCTGATTTTTTACCTGTGTATATGTTAAATAGAGAAGCTTTGATTTTCACATCATATGATCAGTTTCCTCCTTCTTCTCTCGTAATTAAAAAGAATCCCAGCATTGTCTAATAGTCAACATATATGCGCAAGGAAAATAATTATCAAAGATAGCTAGCATCCGAACTGAACTTCACAACCTTTATAACAGTTCCATGAATCAAAAACCTCTCCACACAATCATTGTTAGTTGTTACATCTCCTAAACGACTACACAGAAACAGTGGACAAAACTGCCGAGTTCAAGAGCGGACTCCAATCTATTCCATATAGGCAAACCACACTTATGTACTTCCACAAATCTATAAAATTTATCTTGCCATAAACTCCAAATTCAAATTTTATTCCGGTAATTTTACAAATGTACAATAGCTACCAATTATTATTTTACCTATTGTTATCATGAATAGTTTTGCTTATTTCTGAATGGTATAGTGATGTAGCCATTGCCACAGGCTTGGGCATATTCATGATGCAATCAAAGGGAAGAAGAGAACTAACGAATAAAAAATGCTATAAAGCAGGGTTTACTTGTACAAGACAAATCCGGTACTAACTCCCATAACTCATCACATTGTCACAGAAAGGAACTTGCTTCCATTTTTTTCATTTTAATGATATTACTTATGTGTTGTTGAAAAAAATGACCTGGAAACTTTATATTAGATACTCATACACATAGGTTTTACAAGATGAAAAGGGAAACATCATATGAAATTTGTGTATTTAGGTTTTACATGGGTTTTACTCCCATAGATCCTAAAATGCAGTGATCAGGTTCTAGATTACCTTACCCGTACCCCTTCGGCCAGATTGAAGAGAAATTCCCCTTCTACCAAAATCGATGCGGCAACCACCACACGTCTTAACTTCATCTTCCCTCTGGGTTGTTAGATACAGACATCAATCTATCAAAACTTGTCTGAAACATGTCTGCAACAGAAATGGACAACTAGCTTTACTATAACTTCATAATTAATATGTGAATGCCCTGTCCCAATGTATATGTGGTGATCCATTAGCATATTCATCATACTTGTAGGGCACGTACCCTCTTCTCTGTCCTTACAATTTGTTCCACCATTAGAAGACAATGCCATGTGATGCCTCACGAACTATGTCTCAACTGGGTTTTTAGGCCCAGGAACCAGATTGGGAAGGAAGAACACCACTATCTATATAAGGGTCCTTGTGAACTTGCTTCAGAACTATCACAAAACAAGAGTTCAAAGACTCATCTGAAACTGAAATCTTTCTCTTCTCTTCAGATTCCTAACACCACCTTCGTTCAACAAACAATCATCATGGCTATAGGCTTACCTGGAAATCTTGCTAAGCAGATTCTTCGTCGGTCAGGATCTGGCTCAAACAAATCAACTTCAAGATTCCCGGACGTGCCAAAAGGTTTCCTAGCAGTGTATGTTGGGGAAAGCCAGAGGAAGAGATTTGTAGTTCCAGTGTCCTACTTAAGTCAGCCTTCATTTCAGGATTTGTTAAGCATGGCTGCAGAGGAATTCGGCTTTGATCATCCGATGGGTGGCTTGACAATTCCCTGCAGCGAAGAGACGTTTACTGGTGTCACCTCTAGCTTGTGCAGATCATAAGAATATAGGATCTAAACATAATTTTGTAAAGTAATTCAGAAGTAGAGTTCTTGTTCCATGTAGATGGCTTTATACTGTCTTGAAACCTGACAAAGATTTATAAGATGAATGACTAAATGTTACCTGTATATATCGAAATGGAAATTCCTGATTTCACATCATACGATCCACTATCCTCTTGCTTCTGCTCCCAGACTCCAAAATTCCATTTGTTTCAGTCCACAATAACAAAATGAGGGTTTGTTGCTCCGCCGTGGTGTTTGAACAACTCTTCATATCATGCACAAGAAATTTTTATTTTAAATCAACCAACAGGCAAACTGACCATTCCCTGCTTGTATTTTTACATGTCTAATACATGTATTATGACAAAATCATGCAAAAACAGTGATCAAAATGTGACAAAGCCATAACGAATTGGTTACCAATACAGGGTTCGAGCAGTAAAAGTGGCTAATCCAGCACGATATCACTATCACTGCTTTAATTATAAGAGATCATGCATGATGGCCAAGAAAAGCACATTACATAAAGGAACTAAGTAGTAAGCACTATACCAATTCAGACAGTCCGCTATCAGATTTTTCATATCCTGTAATTCATGTTCCATTATTTTTATGATGATGTTGTTTGTTATTGTTATCATTATTCTTACTTCAATTTTTTTCTCCTATGAAATGTTTCTTGCTGGTACTGAGAAATTAGCAACGATGAAATGGACCATGTCAGATGAAAAACCCAAGAGTTATGCAGAAAGCACAAGAAGAAGTGCAACACTTGTTCCGTAGTCAAGGTGATGTTAATGAAGATGGACTTCACGAATTGAAGTACCTGGACTCAGTTATCGAAGAAAGCCTGAGAATGCACCCACCATTTCCTTTACTCCTTCCAAGAGAAGGCACAGTGAGGCTTCAAATTGATTACTATGATATTCCAGAGAAAGCTAGAACCACCATCAATGCTTCGACTATCGGAAGGGATCCTCGTCACAGGAAAGAACACGGAGAAATTCTACCCTGAAAGGTGTCTTCAGTCTACTACAAAGGGACTGATTTCAAGTTCAACCCACTCAATGCTGGAAGGAGAGTCCTGGACTGTCATTGGTGGTGGCTATTGTGAAACTTATGCTCCGTCATTTTCTCTACCATTTCGAATGGAAGATACATGCCAGATTGAAGCATGAAGATTTGGACATGGCAGAAATTTTGGGTGCCGCAGTAAGAAGAAAATCCACTTATCCTTGATTCCCGTTGCAAAGGTTCCTGCATGTATTGTATAGGTTAGGAGAACAGTACAAAATCTGGAGCTTAAGGATGAAAGGTGAATATTGGCTGCTTCAAGAAGATCACATGGCTCTTCTAATTCAACTATCAATCTAGGACTTGGAGTGGTTTATAGTTATTTATAATGCATGTATACTGACAGAAGATAGTGTCCCACCAAATTACAGAGGACAAATCATTTGCCAAGGCAACCCCTCAAGATTTAAGACATCAAGAAAAATGATGCCCTCGCCGCTCACTGGAAATCATGTGCCTTTGTCCTTATGAGACCGAAGCTATGAGAGATAAAGAGCTTGATGAACTCCACAAACTAAAAGGACAGCCAAGTCTATAAGGACAACAAGGACTCACCGGAAATGAGAAAAAAGGAAGAAATTTTTCCCGACAGAACCTTGTGAAGGCTGGTGGTGCTGCCATTTACATTAAAAGCTGTAGGGCATGTACCCTCCTCTACCCTCTAGGTATCCACAATTTGCTAACAGGACCATGTGCTGCCTCATCAAAACTGTGTCTCATCTCTAAGTGGTCAAGCTCCAAATTATGGAGTAGGAAGAACCCTCCTAAATCCTATCTATATATAGGTCCTCATGACCTTGCTACAAAACCACCAAAGCAAGTATTAAAGTTTTCATCTAAAAAATCTTTCCCTACATTTCTCATTTTTGTTTTACACGAGATTATGGCTATCGGCTTACCTGGTAATCTTGCTAAGCAAATTCTTCGACGATCCGGATCAGGCTCAAACAAATCAACTTCAAGGTTTCAAGATGTGCCTAAAGGATTCCTAGCGGTGTATGTTGGTGCAGAGTCCCAGAAGAAGCGATTTGTAGTTCCTGTGTCCTACTTAAGTCAGCCTTCATTTCAAGATTTGCTGAGCATGGCTGAAGAGGAGTTTGGCTTTGATCATCCAATGGGTGGCTTGACAATCCCCTGCAGTGAAGAGACATTTACTCATGTCGCCTCTTGCTTGAGCAGATCATAAGAAGAGAGTTGTTCAATGACAATTTTGAATAGAAATTAGGTAGGATAGGAGTAATTGCAACATGTAGATATAAGCATTTGCTCAGGGCTAACCCAGTGCATGATACCAATAGAGGGAAGCAAGAGACCTAGAGAATAAACCAGGGTAACATATTACCAGCAACAAGAAACTCCATTGCATGGAACACGTCATGATATTTTCTTTCAAGATTTGGTGATAGCACACTTCTTGGTGACCCACTCGCATAAATACTACCATTAACTTGAAACTCGGAATGAATTCTACACGGAGATGTTAATGTAATATGTTTTCACCTTTAGCCATTCCTTCTCTGCTACGCTGGATGCCACAACCGCCAGGTCTTGCCTCATGTTCCATCCGCCTTCTAAGAACTGAAATCACTTCAAAACAAAACTTCATTACATGCATCTAACCTTGTCGCTTACAGTTATGGACAACTAGATGAACCATAACAACTTCATTATTAATAATATGAAAGTCCTATATCAAGTGTTCTATTCTGATCGTTCACCGGCCTATCCATCAAACTGAAGGACATGCATTCAGTCCCTACAATTTGTGATCTGATTGGAAGACAGGCTCATGTGACAGCTCAACCTTCATTTTCTTATATGTAAATCCTATTATTAAGGATGAGTGATCATCCAGTAGCCTACCCCTCAAACTTGTAGGGTACGCACCATCTCAGGCCCTAAAAATTGTTCCCACAGGAAGACAAGGCCATGTGACGACTCATGAGCTATTGCCCAACTGGGTTTCAGGCCTACTCTCCAAACTGCGGAGGATAAGCAAGAACCCCTCTATCTATATATAGATCATCATGAACAAACTTCGGAACCAACAGAAAAACAAGTTCTCAGTTTCTTATCTTAAAAAATCCTTTCAATTCAACACCAAATTTAGTTAAAAGAATAACATCATGGCCATTGGCTTACCAGGAAATCTTGCTAAGCAAATTCTTCGTCGGTCAGGATCTGGTTCAAACAAAGTGACTTCAAGGTTTCCAGATGTGCCTAAAGGTTTCCTAGCAGTGTATGTTGGGGAGACACAGAAGAAGCGGTTTATAGTTCCAGTATCCTACTTGAGCCAGCCTATGTTTCAGGATTTGTTGAGCATGGCTGAAGAGGAATTCGGTTTTGATCATCCAATGGGTGGCTTGACAATCCCCTGCAGTGAAGATACATTTACTTACGTTACCTCCAGCTTGAGCAGATCATAAGAGAGGAAATAAGGACAATTTTGTATAGGAATTTAGAAGTGCAGGGAGTAATTGCTCCATGTAGATGATATCTCTACTCTCTTTAAAGCTGATAAAGCATTATGAGACGAATGGCTGATTTTTTACCTGTGTATATGTTAAATAGAGAAGCTTTGATTTTCACATCATATGATCAGTTTCCTCCTTCTTCTCTCGTAATTAAAAAGAATCCCAGCATTGTCTAATAGTCAACATATATGCGCAAGGAAAATAATTATCAAAGATAGCTAGCATCCGAACTGAACTTCACAACCTTTATAACAGTTCCATGAATCAAAAACCTCTCCACACAATCATTGTTAGTTGTTACATCTCCTAAACGACTACACAGAAACAGTGGACAAAACTGCCGAGTTCAAGAGCGGACTCCAATCTATTCCATATAGGCAAACCACACTTATGTACTTCCACAAATCTATAAAATTTATCTTGCCATAAACTCCAAATTCAAATTTTATTCCGGTAATTTTACAAATGTACAATAGCTACCAATTATTATTTTACCTATTGTTATCATGAATAGTTTTGCTTATTTCTGAATGGTATAGTGATGTAGCCATTGCCACAGGCTTGGGCATATTCATGATGCAATCAAAGGGAAGAAGAGAACTAACGAATAAAAAATGCTATAAAGCAGGGTTTACTTGTACAAGACAAATCCGGTACTAACTCCCATAACTCATCACATTGTCACAGAAAGGAACTTGCTTCCATTTTTTTCATTTTAATGATATTACTTATGTGTTGTTGAAAAAAATGACCTGGAAACTTTATATTAGATACTCATACACATAGGTTTTACAAGATGAAAAGGGAAACATCATATGAAATTTGTGTATTTAGGTTTTACATGGGTTTTACTCCCATAGATCCTAAAATGCAGTGATCAGGTTCTAGATTACCTTACCCGTACCCCTTCGGCCAGATTGAAGAGAAATTCCCCTTCTACCAAAATCGATGCGGCAACCACCACACGTCTTAACTTCATCTTCCCTCTGGGTTGTTAGATACAGACATCAATCTATCAAAACTTGTCTGAAACATGTCTGCAACAGAAATGGACAACTAGCTTTACTATAACTTCATAATTAATATGTGAATGCCCTGTCCCAATGTATATGTGGTGATCCATTAGCATATTCATCATACTTGTAGGGCACGTACCCTCTTCTCTGTCCTTACAATTTGTTCCACCATTAGAAGACAATGCCATGTGATGCCTCACGAACTATGTCTCAACTGGGTTTTTAGGCCCAGGAACCAGATTGGGAAGGAAGAACACCACTATCTATATAAGGGTCCTTGTGAACTTGCTTCAGAACTATCACAAAACAAGAGTTCAAAGACTCATCTGAAACTGAAATCTTTCTCTTCTCTTCAGATTCCTAACACCACCTTCGTTCAACAAACAATCATCATGGCTATAGGCTTACCTGGAAATCTTGCTAAGCAGATTCTTCGTCGGTCAGGATCTGGCTCAAACAAATCAACTTCAAGATTCCCGGACGTGCCAAAAGGTTTCCTAGCAGTGTATGTTGGGGAAAGCCAGAGGAAGAGATTTGTAGTTCCAGTGTCCTACTTAAGTCAGCCTTCATTTCAGGATTTGTTAAGCATGGCTGCAGAGGAATTCGGCTTTGATCATCCGATGGGTGGCTTGACAATTCCCTGCAGCGAAGAGACGTTTACTGGTGTCACCTCTAGCTTGTGCAGATCATAAGAATATAGGATCTAAACATAATTTTGTAAAGTAATTCAGAAGTAGAGTTCTTGTTCCATGTAGATGGCTTTATACTGTCTTGAAACCTGACAAAGATTTATAAGATGAATGACTAAATGTTACCTGTATATATCGAAATGGAAATTCCTGATTTCACATCATACGATCCACTATCCTCTTGCTTCTGCTCCCAGACTCCAAAATTCCATTTGTTTCAGTCCACAATAACAAAATGAGGGTTTGTTGCTCCGCCGTGGTGTTTGAACAACTCTTCATATCATGCACAAGAAATTTTTATTTTAAATCAACCAACAGGCAAACTGACCATTCCCTGCTTGTATTTTTACATGTCTAATACATGTATTATGACAAAATCATGCAAAAACAGTGATCAAAATGTGACAAAGCCATAACGAATTGGTTACCAATACAGGGTTCGAGCAGTAAAAGTGGCTAATCCAGCACGATATCACTATCACTGCTTTAATTATAAGAGATCATGCATGATGGCCAAGAAAAGCACATTACATAAAGGAACTAAGTAGTAAGCACTATACCAATTCAGACAGTCCGCTATCAGATTTTTCATATCCTGTAATTCATGTTCCATTATTTTTATGATGATGTTGTTTGTTATTGTTATCATTATTCTTACTTCAATTTTTTTCTCCTATGAAATGTTTCTTGCTGGTACTGAGAAATTAGCAACGATGAAATGGACCATGTCAGATGAAAAACCCAAGAGTTATGCAGAAAGCACAAGAAGAAGTGCAACACTTGTTCCGTAGTCAAGGTGATGTTAATGAAGATGGACTTCACGAATTGAAGTACCTGGACTCAGTTATCGAAGAAAGCCTGAGAATGCACCCACCATTTCCTTTACTCCTTCCAAGAGAAGGCACAGTGAGGCTTCAAATTGATTACTATGATATTCCAGAGAAAGCTAGAACCACCATCAATGCTTCGACTATCGGAAGGGATCCTCGTCACAGGAAAGAACACGGAGAAATTCTACCCTGAAAGGTGTCTTCAGTCTACTACAAAGGGACTGATTTCAAGTTCAACCCACTCAATGCTGGAAGGAGAGTCCTGGACTGTCATTGGTGGTGGCTATTGTGAAACTTATGCTCCGTCATTTTCTCTACCATTTCGAATGGAAGATACATGCCAGATTGAAGCATGAAGATTTGGACATGGCAGAAATTTTGGGTGCCGCAGTAAGAAGAAAATCCACTTATCCTTGATTCCCGTTGCAAAGGTTCCTGCATGTATTGTATAGGTTAGGAGAACAGTACAAAATCTGGAGCTTAAGGATGAAAGGTGAATATTGGCTGCTTCAAGAAGATCACATGGCTCTTCTAATTCAACTATCAATCTAGGACTTGGAGTGGTTTATAGTTATTTATAATGCATGTATACTGACAGAAGATAGTGTCCCACCAAATTACAGAGGACAAATCATTTGCCAAGGCAACCCCTCAAGATTTAAGACATCAAGAAAAATGATGCACTCGCCGCTCACTGGAAATCATGTGCCTTTGTCCTTATGAGACCGAAGCTATGAGAGATAAAGAGCTTGATGAACTCCACAAACTAAAAGGACAGCCAATCTATAAGGACAACAAGGACTCACCGGAAATGAGAAAAAAGGAAGAAATTTTTCCCGACAGAACCTTGTGAAGGCTGGTGGTGCTGCCATTTACATTAAAAGCTGTAGGGCATGTACCCTCCTCTACCCTCTAGGTATCCACAATTTGCTAACAGGACCATGTGCTGCCTCATCAAAACTGTGTCTCATCTCTAAGTGGTCAAGCTCCAAATTATGGAGTAGGAAGAACCCTCCTAAATCCTATCTATATATAGGTCCTCATGACCTTGCTACAAAACCACCAAAGCAAGTATTAAAGTTTTCATCTAAAAAATCTTTCCCTACATTTCTCATTTTTGTTTTACACGAGATTATGGCTATCGGCTTACCTGGTAATCTTGCTGAGCAAATTCTTCGACGATCCGGATCAGGCTCAAACAAATCAACTTCAAGGTTTCAAGATGTGCCTAAAGGATTCCTAGCGGTGTATGTTGGTGCAGAGTCCCAGAAGAAGCGATTTGTAGTTCCTGTGTCCTACTTAAGTCAGCCTTCATTTCAAGATTTGCTGAGCATGGCTGAAGAGGAGTTTGGCTTTGATCATCCAATGGGTGGCTTGACAATCCCCTGCAGTGAAGAGACATTTACTCATGTCGCCTCTTGCTTGAGCAGATCATAAGAAGAGAGTTGTTCAATGACAATTTTGAATAGAAATTAGGTAGGATAGGAGTAATTGCAACATGTAGATGACTTTTGTCCTCACTTTCGTAGAGCTGATTTAGCTTTATGAGATGGATGACAGAAGTTTACCTGTGTATGTGTACTGAATAGAAAACCATTCATTCATCATCACATAATCAGTTTCCTCTTTCTTCTGCTCCTTTAGCTTATGAATGATCCACTTTTCTCTATCTTCTGCTCCCATACTACAAAAATCTTTTCATTTACTTCCATCCATAATAACAAATTGAAGGGTTCACAGTGGCTCCATGGTGGGATTTGAACAACCCTTCATATCCTGATTTGCCAGAAGAAATTGTTTCAATCAACCAACAGGCATAATGACCATTCCCCATGCAGTAAAAACATCCATTTCTTTACCTTCCATCTTGTGTATATCACAGAAGAATTCTGAAAAGCTGTTGAGTTTGGTCAATTGAAAAGCATTTTTTATGGCTTGAGCTAACAGTTAAATTTACATTAGACCTTGTCTAACTGACCATATATATGCAAGATAAAAGAATCATAGCTAGCATTGTCTATAGCTTAATAGCCATTGTTACTTTGCCTAATTGAACTACAAATAGAAACAGTGGAGGGGACTCCTAGTTCAACAACCCATTTCCAATGATTCCAGTTGTAGCTGCACTTACGTACTTCCTGAAATCCATTATTTTTATCTTCTCCGAAAGTTCATTATATGTCGTTATATTTCAGTAAAATTACCTTCATGAATACTTTTGCTTAATTCTTGATGGCATAGATATGAAGCCATTTATACACGAAGGCTAGGGTTGGGTTATCCAAAGAATATTTCCCTTAAATATACAACCAGTTTATAAACTTTACATTCATTTGAATCCTAAAATGCAATGTTGAAGTCATATAAATTTACCTTTACTCATTCTCCATCTGACTCGTTGCCAGAGGCCACAGCGACCACACGTCTTCATCTCCAAGTAGTTAGACATGAATTCTTTTAAAAAGGAAGCTCATGATATCAAACATGTCTGCAACATGTCTAGAACAGATATGGACAGCTAGCTTCACCATAATAACTTCATTATCGTTACATGAATGCCCTATCTCAATGTGTATGTGGTAATCAATTGGCCTGCCCATCAAACCTGTAGGGCACTTACCCTCCTCCCAGTCCCTACAATTTGTTCGACCGGTGGAAGACAAGGCCATGTGATGCTGAAAGAACTATGTACCAACTGGGATTTAGGTCTAGGATCCAAATTAAGGAGAGAAACAATACCCACTATGTCTATATAAGATCCATCTAAACTTGCTTCAGAACCAACACATTGGTGATCAAGATTCTCGTCTGAAATCACAATCTTAACACCACTTTCATCCAAAAAAACAAAAGCTATGGCTATTGGCTTACCAGGTACTCTTGCTAAGCAAATCCTGCGACGGTCAGGATCTGGCTCAAGCAAAGCAAGTTCAAGGTTTCTAGACGTGCCAAAAGGTTTCCTAGCAGTGTATGTCGGGGAGACCCAGAAGAAGCGATTTGTTGTTCCAGTGTCCTACTTAAGTCAGCCTTCATTCCAAGATTTATTGAGCATGGCTGAAGAAGAGTTTGGCTTTGATCATCCAATGGGTGGCTTGACACTTCCCTGCAGTGAAGACAGATTTACCCATGTCACCTCTTGCTTCAGCAGATCATAAGGGAGAAAGCGGTTCAACACAATTTTGTATATGAATTAGATAGCATGAGAGTAAATATTCAATGTAGATTACTTCCGTCCTGACTTATCCAGAGCAAATGAGATGGATGACATGAGTGTACATGGGTATAGCAATATATGTACTATTGAATAGAAAGGCAGTCATTTCTCATCGCACAATCTTCGTCTTCTTCCTACCTTTCAGCTTGAAGTCTGGTAATTAAGAGAGAAGTGTTGCTGATAAGCATATGGACCCTCTGTATAACATGTGAAGTATTAAGATTGCCGTCTATTGCTCCTGTATTAATCCATGAATGTAAGTTCTATATACTTAATCTGTAATGAGCATATTGAATTTTGCTCAGTTTTCCAGACAATTAAAATTTTATTGTTAAAACACGGGTAGGAGTCAAACATGGTGCCCAAAACCACAGAACAACACAGCCTACATCTTAACTCAACCATACATGACGTTTACCTCTGTTCAGTGAGCCAACAACTTTTAGTAGTGTAGCTAGACCTGATGAAGCACACATTACTAATATTCCATGAACCCATACGGACAATAGCATACTTGACTCGAGTCTAATTTTGGTCCTTCTCCAGAAACCAGGCTCAATCTGCTTTGAGGAAACTTTTCCTACATTAAAATGTGGTTACTTTCAGCTCCGGACACTTTTGCTTACTGTTTATTGGCATGGAAGTTTAAGAATTTGCTCATAGGTGAGCCAACTCATATGATACCAATAGAGGGAAGCAAGAGATCTGAAGGATAAACTTGACCAACAAATATCAGGAACAAGAAATCCATTGCATGGAACATATAATATTTTCAAGATTTTGAGATAACACAGTCCTGTTTGGGGGAAACTACATCACTAATGTTTGAACATATGCTTTATATTTAAGCTTTCACAAGCACAGCCAGACTTTCTTTTCTAGTTTGTCAGGTTAGACGTCAGTCTTAGATGAATGGAAAAAATATGACCAAGGGCAAGGACCATGTTGAATGCCAAAACACGGAACCCCCACAAGACGACTAGGGGTTTGGTGGACACTTTAGACCCTCCAATAGATAAAGCCCCAACTGAAGAGCGGACTCGGCTTCATAAATAAAATTACCATAAGCTTCAAATAGATCCTAAACAGATATGTTGGTGTCAAATGTCTTACCTTCATTCATTCCTTCTCCAGTACATTGGATGCCACAGCCACCAGTCCTCTGCCTGTTAGTCCTACCTTCTCATTAAAACAAAGTTCATTACATGTACCTTTGTCTCAAGCATGTCGCCTATGGATATGGACAACAAGCTTTATCATAACAACTTCATAATTGATTATATGGAAGTCCGACTTTCAAATGTTGTGATCGTCCACCAGCCTACCCCTGAACCTGTAGGGCAGGTAGCTGGCTTTCAGTTCTACAATTTGCTATATGATTTCAAGACAGGACCATGTGACTCGTTAAACTTCATTTCCTTATACGAACGTCCTGTTGTCAATGAATTATGCAATCGTCCATTAGCCTACCCCTCAAACTTGTAGGTTACTCACCTTCTCAATCCCCCAAACTTGTACCCATTGGAAGACAAGGCCATGTGACACCCCATGAACTATGTTTCAACAAGCATTTTAGGCCTAGGCGCCAAATTGTGGAGGAGAAGGAAGAAACCATCTATCTATATATAGATCCTCATGAATCAATGTCATAACCAACACAAAACAAGTCTCAATTTCTCTTCACTTCTTTTCTCCAACACCAACTTTGTTCAGAAAAGAAAAGGACATTATGGCCATTGGCTTACCGGGCAATCTTGCTAAGCAAATTCTGCGACGCTCAGGATCTGGCTCAAACAAAGCAACCTCACGGTTTTCAAATGTGCCTAAAGGTTTCCTAGCAGTGTATGTTGGGGAGACGCAGAAGAAGCGATTTGTAGTTCCTGTATCATATTTGAACCAGCCTGCATTTCAGGATTTGCTGACCATGGCTGAAGAAGAATTTGGCTTTGATCATCAGATGGGTGGCTTGACAATTCCCTGCAGTGAAGAGACATTTACTTATGTGACCTCCAGCTTGACTAGGTCATAGGAGGAGAACGATTAAACACAATTTTGTAGAGAACTTAGGATACGAGCTGCTCAATGTAGATGCATCTCTCCTCTAGTTTGTTAAGTTTTAAGGTTTTAGTAGATAACAGGGGAATTTTACCTGTACATACTAATACAAAGCTTTTCCTTTTACATTCCAGTGTCATATCTGTCAGCTTCCCTCTGCTACTAATACTCTGGTCTCTGGTAGCCTCTGGTACCTTGTGAAGTGCATCACGTCCATTCCAAATTTGCTTATCAGGCAAAACAAGCTTCAATCGTTCAATCCTTCATTCACAGGCATTCCTTAGCCATTCAAAAGCTGCCAGACCAAGTTTTTTCCAATTTCTTACTAGCTATTCTCATCCAGACGCACAATGTTAGCCATAACCACAATGCGCAAAGCACTAATAATACTTACCCACACAAATGGTCATAATGTCGTCTACCACATACCCAGTTATATATTATGATTCAAAACTACACAAAACTATTTAATTTGGTAATGAACCACAGAGAAAATAAGAAATTAAATCAAGAAATAAGCAAAAAAATCACAGAAAGGTATGAAAACAAGTCAAGATTAACCATAACGGTGAAGTAAAACTTTGTTATGCTAGATTTATTATTTGGTGGGAATATCATACTAACTGATTCCACAAAACATAAAATAAATCAGTAAGAAGTAAATCCTTTATATGGCCAATTTATTCACCTTCTCGCTAAGGGACAATTACCTTTTAAAAGTTAGGTTTGCATATTAAAACAACACAACCATATTCATAGAAGTTAGGTTTTCATAAGCTTGATATTCAAATGGATCTTGCTGTCTTTAGGTAGTATCAATTCCACTTCTACCTGGTTGGGTTCCAAAACCACCAAATGCCTTACTTCATCTACCATACGCTTTGCTAGAAACAAAACAAACCATTATATCTAACTTGTCTCAAGCGAGTCTGCAACAGAATGGACAGCTAGCTTCACCACAGCAACTCCATCATTGATATATTATCTCAATGTATAAGTAGTCATCCATTGGCCTACCCCGTCAGACTTGTAGGGCACGTACCCTCCTCTCAGTCCCTACAATTTGTTCCACCATCAGAAGGCAAGGCCATGTGACACCCACTCTATATTGTGGAGGAGAACAAAGCCCCATTCTATCTATATAAGGGTCCTCCTAGCCTTGATCCAGAACCAACTAAAAACAAGTGCTCAAGTTCACATCTGAAATCTTTCTATTCATCACTACAACATTCCGAAAGAAAAAGCATAATGGCTATTGGCTTACCCGGCAATCTAGCTAAGCAAATTCTCCGACGCTCAGGATCTGGCTCATATAAAGCAACTTCAAGGTTTCCAGACGTGCCGAAAGGTTTCCTAGCAGTGTATGTTGGGGAGAACCAGAAGAAGCGGTTTATAGTTCCTGTATCCTACTTGAGCCAGCCTTCATTTCAGGATTTGTTGAGCATGGCTGAAGAAGAGTTCGGCTTTGATCATCCAATGGGTGGTCTGACAATTCCCTGCAGTGAAGAGAAATTTACTCACATCACCTCTTGCTTGAGCAGATGACAAGAAGAGAGCAGTTAAATGAAAATTTTGTATAGGAATTAGGAAGGGTAAGAGTAATTGCTCAATGTAGATTATTTTTTTCCTTACTTTTCTGGAGCTGATAGCTTTGGGAAATGGATGACAGAAGTTTAACTGTACATGTACATTGAATAGAAAGCTATTTTTCATCTTGTAGTCAATATCCTCTATATTCTACTACTTCAGCTTATGAAGTTCCACTAACTTTAATAATTAAGAGAAAAGTATTGATGCATCAAGTATTGTATGTCAATTCCTCCTCTGCTTCTCTGTGAGAATCAGTTCCATACATCCAGACTCTGCTTAGTTATTCAATAACCTGAATTACTTTGAATTTTAGTAGACAAAGATGTTGAAGAAACCGTCCGAAACCGCAAATTAAACATCTAATTGTCCACGTAAATCAACTATGACAAAATCCAAGTTCTTCCTCAGCCTTCCTTAGCAACACTATGAATGAAGGTTAATACAAGAACTACAAATCTCTTCTTCTAGCTCTCTCCAACATACACTGCAAAGTATCCTTCGGTGACACTAGTTGTCGCCCTTCTTTCGGCAAGGGAACTTGAAAAGCCAAGAATCTGCCAATCATTCTTCACCTTAATAGCCTGAATTTCAGAAGCCTAGGTTTGCATTCCTCTTGAACTGTGGAAATCAACTACAAAATTTTCCGAGGTTTTATTTTGGTTTTTTGTTGAGAAGGTAAGCTGGGAAAGAGTGATTGAGAGACAAGGAAGGGTAGGGGTATGGGGCTTGCAGAGTATAATGGCAGCTGAAGAGTTAAATGGTTTTGCCATGTAATTCAGCCCAAATTTTAGAACTTGCAGTGGTTTACATTTATGGACACCTCGAGTCCCATAAGTTGTGGAAGGAAAAATCAGGCCAAGAACGCAACAGATTTCAGACATGTATGAGTAGATGGTCACTGTTCACTGGAAATCGTGTGCCTTTTTCCTTATGGCCCCAAGTTTTGAGGGCAGAAGCAGAAACCTAGGCCAAAAGGACAGCAAAGTCTGTAAGGTCGAGAAGGTCTCACCAGAAATAAAAAGAAATGGAAATTCCCCTGACAGAGCCTTGTGAATGGCATGTGAAGGCTGGTCATCCTACCTATTGTATTGAGCGCTCACCTCATTTTAGACAATCAAGTTGCTCCCTGCAAAGTTTATTACAATATAACAAGAGTGAAAACAGGGTATCTCCAGCTAAATCATTAAGCCTTTTGCTTGGCCAACATTGTTGGATGCCAATCGATTCAACCACAAAAGGAACTCAGGTTTGGTTATCCAAACAACACTACCCTCTAACTTCTTACCAACTTGTCTGAAGCATGTTTGCAACAGACATGGACAACTAGCTACACCATTACAACTTAATTATTGATAGTGTGGATGCATTATTTCCAGCGTTGATGTGATCGGCCTACCCCTCAACTGGTAGAACAGGACACAACCCTGCTTTCAATCCCCAAGATTTGGTATATCTCTGATATTGGATACTAAGTTTAGTATTTCTGATGTCAGAACCACCAGCTTTTCCATTTCTATGTTTGTCATAGATTAGAGGCAAAACATGACCGAGGACAAGGACCATGTTGGATGTCAAAAAACGGAACCCCACAAGAAAACTCTCCAACAGATAATGCCCAATCAAATAACATGACACTAAAGTGTACATTTCATGTGTTTTACCTCTATTCATTCCCTCTCTGCTGCCTTGGATGCCACAACCACCACCAGTCTTAGTCATCCACCTTCTGCCTTGTTGGACCTGCATTTTAAAACGAAACCTCATTAGATGCTAAACTTTGTCTCAGGCATGTCGCGTATCTATATGGTCTATCTTGCTTTCCCGTAACAACTTAAATATTGACAATAGGGGAGTCATATTTCCAATGTTAACTACCACTGGCCTACCCTCAACCTGTAGGGCACGTACCCTGCTTGCATTCCAACAATTTGCCAATATGATGATCTAAAGACAGGGGCATGTTACGGTTCAAGCTTCATTTGCTTATATGGATGCGCAATTTTCAATGAATGTGTGATCATCCGTGGGCCTAGCCCTTACATTGTAGGGCATGTGTAGGCCTTACAATTTGTTCCCATTGGAAGACAAGTCCATGTGAAGCCTCGTGAACTATGTCTCAACTGGGTTTTAGGCCTTAGCTTCAAATTGTGGAGGAGAAGAAAGAACCCTCTATCTATAATATATATGAGTCCTCATGAGCTAGCTTCAGAACCAACACAAATCGAGCTCTCATTTTCTCATCCTAATCACTCTCATTATTTCTCCAATATCAATTTTGTTTGAGAAAAAGCCATGGCTATCGGCTTACCAGGCAACCTTGCTAAGCAAATTCTTCGTCGGTCAGGATCTGGCTCAAACAAAGCATCATCAAGGTTTCCAGATGTGCCTAAAGGTTTCCTAGCGGTGTATGTTGGGGAGACCCAGAAGAAGCGACTTGTAGTTCCTGTTTCTTATTTGAGCCAGCCTTCATTTCAAGATTTATTAAGCATGGCAGAAGATGAATTTGGGTTCGATCATCCAATGGGTGGCTTGACAATTCCCTGCAGTGAAGAAACATTTACTCATGTGACCTCCAGATTGAGCAGATCATAAGAGTAGAGCAATTAAATACAATTTTGTAGAGAAATTAAGATAGGAGTTGTTGCCCAATGCAGGTGCATCCCTCGCATATTTGTTAAGCTTACAAGGCTTAGCTGATTACCTGTACATGATGAATAAAAGCCTTTCCTTCTACATTACACTGTCAGATTCCCTTCATTCGGCTTCCTCATACTGAAACAATCCATTCTTTGTACCCTCTGTATATCTTATGATGCATCGTCATGTACATTCTACCTTCGCTTGTCCTCAGAAACAAGGTTCAGTCGTTGAGTCTTTAATCACAGCATTCCCTTGCAATAAGAAAGCCAAACTTACGCTAATAAATATATACTTACAAATCAGCTAGACCAAGCTTCTCGAAATTTTAAAAATATTCTTACCGGATGCAGAATGTTAGCCGAAACCACAATGTGTAAAGTAATTAATTAAAGTACATAAAAGCAGTGATTTTCGTCCAATGAAACTAAACAAATCAGACTGATGTCCAATTGTTGACAAGTGTGCTAGAACAAAGTAGACGCTGTATCTCTAGTACACAACCTTTAGGTAGGTTTTGGAACCAGTAGATTTCTCTTTATAGCAAGATTTCTTCACCAACTGAACTGCACATAAACAGTTTTTGGAAAGTCCAACTTCAAAAAGACAAAAACCTTCAGGTTTATTCCACACATAGGTAAATGTAATAATGTACCTCTTCGACAATTTTAAGACTTCCCTTGAATCCATGTTCCTTTACTGTATTTTAGTATACTTTGAAAACATAGCACAGGAATGTAACCAATCATGCAGGACTGAACCAATTTTAACTATATCAGAGAGAAGCAAGATACAGAATATGTCAGTATATGTTTGTTAAAAGAAATTGAGATTAACATTTGGATGAAGTGAATTTACATCCCTGATGCTACCTAGGATCAGAGGAAGTCCTAGGTGCTTTGAACAACATGATTGAGGACCATGTTGGATGCCGGTAAATGGAACTACAGAAGAAGAATCAAGTTTAGTTATGCATTGGATAATGCCCCACCAAAGCAGATACCCTTCTTTATACTTTTAAGTTACCCTAGAAAAACACTCACATCGACCCTAAAACTGAAATCTTGAAGACAAACATTTTCTTTTATGTGTCCGTTCTCTGTTACGTTAGTTGCAATAACAATCACGTGTCGTACTTTCTCCACCCTCTGCATTGTTAAATCTGCATTTCCCTATAAAACAGAGCACCATAATATGTATGCAGCTTGTCTGAAACATGTAGCGAACAGATATGGAAAATTAGCTGTATCGAAATAGCTTCATTATTGATATATGGAAATCTTCCTTTTTTTGGTGGTTCCTCCCCCCCTCTCTCTCTCTCTCTCTCTTCTGAAGTGGTCCTATTTCCAAAGTTAAGTCATCGTCCATAGGCCTACCCCTCAACCTGTAGGGCACGTACCCTCTCTCAGTCCCTACAATTTCTTTCATCAATAGAAGACAGGACCATGTGATGCCTCATCAACTATGTCTTATCTGAGCCTTAGGACCACGCTTCAAATTTGTGGAGTAGGAAGGAGCCTCCTATCTATATATGCGTCCCTCAGAACTCAGCCCGAAACCAACAGCTCAAGTTTTCAGCTGACATATATCTCTACATTTCTGAGCAATTTCATATAAAAAAACACAGAGATCATGGCTGTTGGCTTACCTGGTAATCTTGCTAAGCAAATTCTTCGCCGTTCAGAATCTGGCTCAAACAGATCAACTTCAAGGTTTACAAATGTGCCTAAAGGTTTCTTAGCGGTGTACGTTGGGGAGAACCAGAAGAAGCGATTTATAGTTCCTGTAGCCTACTTGAGCCAGCCTTCATTTCAGGATTTGCTGAGCATGGCGGAAGAGGAGTTTGGCTTTGATCATCCAATGGGTGGCTTGACAATCCCCTGCAGTGAAGAGAGATTTAGTTATGTCGTCTCCGTCCTCAGCAGATAATAAGGACAGAGCAACAAAAAATAGTTTTGTATAGAGATTCAGAACGACAAGAGTCGTTGCTTAATGTAAATGACATTCTTTCTCTCCTTCAAGCTGATGAAGCTTTAAAGATTGATTGAGAAAGTTTTACCTGTATATAGTGAATCGAGAGCCTTTTTAGTTCAAATCATACAATCACTTTCCATTTTTTCCTGCTTTATTACACTATCCAACTCTTCTCGAGTAATTAACAAAAAGTGTTGCTGATAAGCATGAGCATCCATATAAGTAAAGAAGTACTATACTGTCAATTCCTGCTCTGTGTATCCACCAAAACAAGCTTCAGTTGTTTCAATCCGTAGTCAACAGCTACCTTCCTAGCTGTTCACAGCACAGGCTTACAGTTCTATAATTTAAGAAAGGGTAAAAAAGAAAACAAATAGACTTTCTGCAACTTTTGATCGGCTATAGTAACCTAAATCCGCATTTTAATATATTTACTTCAGTTACTGCAGTAGCAGCCCAACAGGTTGAAATGACACAGTTGATTGTATATTTAACTAGAGATCTGAAGGTTGAGTGGTTGACAATGTTCATCTTTACCTCAAAGGAAGTACAGCAGCAATGGTTCATAAATCATAACCCTCTGATTAGATGACCACCCAGAAAAATCAGTTAAACGAAAGTTTTTGAGTGGTTTGATTGATAATGATGCATGTGTCCATAAATGATTGGAATGGTAGGAGTCTAGGAAATGTGGTTGAGAGGTGAAAGGGCTAGGAGTGGGGCTTGCTGAGTATAATGACAGTTGCCGGATCACATGGTTATGCATCCAATTCAACTCAGAATCAAGAGTTTGACAGTGTTTTCCAATTTGTTCTGCACTTTACCAGGATACATAGCGTGCCGCAAACTCATGGATTAAGGAAGGAAAATCAAGACAAGGACCCCACACAAGATTTTAGACGTCGACAAGTACATGGTTCCCTTTCCTGATACTCATGTGCATTTGTCCTTAGAGACAAAAAATTTTAGGGTAACTTCAGCACTCCAAACACTGGCGCTGACCGTGATGAACTTACAAACTTAAGAACAAAGCAAAATTCATATTAAGAAGAAGAAGAAAACACAGCAATAAATAAAGAGAAGGACTCACCAGAAAGGAAAAGCAAAGGGGAACATTTCCCCCGACAGAGAATTGTGAATTCTATATGAGAAGGCCGGTGGTGCTGCCATCTGCATTTGGAGCTCAGCTAACTTTAGATGTTTCCTGAAAACTTTGTTTCTAGGAAATAAGAGATAGGAATTAATATTTTATTTGGCGGACAATGTGATCAAAATTATGGTCATGCTGCTTCAGCAAGTTCTTTTCTTTATCCATGCTATAAGATTTCAAACTGTTGGTGCATTGATTGTCTCCAGCAATGGGCCATTTGTGTTGCTAGTCCATTGACGACTACATAGACCACCAACTATCCATCTCTCTTGCCTTTATCACGATTCATTGACTTCGGTTTGTTTGCAGCTCCAACCTACTGTCGCCCAATCTTCATACATTAGCCAGCACAGAAACGTTTTCAAGCCTATAATTTCTTAATTAGGTGGAAGACAGAAGGGACCATCACCTTCATTAACAGTGTTTCCGGCTGGAATTCCAGGCCACACACTCACCATGGTAAAGGATATCAAAGCATACCATTCAAACTATATAAAGAGAGAAGCTATTGATAGTTCACAACCCAACCAAGCCTCACAATTGTTATTGAATACTTCCCAAAAAGAAAAATTCCCACATACAGCTCAACTAGAGAAGAAAATGGCTATTCTCTGTCCAAGTGTCCTTCCCAGGCCAAGTCCCCGTAGATGTTCTTCAATATCCTCAGATGTTCCTAAAGGATTTGTGGCAGTATATGTTGGGGAGGGTGGCAAAAGGAAGAGATTTGTCATTCCAGTATCCTTCTTGAACAGCCCATCATTCCAAGTTTTGCTGCGGTTAGCAGAAGAAGAATTTGGTTTCAACCATCCCATGGGGAGACTGACGATTCCATGTAAAGAAGAGATGTTCATTTCTGTAACTTCCAGCTTGTGTAGATCATAAGAGATTTCCAGAAGGCTGATGAGTTTAGTTAGATGACAACTTTTTTTATGGCCTCAACAGCCATTTCAATGTAACAGCTTGAATTTCAGATTCTAGATTAATGAGAACTAGCAATGACTCTTCATCAAAGAAACCAGACTTTCTTCTAACTGCCCACATGTGCAAGAACATAGCTAAATAGTAGCATCTCAACTATATCTAAACACCTTCAGCACTGTATTGTGAACCAAGAGCATTATCTTTATAGCCAGTGTTTCTCCACCTAATGAACTAAACAAATCAACAGCGGATGAAAGTTGGGTTTCAGAAACCAATTCAAGTTACTCTATAAATGATAACCACAATTATGCAGCTCTTCAACTTTCATTTTTTGTCCTAGACAACATGAATCTCCACCAAAGCAAAAACATACTCTGGCATATAATTATGCTGCACGCTTTATTATTATATTTTGGTTATTACCAGCATAAAATTACACTACTCTGTTTTACTAATTATAAACTACAAGGCGTCTGAATGTGGTCATTTCCTCACTTTTGATCCAACTTATGATACCATTATGGAGAAACAAGAGATCTGAAGAACAGCCCCACTAAAATGTATTATTAACAAGCAAAAACCTTTGTATGGAAAATGCTGAATATGTGGTTCTTTTTTATAGTTCAGGACAACACACCACCTAGCTGAGGGAAAACTATGTCTCTGATGTTTAGATGAGATTCAAGGTTTATTTGTGCTCTCCTAGCCAGAACCAAATCCAGCTTTTTCTCTGTTTTAGGATTATAGGGAAGCTTACTTGGACCCAAGGACCCTGCTCGATGGCAATAAACAGAACCCCACAAGCAGCATCGTTTTGGTTGTTCGTCGAGGTGATTTGAAAGCCCCAATAGATAATGCTAAACCACAACAAAAAAACAACATTTCTCTTTATGATATGTCACCATACTATAAGTTATGCCCACGAGCTGATCTCCTTGCTCGTGCAGGCTCTGATCTCTCTCCCCTAGATGTTCACGATCTCCGCTTGCGGCATTGATTTTGTAGTTTTTGGTAACATTATTGGGTTTTTTAGCCCCAAGAGTAGCCCATGAGTAACTAATGACATTTTGTGTCCACCTTTCCGCGCAACCAAAAAAACAGTTCCCTAAACTTCATGTTCAGATGGATTCTAAAATGCAATGTTCAAGTCAAATATTTCGCCTTTATTGATTCTGTTTCTGCCACTAGATGCCACATCTACCAGATCCTAACTTCATCTTCCTTCTACCTTGAGACCCACTTTCTCTTATAAGCTGTACTTCTATCTAACTTGTCTCAAGCATGTCGCCAATAGATGTGGACAAATTGATTTACCTAGCAACCTCATTATCAATATATGGATGTCTAATTTCCAACGGTTATGCCATCATCCATTGGCCTACTCATCTACCAGTAGGGCACGTACCCTCCTCTCCGACCCTACAATTTGTTCCATCATTGGAAGACAGGATCATGTGACACCTCATGAAATATGTTTGAACCAGGTTTTGGGTCAGGGCCCCAAATTGGAGAAGAAAAGGAAGCAAGAATCTGTCTATTATATTGGTCCTTATGAACTTCGGCACAGAATCAACACAAATTAAGTACTAAAGTTCTAATTGTACATCTTTCTCTTCATTTCTTTGATATCAGTTTCTTGAGCAAAGAAAGATAATGGCTATTGGCTTACCTGATAATCTTGCTAGGCAAATTCTCCGATGATCAGGTTCTGGCTCAAACAAATCAAGATCTACGCTTCAAGATGTGCCAAAAGGAAACCTCGCGGTATATGTTGGGAAGGCCCAGAAGAAACGGTTTCTAGTTCATGTTTCCTACTTAAGCCAGCATTCATTTCAGGATTTGCTGAGCATGGCTGAAACACCTAAGATCTAATTACTGACTCTCAATAAAGTTAAGCTGTATGCGGTGATAGCTGGTATATATAATAAATACTACTAATTAATATTGCGTACCTGATTAAGTGCTGTGTTCAGTCCCAACAACAAGCTTAGGAGGAAAGGAATAATGTCCTTGGGGAATTGACACTACTGTACTGTAAACAGTGAGCAGCAAAATCCAAAGAGTCAGCCACTGGGAAGACAAGAACCCTCGCCCTTGCTAAGATCAGTCTTATGAACAGCAGGCTTGTGATGAGAGCAACCGTAGTACCACTACTATAAGCCCCGCAAGAGCTGCCACTTGAAGGATTGCCTCACAGATATTGCTGCTTTGCAATATGTGTGGTTTTGCAGGCTTCGCCATTTAGATTTGCTCGACTCCAGACACCTACACTCACATGAGGAGAATAAAGCGTAAACATAATTCACGATGATAAGTTCTATTCTTAACAGTTACAGATTTTATAGCTTTTCAAAAGACCCAGTTGCTTGAGGAAAAAGTTATCAAAGACGAATATATAAACCGATGGGATGCATTAATATTTACAGAATTAAAAAAGTAAAATATAAACGAAAGAATTAACAGTTACAGATTTTATTGCTTTTCAAAAGACCCACTTGCTTGAGGAAAAAGTTATCAAAGACGAATATATAAACTAATGGGATGCATTAATATTTACAGAATTAAAAAAGTAAAATATAAACGAAAGAATTTGGTAGACTAGTTGCAGGGATTGTCTTTACTGAAAAACATGTACCTTAACACAGGGAAGCGAAATGTGAAAATTCAGATATTTTCTAGGTGATCCTCAGAAAGCATCATCCAGATTAGCAGAAAGAGACCCTGTCTCTGAGCTCCAAACCTGAAATTATTGAGAATATCCAGGTATGTCTCCTTAAGGATTGTCATTATAACCATTGTTTGACCAACCCGTACAACCCAAACAGTTCATGAAATGAATCAAATGATAAGGAACTTGCAGAATTACCTTAAGGTGGAATTTAAAGCTAGAACTGGCTACTTTAGGACTTTTAGATCTCCTTATGGACACATGCTCTGTTACTGAAGATCTTTCAGCGTGTTCTTTGACATAAGATGCCTATCAACCACATGACTCCAGAAGAGACCTAAGATCTTGTCATCGCCAGCAAAAGAAGCACTGAAGCTCCGATACAGTTTTAGAGTAATCATCAGCCTTTTCTTGTACATTTCATCCAACAGATCTGAAGCAACGCTCACGTTACCTGATTTCCATTGTGCATACGCTAAACTGGTATATATCACACTATCCCCTGATATGCCTTTCTCTTTCATAAGACCAAATATTTTCTTAGCACAATCAACTTTCTCTCTTTTACAAAACCTCCTTATTAGTGCCCTGTACAGCGAAACATCGACACACAGACCTTTATTCACAAATTCATCAGGGAGTTTGATAATCTCCTCTTCCTTCTGGTGATCACAATGAACATCTACAAACCATGAATAGGTGCAGTAGCTAGGAGGAAAGCCAGCACTAAGCATGCTGAATAAGTACTCTTTAGCGCATTTCATATCTCGTGCCTTGCAGAACCCATGGATCAATGCCTTGTATGTAAACTGGTCAAGCTTCAAACCTGCTCCAATCATCTTATCTTTCACCTTCAAAGCTGATGCCATATCTCCTATTTTACAGTACGCATTGATTAAGGTGTTGCATGTAACATTATCTGGTTCGACATTTCTTTCGCCCATCTCAATCAAGAGTTTATTTGCATCCCTTATCCTGCCTCCCTCACACAACTTGCGGAGAATTGAATTATAAGTGACAACTGTGGGATAGAGCCCTTTATCAGCCATGGAATCTCGCAAACTCAAGGCAGACTCAAGGTCATTCAGCCTACAGTATCCATCAATTACAGTAGTATAAGTCACATTGTTGGGGACTGCATCTTTAATTTCCTTCAAAAGCCTCATAGCCTCCCTCATTCTACCTTCTCTACTGTATGCATAGATCAGAGAATTATAAGTAACAATATCAGGAGCAATCCCAGCCCTTTCCATCCTATCTTGAACGGACAAAGCTTCATAGTGCATCCCCTTTTTACAATACAAGGAAATAAGGGTATTGAAAGTGAAAAGATCAGGTAAAACACCATCCAACTCCATTTCAGTCAACAACTTCTCTGCCTTCTCCGCATCCCCAGACTTGCAACAAGCATGAATCAACACATTGAAAACATGGACATTGGCGACTACACCAACTTTAACCATTTTCTTATAGAGTTTCCACACCATATCAGTTAACTTATCCTTAACCAAAGCATTCAACAACACGGTGCAGGCATGCAAATGCAGCCTGAAGCCACTGGCCCTCATGTGCTCGAAAACCTGCACTGCCTCATGGGCCATCCTGGAATTACCATACACTATCACAAGCCAGCTCAAAACGTGGGAATTCACATCCGGGTCATCATGAGTCCTCACCAAAGCAGTTAACACGGAAGGGCTCGACAAGAAATCCTTGTGAGCTATTTTCTCGAGCAGGTGGTGTGCAGTCTTGAAGTGTTTGTACTTGGTTAATATGTGTATCATAGTCCATGAGGATTGTACGGGGTGCTTATAGTTCGGAATGGACGACTCAATCCACCGAAACAACTCCCACGCAAGACAGGGACTGTAGCTATACGCAGAGAGTTGCAGGAGTACCTCTCGGAGCCTAATTGCAGTGAGATTCGTGTCAATCTTCGGTTTCAGGAGATTGCCCCAGCATCCCTTTACCACCACCCCACAGATGCTATGAACCAACCGTAATTCACTGCTCGGAGGAACAAAAGTTGCCATTGTTTTCGAAGGCTGGTCGGAGGAGCTGCCGTGGAACTCCAAGCCGGCGCCACTTCGGTGGAATAAGACAGTTTACCTTCGGAATGTGCTACGCCTTGCTCCGATCTTCTTGTGCCGTGCCTTTCTCCCGTAGCAAATCGGCCGGGAAGACATAATTAACTGGATCGCGTTCCGTATAATATGGTTGGACTTTTAGTTCTCTCGACCGGCTAAGATGATACCCAAGCCCAACTAATTTGAGGTCTGCATTCCGGGCTCGAAGAAGGAAGACCGGTACCGTCTTCTACTCTTGTTTTTAGTTTTTTTTATAAGATGATCACTTGACCAACTATTTTTTACGATGATTTGTGGTAAGAAATTAATAAAGGTAACCATCAAAAATAATAATAATAATAATAATAATAAACGTCTTGGAAATAAATAAATAAATAAATAAATAAAAGTCATAAAGGACTACATTAGAAAAGAAATTTTGTGTCAATATACCAAAAAGAATAAATTAGGAACTTCCTACCAAATCAAGACTATAAATCAAGGTTGAAATCAGGTCTAACTTGAGATAACATGAACAGTATTTTTGAAATCATGATAATAGCTAAATATGTAGCATATGTTTCATGGAGGACTCAGACGAAGAACTTGAACGTGCTAAATAATAGAACCACCAAATGTTTCATATTTATATGGAAACTAGAGACACATCACTATCGTCACAGCATTATCCTCAATGATTGCACCTTAAAATCAAATTGATATGGACAACAAATTTCATTGTGCAACAATAGAAGTTCAATAAGAAAACGGTCATAGATGCTACCAAAATATAGCCAAGAGGCCAGACAATTTCTTGTTAGATCAGGCTTGCTTGTTTTTTGACAAGTTCTATCTTAATTCTCCCTAGTGTCTTTACTCATATTCCTCTATTGCAACTTCTCTTAAATCATTCTTCTGTGTTTTGTCTCTCAAAACTATCTTCCTTTTTATTTGAATCACAAATCCGCCCACATAAACCTTTCTCAACTTTCAAGTTTAACCACCTAATCTGCACCCAAGGAGCACTAGTATTGAATAGTATAGAATGGACAACTCCATGTAACCAAGCCCAGAAGTTTGAATTTCGTCCATGTTTGTGTATTCCAACTCATGTTGTACAATGAGGCGAGAGAAGTCGTTCTCTTATTTTTCCTTTCTCAGTTTGAACTCATCAAACTGAGGAACTATTCACATCCACCAAGGGCAAAAGGCACCATAACTTGGCATTTCTGGTACTGGACAAGAACTCGGCTGCCAGACTGCGCCTATCCAATTCCAGCAGGAGCAAAACCGAAAGAAAGGGGGTGAAAGAATGAGATGCAGAAGAAATTGAATACAAGCATTAGGTGGCCATACAATCTACATTGCTCCTCTCATAACCAGTAGTACAATACTCGTATACAATATAATGACAAGTGTGGTCAGTTTTTTCACATTACTCACATATCGATATCCCTGAGCAAATCAGATTAGAAATTGGCTGTTGCTTCCTTGATTTCGTCCAAGGTGATCACCTGCACGACGAGCAAAAACCAGCATGTAGGGTAAACCATCCACAGTTGTGAAGTCATGCTCATGCTTATCATCAAGTGTCGATGAGCCTGCTTTACAAGAAAGGAGGGCCAAGGTTTAAAGAAAGGGATCTGGAATTACCTGATCCTTGCCGGCAAAATCATTATCTGGGGTGAGAAAAAGCATGCAATGGCACTCCTTCCTGCAATAGCCATCTTACAGTTAAAGCACAGAAGGGAGTATCACCATAAACTTAATAAGACACTAGGTGAATATTATTTGGTTTTTATTCCTTCGTAAAGAATGCTCTGTTCTTGGGCTCAGGAGGCGCAACTGGTTTCGCTGATTAGCAACTTCACTAGCTAGCAATCACATAGCTGTCTTCTCCCCGAAAGACAGAAATCACAGGCTTCCATAAATGGCATATTTCTTCACTAGTCTACAGATAATGTGTGATTCTTTCAATAGTAGAAACTGTGCAAGAATATGGGACAAAACAGAAATTTGATGACAAGTCTCAGGTGGCTTCGGATTGCGTAAGCAGATAAACATTTTGCTTTTTATACTAGCATATCACTTACATTCTCTGGTAAAACAAGTCGATCTTTACCTAAAGCCAAACAAAGAAAACTCCAGCATAGGAAACTAGCATTCTCAATCACGAAGACTTTATAGGGCTGTCCTAAACTCATATGCAGTGCACAAAAAGCAAAATCAACTGAAAACCACTTGTCAAGATCAAATCAAGATAATGACTACTCTTCATCCCACATTACAATCTTTCATACCCTAATCAGCTTCAGTCTGAACCTTCAGCAAATTCACAACTCATTATCCTGTTTTAATGAATCTTCACCCACTTCTCAAGATCTGCCACAGCAACACTAGGTTTCTTAGTTTCCCAACCGAACTTTCTTACACATTTACAGCTTTGAAGCCATTCTGAACATATTTATTACTTTTAATTAACAAGCGGAAGGGCTTGAACAAGAGCAAGAAATGAGAAGCAATGTCTTTGCGGTCTAAATCTCTCCTCTAATTTTATCAACCACTGATCTTATAGCTGTCACTATCGCCGCGTGCACGCAAACAGATAATGAATGAGTCTTCCTTCACCATCGGCTCTTCCAAGTACAGAATCATTAAATTGTAATGTCACATATACAACATTCCCCTTCCCTTCATTAGCAATGAGACAGGAAACTAACAATATGTTAGGCAGAATCCATGTGCCACCTCACATGAAATAAGCCACCCTCTTCCAGTACTTGAATTTGATTCTAGCATAGTGGTAACTCAGCATTTCAAGACAGTTCTCTCCTCAGTCCATACAAGGAAAGAATTCTGTCATGAAGTTGAATCAGGTTCCAGAACCTAACACCTCATTTAACTAGAAGTTCCAGGAAAAAAAAAATCCTCAACCAAAATGAATAAACTTCTCATGACCTAAAACTTCCCCGGTTCATCAAGAATCTTGGGAAAAGCGAGGTTATGCATTAAGAACTTGACCAGAAAGCCTACCTCTCTCTCATGGGGACACAAGGACAGTTCCAAAATCCCTGCCCTGCTTCTGCAGCTTTGTCATCATAATGCCTACAAACCATGGATTCAAAACATCAGAACATAGTAATACAAAGACTTCCCTCCACTTAATCCCCATCAAATTGACATCACCCCCATATTCGTACACACTGAACAATATTTACCTACAAGGGCACAAAGGCGCACCCAATGAATCTTTATGCTCCGCCAATCCCTGCCAAAATTCCAAGAGCAATTCCACATTCATTCCCCCATTCACAACAACAGCTCCAAAATATCTCACGAATTCGGCGAATCCCATAGTCAACAATCAAATTCAATCAGCTTTCTTTTCTCTTGGTACTTTCGATTAAGATAAAAACCTTAACCGCCGGCAGCGAAGAATCGGAATGAAGAAATTACCTTAATCACAACGGCAGTGACTCCCTTATCCACGCAGAAGTAAGTCCCCGACCTACGGGCGTACTGCTCCGAGAACTTCCTCATTATCTCGACCGACTTATCAGCGGGATCCACAGCTAAACCAGCAAAGCAAGCTCAGTGCAAATGCAAGAAGGAAATGCGGGTATACGCAGGAGAATTCAGTAAAATAACCTTCGGCGCGAACTACGGTGGTGCGGGCATGGTGGCGATGACGACGGGGAGCTGTTGTAGGCGGAGAGGCGAAGGAAGAAACGCCGGCGAAGCTGCAAGAAGCGGCTTGAAGAGCCATGGCGGAAGAGTTTCGCAGCTCAGCACAAAATGGAGTGACCTCAAATCTCGGAGAGACAGTAGCAGCAGGCGCTTGTTCTGGTTACTTATTTTTGCTTTTCATTTTCCTTTTTCCTTATATGTGAATTTTTCACTGTGTCGCTATTTGATTCGATCAAGCATACGATTATTGTTTTTCAATGTTGAATATGAATTTATTTTTGTGATATTTATGCTTGGAGTTCTTGATATTGACAACAGAGGGCGTCACCACCACTCGTTGTTGGGAAATATCAAGCAGCGAGCGAGTCCAGCCCGTTTATACAGATTTGGGCCTAGCAATATAGTGGGTGAATAGCCCAAATTGCAGCAAACCAACCCTACTATACCCGACCCTCATTCCCTTCTTCTTTATAACTACGGATTGAAAATTGATCCATGCGATTACTCGTAACAATTTATTAGTTTCTAATGATAATGTCCTGGTAATATAAAAAAGAGTTCAATGGTTGAAATCGCTTGTTTGGTAGGTCAAGTTTAAGTTAAAGATAGCATATACATGTGTCTCGTAGATCCTTTTAAGTTATGAAATGATTTGTGGATATATATCCACCAACAATCATGTTATTAATCCGCGGTTAGAGTAACGGGATCAATGAACATCAAAATGACAATCAAACTAGAATTCCAAATATTGGTCTAGTACTAATATATGACTAATAACATCTATTATGCCATAAGTTATTTGTACAAGATTGGTGCAAAAAATGATTACGAAGATCGATACGGACTCGATTGTCAAGTAAGTTGGTGGCATGCATCGATGCATGGTGGCGTGCATCAGCGATAAGATATTTTATGTTAAAACCGTGGTTTAACCATGGTTCAACCGCTAAATACTGCCTACCAGCTTAGACTCCGATAAGAAGTTTTGCTGGTTGAACCGTCGGTACAGTATTTTAATCATTAGTTTGAAGTCTAACATTACCAAATTAAAATTGTGGGGATTTGTCACTTGGATATAGTACTGCATGCTGGCAATGAAGCATGGCCGGCGAAGGCCAGGCTACCAGAAATTAATTTCCTCACAAGCGTACGTATATATACATGCAATTAGGGCATTTGCGTACCTATCTAGGTAATTAGAGGAAAGACAACAGCATAAATGGGCACTTACGTCTTCCTTGTCTTGACAATTAATTGAAGGAAACCCGCCTTTATTTGGCTGGGGTAAGGCCAAAGATTATTATTATGATATAATTAGGGTAACTAAGGTAATCTGATCTCTGATCTTGACTCGAGAAGATTAAAATGAAATCCAGCAGAAGTACTAATATCCAAAACCCTAATCTGGGCATGCATATAATTAATATACAAAGATTAATCAGTTAATTCTGAGGGCTTATTTTCTCTGGAGATGGATGAAGTTGCAGATCTGCCCTGGAAAAAAACAGCAACTTAACTACTAGCTACGGTTCTGTATATAATGATTGTATTCATTCATAGTGAAAGAGATGGATCATGAACAGATCTAGCTAGTACGAGAGAGAAAGAAGAGACCCAGATTTGAGTACCCCCAAAACAACAGCTAGAACATGAATTAATGCGAAGAAAGAAAGGGACAGAAACTGAAAGTTGAAGACTTTAGCAGCTCTCCATCCGTTCTCGCCTAACTACTCCAAAGAAAAAACAAGCTGCGGCCATCCTTGATGAAGCAAAAAAAACAATAATATTACACCCAGGAAGCTGCGGATCATACCGAGGAAACTTACACAGATAAGAGTGAAACAGAATATATTAATAGAAATATAAAGACAGCAAACCCTTTTCCAGAAGAGCGCGGAAACTTATAACTAGCTAGTATACTACTGATGATTCTAGCTATGGAAGTAAAAAAGCAGCAGATCAGATCGAAACAAAGTAGTATTACGAGTGTAGATAAACAAAGAAATAAAGAGTAACAGTTGATATCGGACCGAGATGCTTGATTCCCCTTTGATGATTTGGCTTTAACCAATCTGGCCTTCCTCCAGCCAGCCAGCCAGCTAATCTAATCTATCTGTCTGTTGCGCGCAGAGAGATGATGGATGGACGGATCAAGGAGTAGTCGTCCTCCTCTCTTTCAAAATCTTCAACTAGCTAGGTAGCAATTGATGATGATGATGATGAGGTGGGATTTGAGAGCTGATGAGAACTGAGAACTCAGCAGCAGCAACCAAAGAGTGCTAGCTAGAGCTACATATTAGCTGATTAAAGCTGGGTTTGGAGGGCCGGCTGGGCTTGATCTTTATTGTTTGTTTTTTTTTTCTTTTCCCTTGGCCCTCTTTTTTCTGGTCCTTGGTAACAAGGCCAAGAAGGGTAATGATGGTCTTTTGGGTATGATGATGAAGGAGAAGAAGCATGAGAAATAAGGAGTTGGTGGTGGTGGGTGTAATGATGGCGATGGAGAGGATGGTTCAGAAGGAGAAGAAGAAGAAGAAGACGAAGAGCGCATGGTGGTGATGGTGGAAGAACGATGATGACAAAACATTATCATTGCTTTCTTCCTAGCTTGTTCTTTTCATCCCTCTCTCTCTCTTTCTGGCTCTGCGTGCTTATCTATAGGACTGATGGCGTTGAAAGAAATGCACCAAAAAGGAAAGGAGGGAAACATTAAAAAAAAAAAACTGTGCCGGACGGTAAAATGTAAACAGAACTTTTCTATATTGATGTTTTTGTCATTTATAATATCATATATATAATTATATAAAAATGTTATTTGTTCTAAGGTTTCTGTGCCTGCTTTCCTTCCTCTCGCAGCCTGTAGTATTACTGGTGTCAGACTGTCAGGGGGAAGAGACGGAAAGGGAGAAGCGCCACAGAGAATGATGATGGATACGTGTGTGTATCAGTGTATGTGTTGGGAGTCATCATCAACATCACACCCCTCCCATCCCAAACCCAACCTAGTTAATTAGGGCTTTCTTCCTTCCCGACCTTCTTTCCTTTTATCACTTTTTCGTCATTTAGACAAACATTAATGTGTTATAAACAGATTCGAGAAAAATTCATTCGATATTCGATTCGTTTTAATTGAACCAGCCCGCGAATCAAACTCGTTAACTAAACGAGTCGAACTCAAGGCATATCATGTTCAGTTCGAAAGCTTGCGAACAAGCTCATTTAACTCTTTGACATAAGAAATTATTAGAATTCATGGATTTTATGAATTGGAATTGGGACAAATATTGTGTTTTATTTTGCTAGAATTTGCTACAGGTTTGAATGTAATTTTGTGCCAAGTTCTAGGTCAATTTTGAGTTATTATGAATATTTTATGAGCTTAACTCGATTTTGGGCTCGTAAAGCTTATTCGACGAGTCGAGCTCGAACTTTCATTTTCATAAACGAGCCAAGCTCGAGATTGCATATTAAAACTCGTGATGAACACGAGCCGAGTTCGAGCTTGGGAATATATTAACGAGCCGAACCCGAACTATGAAAAAACTCGACTCGACTAGGATCATTAATAGTCCTAGTTATAACCAATCACATAGCTGGATAAATAAATGCAAAGTATATCTTTATAGCGACTAATGAAATAAAAGGAGTATATATATCTAAATTTTTGGTGATTTTATGGTGCACTAAAAAAATGAGTGTATACTATACATCTTCTAAAATTATTCTTAAATTTTCAAAATTAATATAATTATATAATAATATAGAATCACAACTAATCATTCTATTACTCTAAACCGGGTGCTTTTAATTTTGAACCCGAATCATAAATCACAAAGTGTAAAAACTCTAAACCCTAATCTTGAATCCTAAGCATTTCAAATTAAAGTAAATCATGAATAATTTTTGTGAAAAATCATATATTTTTTATTCATCACATCATAATTTATAATTGACATCGTTTTGATATAAATCATCTGCTCAAAATAACAATTAGAAAAAAATAAATGCACAAAAACAAAATCCTAAAAATACCTTACAACTTCAAGTTATTTGTGCCAGTCTTTTGATTATTGAGTTAACCCGCATAACTGCATCATCACATCGTCAGCATGCACAAAATGAGCTCTTTGTTATCAGTAGGGGTGGAAATCAGTACGGTATCGGTATCCCAATATCAAATACCGAAATTCCGAATACCGAATTACACTCGAAAGTCAATCCCAATCCCAATTCCTAAATAATTTCGATATCTCTATCTCAATCCCAATCCCTAAATATTCCGGTATACCAATCGATATTATTGAATACCAAATTAATTATATTTGAAATAAATAATTAAATAAATAAATTAGATTTGATTGTTTAATTTAGATCAAAGAGACTAAGCGAAGAGTCTTGACTCTTGAGTTTGCCTATAGCTAGGATATGGATAAAGAGAATGAAGGATAGGTGACATCTCAAGTTCTTGTCATTGGTAATCTATAATTTGACGAATTGGAGGCTGAGAGACGACTAATGCTAGTGTTTGCTTTTTTGGGTAATGAAAATAACAAGTGGTTAGGTGAGAGATGAGAGTGACTTAAATTGGAAAGTCATAATTGAGTTGGATGGGGACTTCTGAGTTGTAAAACAAAGATGGAATGATCTACGTATAATTAAATGACACTCTTGGTGGTTGATGGTCGTGTAATAGTGAATGAGAGAGTCTAGTTGAGAAGATAAAATATACACTAGCTTATATTTCGGTATTGATCGGTATCTCGGTATATACTGATCCCAATCTCGTAATCTCTAATATCGAATTACAATTGAAATTCAATCTCAATCCCAATCTCAATAAATAATACGTGTATTCGTTAATACCAAATATAGACAAATTCGGTACGGTATTCGATATATCTCAAATACCGGTACCAAACTTCCAGCCCTAGTTATCAACCTAGGGTTGGGCAATATCCATTATCCAGCTGCCCGTCCATGTTTGCCCTTTTTTTTAGGAAAAATCGTGCTTGTGCCCTACATTATGCAGCGGCCAACGGGTGAGATTAAGGGTGGAAATCGATACGTTATTGGTATCCCAATATCAAATATCGAAATCTCGAATATCGAATTACACCCTAAAGTCAATCCCAATCCCTAAATAATTTCGGTATCCCGATCGGTGCTTCGGTATCCCAATCGGTATTATCGAATACGAAATTAATTATCTTTGCAAGTAATAATTAAATTTATAATTAGATTTGATTGTTTAATTTAGAGCAAAGAGAGTAAGCAAAGAGTCTTGAGTTTGCCTAGAGCTAGGATATGGATATGGAGGAGACGTGACATCTCAAATTTTGATAATCCTTAATTTGACAAATTGGAGGTTGAGAGAAAACTAATACTAGTGTTTGTTTTTTTGTGCTATGAAAATAACAAGAGATTAGGTGAGAAACGAGAGTGACTTAAAGTGGAAAGTCAAAATTGAGTTGGATGGGGGCTTCTAAGTTGTGAAAGAGTGAGGAATGACTAAAAGTTGTGTGTTATATTTTATTAATTTTTAATTTTTCGGTATTTCGGTATATACCGATTCCAATCCCGTAATTCCGAATACCGAATAGCACTCTAAAATGAATCCTAATCTCTAAAAAATAAACCGGTATTCGATAATACCAAATAGTGATAAATTCGGTACGATATTCGGTATATCTCAATACCGATACCAAACTTCCGGCGTTAGGTGAGATACAGAGATGGAAACCCTAGTTAAACATTGTTTCTAAAATACAAATTCTTAAAGGTACATTCTCAAAGCTTACAAGAAGCACTAGACAAATGTCTAAGACCTTGGTTAATATAAGGCAACCAAAGCATCCAAGACCAAGAGAAAGGATCTACTTTATTAATTTTAACATAATCACAATAATTGCGCTTATAATTAATTGGAGCATGTTTTGATTTTAAAACATCAATAAAGATAATTAAGGCTATGAGAGCAAATATACATCTTGTTGGATCCAGTCTATTACCAACACATCATCTCATCTCATAACTTTCATGGATTTCTAGTGGCTCTCATACTCAGAGCAGGAGGATTCGAAGTTCGAATTTGTGAGAACATGTGGTTTCAACTAGTTTGCCACAACACAAAAATTACAAATTGTTTATGCAGTGAAATTTCAAACTCCATACAAACAAAGCCTTGATCCAACGGTGTGATCTAGGGATGGCAACAAAATCCGAACCCGGAGGTATCCTACCCGACCCAATCCGGTCAACGCGGGTAAAACTCGTGTTGACGAGTTTTGGGCCGAGTTCAGGTTTAAATCCGTTCATTATTCACTGGGTTGAGTTGGGTTTGGGTTTAGGTAAACCCGTCCCATGGGTACCCGCTCACACCCATATAATTAATTTTCCCGGCATATTTAATATTCTAAACAACTAATCTTCTTTATGTTTGTGGAGACATGTCTAATTTTTTCTTTCTAATTGTGTAGAATGAAGTTGATATTATCGAGTGGAGAGTGAAGAAACTTAATTGACAAGGAGGAAGATGCTTTCAATTAATCATGTTGTTTATGGATAATTTGTGATTTGCTTCAATTTTCTTGAGTTTTCTAGATTGGTGCTGAACAATTTCTATGGTTAATTTGTGATTTGCATGAATTTTCTATAGTGGTGTTTTATATATGAATAATTTGTATTGAGAGATTGATATTTGACTTTTATTTTGATAGAAACTTGTTATTGTAAATTTTTTACGACAAAAATCTATGGGTACCCATGAACCCGCGGATACCTAGCGGGTTAGGTTTGAGTTTTTCAACCGCAGTGGGTTTTATCCCGGGTTTTTTTCATGGATAAACCCATGAATTTGAGTTTGAGTTTAGCAAAACCTGACCCATTGCCATCCCTAGTGTGATCACTAGTTTTCCACCTAGAGGTCTCAAATTTGAAGTTCAATGTAGTAACGTGTAAAAGAAATTCCAAAAAACAGAATGCATAATTCTATTCTAACATTCTTTTTCCCCCACCACTAGTTTATGATTGATAGCCGGAGGGAGGGGGGCCTAGAGATGTACAGTCTACACGAAATGAGGAGAAAGACTGTCCTACAAGCTGCAAAGATAGATGACACAAAAAAGACTTTCCCCCCGGCTATCACTGGAAAATGGCCCAAAAGACATAACCAGCCATAAGATAAGAGTGCAGAGAAGAAGCACGCATTGCAGTTTAGTCTCTGTCTGCCATTCATTTTGGTGGGGTTTTCCCTGTGACTGATCACCCTCCCCCATCTTCTCCCACATTCTGTTCGTCTCCCACCCTCCACCAACTGCCACTTATTTGCAGAAATCAAATTAGATCATGCCCATAGTCTTACACGGTTTTACTTTTTTACATTTTTTTAGTGTTCGAATATATGAAAGAAAGAACTGTAAAAATAAATAAATTATATATATGAAAGCAACTGCATAGACTTGCAGTAATTCTGCTCTCAAGGGCACAACTTAGGTTCCTCGGCAATGGTCTTCCTACCAAGTAGTTTCTCCAGAGGATCCCATATTCCCATGTTGCAATTCTTCTCAGATAGTCTGATCATATGAGAATGATAACCTGGTTCATCAGTTCTTCACTTTTCTACTGTCATTGTTCTCTCTAGCAGGTTATGCTAGCTGCTGTGCTTGTAACTTCTGTTCCCTTACCCGCACGAGCGAACTACTTGACTGGGTTTTTCAAATGTATGAGTTGTGTT